GCACCTGCTCCCTCCTCTTCCCCTGCCTTTACCCAGTGGTGGGGTCACCACTGTGCGTAAACACGAGACGGTGGGGGTCCCCGAAGACAATGGCACGCAGCAGGGGACTGATACCACCTCGGAAGGCAGCAGTGATGTTGAGCTAGTGCCCACGAGGCCCCCATCCGGGACCTCTGCTCCTGGGGGGCGGAAAGCGCTGGTTGTGGGCCTGTGGGTCTGCTCCAGTAAACACACCTCACGTGGGATAGCAGCTGCAAAGGGTGTCCCCCCGACTGAGCTGAAGAGTCCCCCGTTGTCCTCAAAGACACATCTGTCTTTGGAAGCCGACCCGAGATGCGCCAGGAATCCACACTCCCGGAAGCTAAGGTGGCTCCGGGGCCATTCAGGGGATGGGCCTGTTCTTCGGTCCAGTTACACCTTCAGGAAGTGGGTAGGCGACCTGGGGGTTGGTGCGGGGTCCCACTGGGCCCACCGGAGGTGGCCGGGGGCTGCGCCTGCGTGTGCTGTGAGTGTCCGGACTCAGAGCCTGGCAGTGGCAGCTAGCTCAGGGCCAGTCAGCACGGGGACACTGACGGAAACCAGGAAGGTCCTGTCGGCCTGCTTCCCGGGCGGGAACGTGTGGGCTCCCACCTCACCGGTTCCCGCCCCAGACTTGCTCAGCTGGCTCCCGGGAGGCTGTCTCTCGCGTTTCTAGCAGCCCCTCTGGCGCTGTTTCTCTCCGAAGCGCGGCCCCTCCAGCTACGAACCCACTGTCTTTGTTCGGGGTGTCTCCTCACCCCCATCGTCAAGCCCCTGTTTTACAACCATCGACTCCCCATTCCGGGCACACCGCAGGCGGTCAGCAGGACAGAGGTTAGAGGGAGGGAGGCAGGGCCTCCTTCTGGGCCTCAGCTCACGGGGGCCATCGGGGTGGGGGGAGGACGCACACAGGCCTCCCTGCCCCTCCTCACCCCTGTCCCTGCCGCGGGACACTCCGGAGCTTCCCAGGACACACAGCGACAAATAAGGCCACCCTGCGTATTCTCATCCCCGTTGCCTTGCACATGTGCCTGGGCCTCCCCCGAAAGGGACTGTGGTCTGTGGGCCCCCGAGCGTCCCTGAGCCCCAAACAGTTGTTATGGAAGAAAAATGCCCTCGGCCATCTTCCGCGTGCTGCCATGCGCAGTGCTGGGTCCGCGGCTGGTGGGGTCCTCGGTGAGAATCGGGACGGGCACCAAAACCCTGGCCAGGGGTCCCGCGTCCCTCCCACCACACACACACGAAAAACACGTTTCCCAAGAGTGTCCCTGATGAGGCAGTGACATGTACTAATTTTATTAAATCTTGGCCCTTGGGCACATCTTTCTAATATTCTGCGTGACACACTCTGGTCCCACCCTCAGCGCTACGCTGTCTGGGGAGCAGCCCGTGCGCCATCGTCCCGCTGCCGCCGAAGGACAACTGGACACACTCTCCACAGGAACACGCTTTCTACCTGAAGGGACTCAGGCGCCTCCTGGAAATGGACAGCTGCCCCTGCGGCACCACGTGGTCGTGGTGACCAGCGCCAGAATGCCGGCTCTCGTGCCAAGATCAGAACTTCGAAGGAGCCACCTCCACGGCCCGAGCCTGACAACTTGCCCCAGGAGGGCGACAAGAGTGCGTTTCTGCTGGCGTCTGCTGCGCTGTGGGCACAGAAGCCCGGCCTGACCTGGCGGAGTGGTGTGTTCCGCGGGCCCGGCCCACGGCGGTACAGGAGCGCGGCGAGCGGGGCTCCCCTGGGCGCCACACAGCTCTGGAAGCGCCGGCGGGCTGAGTCCACACGGCGACCAGCTGCACGGCCGGGGTCCTCCAGGAGGGGTGTCCACAGCGACCTGCACGCGTTAGTAAAAGATCCCTTTCTTTTCCAAATACCCATCGGCGCGGCGCCGGATGTCCCGCTGAGACTCGCACGTCCCGCGGCAGACCGCGTCCGGAGCCGGTCGGGGCGGCGGTCAGGGCGGCCCGCGGCCTTCTCCCGAGCCAGAGATCGTAGGGCGTGTAATACATGCCCCGCTTCTCGGGAAAACCTTTCGTTTGGGAAAATGTATTTTTCATGCAATTGTTGTTTATGTCAACATGTAATGGGTTTATGGTTATTTTTAAATGAGTAGTTTTTAAGTCTCGGGCTTGATTTCTAGTACGGTTGTCTATTAGGGTTAGTATTGGTAGTGAGGACCCACAGGAACACAGGCGGTGACATCTTCAGTCTCTCCTGGAGCGTGGAGTGGCCCTGCGGGCACCGAGGCCCCCACGCTGGGCACCGACCCGCGGGCGCGCCTCCAGCCCTGTGGGATGAAGCCCCACTGCTCCTGCCGGCTCGTGACATGTTCCACTCCCCCTCGTGGAGTCTGTCTCTCTGTCTCCTGACGGTTTTCCAGCTCTGACCCTGGCAGACGGCACACCGGCTGCAGGGGTGTATGACGGCACGCTCGCGTTTTAGTCTGCACTCCCCGGCGCTACATGAGGCCCTGCAGGTCTCCTTCTATCCTTCAGCCTCATTCCCTTTGCCCTCATTTCTTTTTCATTTGAACTTAAAAATACTTCCTTCAGGGGCACCTCCGTGGCTCAGTCAGGTAGGAATCTGACTTTTGATCTCAGCTCAGGTCATGGTCTCAGGGTCGTGAGTTCAAGCCCCGTGTCAGGCTCTGCGCTGGGTGTGGGGGGCCCCCTTAAAAAATATAAACAACTTTCTTCCATTTCAAAACAAAAACCCACAATGTTATTGAGAATATGGTTGGAATTACATTAATAAAATGATGACACTTTACTTTGGAGCTTTTAGGAGCATGTGGTTTCTCCACATGCTCAGGAATTGTTTTAGGTTTTACAATAAAACCACACAGTTTCCTTTGTGTCGATCCTGGACCATTCTGGTTAAACTCGTCTATAGATTCCCTGCAGTTCTCAATCATGACTGTGAACAGAATATTCCATTCTCATAATCCACAGGTTCAAGGTGGTTTAAAGAGCTTTTGATCTCTTGTATATCTCCTTCCTGGGAATATAAAAATATCATCTGAAAATAAAGGTAATTTTCTGTTATCCTGCTTATTTTGTTTGTCTTAATGCATTAGCTAAAAATACCAATGTTAAATAACAAAGGTGAAAGCAAGCTTGTTCGTCTGGTTCCCAATTTCCATTTTTGGTACAGGTTGTCTTGCTGGATCTTATCAAATAGCTTAGCGTTTACTGATATAGCCACTTCCCCCCCTTAACGGACCGATAACTACAGAAGAAATCAAAAACTCGCAACGGACACACGGTTTACCAAGGGCGTGACATGGGCGGTCGCGCGGTTGACCTCCGCCGGTCCGCACCGGCTCTGCTCCAGCCCAGCGGAGCGTAAGACAGCACCGACTCCGTGACACATGGAGAGAGCGAGCCCTGACCCCACACTCAAAGAGACAGCTGGGAAAATAAAACAGTGCGAACAGCCTCTAAGTTCAAAGGCAAAAATGCTATGTAACATACTGCAACCGCGGCCTTCCACTGCTATGGAAACACTGGTGCGCGTCACGGCCACGGCACCAGCCCCAGAAGCACCAGGACGGTCACCCAGAGCCGCAGTCTGTTGCCACCTCGGTGACCCTCGGGCATGGCTGCTCGGACGGGGATCCATCCAGCGGCCCAGTGTCTGTCAAACGACCGAGTTCTCACTGGGGCATCTTGTCTCAGAGGCAGCTGCTTCCTGTGCCTGCAACCAGCCCCCGGCTCGGGTCTTCAGCAAGAGAAGCCCCAGGGTCTCCCCTGCAGTGGGGTGCCGGGGCTTGTTCCACGCACGTCTACCCCCACAGCTGCGGTGATATCGTGCTGCTAGCTGACACTGGCCTTGGTGGGAACACCGCATGTTTTGGCAGAAATACGGCAAGTTCACACTTCAGCAGAACTGCCTGTTACACGTTCACCAAACTACTGCCTTTGGTCCCAAAGCAGCATGGTTTGAGTCCACGGCGCTGCGCTGAGGAGGTCCCCGAGGTGGCTGAGCCGGGCGCGTCCTGCCCCTCTGGGCTCCACGGCCGCCCAACCTCTCGCCCACTGCAGCCGGGCCTGGGGCTGGCCTCGGCACCACCTGGGCAACCACGGGCAGCTGGCTTCAAGGACCACTGCAGCGTCAGATGACTGTGACAGCCTCCTGGCAGGACCTCTGCCTTCACCCCACCCGCCACAGGTCTGCTCAGGAGCCGTCAGGAGCTTTCCTAGACCGTAAGTCAAACGACGTCACCTGCCGTGTTGCCTCAGAACCCTGCTGTGTGGGCAGCAACATGCTGGTCCCAGGCAGGGAGCCCTTTGTCCCTTGCAGCCGGGGACCAAAAGCCCCAGTGGCCAACAAGACTTGGGAGGAATTCAATAGAGAAGTGTCTGGAAAGGTTTTCCCCCTGGTGACAGGGCGGGGGCAGGGAGGTGAGCTTTGTCTCACAGCTTGGGGCGCCGCACCCCTGCTCGGCCCTGCACCGCGGGTCCCGATCCAGAGGGCCTGCCCGACTGGAGTGTGGGTGCGTGAGGCCCGGTCTCCGTCTCATCAGCGCGACATCCCGGGCCTAGAAAACCGAACCGGGTGGCACACGTGGGCAGCTGTCCTTGCTTTGTTAGCATTCTCGCGGGCTCTCTGGGGTTCGCCCTGGTGTCAGAGGCTAGCTCCGAAAGATGCTACGGACTCTGGTGCGGGATGAAACAGCTGTCTCCCCTTGCCCCTTAGGGAGGGTTTCTGTTCTGGGCACAAAACTGCCACCAGCCTGTTTCCGTTCGCTTTTGTTTTTGGAATAGACCAACCTGGTGCATTCCCTCTGAGCTGAGAAAGCGAACTCTGCTTCCAGGGAGTCATGAAAAATTACACATTTGATATCAAAAGCCAGTTCAAGTATCACCGATAGTGATGGTATTGGAGAACAGATGCTAGGAGTTCTTACTAGGGAATGGCCCCAGAGTGAGCCTGGAGTCCCCGGCCTGTGTCTGAGGAGCGGCTTCCGTGCAGGGAAGTCCGAACCGGGAGCAGCCCCAGGGGCCAGCAGGAGGCCGTCTGCCTCCTCTGGGACCCGGCCTGGCCCGGCTGGCCCGTGTCGTGTGGCCGGCTTGCCTGGCCCTGGCTGCCCGCCCGCCTACCCGCCCGGCAGCCTACACGTTGGACTTGGCGATCATCTTCTCCAGCAGGCTCATCATGCGCTCCTGCAGCTGCAGGCTCTGCACCTGCAGGAGGTTCTGCTGGTCCAGCACGCGGCGCACCTCCCGGCACGTCTCCTCCATGGCACGGCTCAGCTTGCGCTGCTCCTCCAGCATGGCCTCCAGCAGCCGCAGCTTCTTCTTCTGGAAGTGGCAGCTCTGCACCTTGCGCTTCTTCACGGGCCGCTCGTCCGACCTGGAAGGACAGTGCCGGCGTGGGGATGGCGGGCCGCAGGGTCGGGGCTCCGCCCGCCCGACTCTCCCAACCACCGCGGTGGACACGTGGGAAGCGGAGGCCCTGGGCAGCGGTGAGGAGGGGCTGCAGCCCTCCCGCTGTGACAGGAGGGGGCCACAGGGGCCGCAGGCACTGCCGCCCTGTGGGACTCGAGGCAATCGGGTGACCTGGGTCCCAGGGCCATCCAAACCCCCGTAGCCTGTGTGGACGGGGTACACCATACCACAAGAGCACCCCCGAACCCACTGAGCGGGTGCCAAACCCACAGGCCCAGTGTGGGGCTCGGGGGCAGTGGCCACATGCGGGGAGAGACGAGGAGGGCTGGTGGGAGGGGGGCGCTACGGCTTCTCCCCCGGGCCCGGAACCTCAGCCCGCGCCACGGCCCTGCCCTGTGCTCTCTGCCCCAGGGCGGTGAGCATCCCTGGTCTCACTGGCCACACCCCACCAGTACCCCCAAGGCCTTGCCAGTCCCCTCGTCTGGGCCCTGTGCTTTGAAGCAGAACGGCGTCCCAGCGGCTCCCGTGTCCCAGCCCTGGTGCGGTGGTGGGGGCCGCCGCGAGTCGGGAACCGGGTCAATCCACGGACACATCTGGCCATAAACCTCAGGTTTCCAGCTGATTCTGTCTGGCCGTCACAAAGGCATTCTTGTCTGGGGTCTTTGCTCCAGGGAAGGGGCGCTGGACAAACTGAGCGGCAGCCCCTGATTTCCGACTCCCCCAGACCCTCCTCACCTCACCCCTGTCTGACAGACCTGAAGGCCAGCGCTCCACCTGCTCTCTGCCTTCTCTTCCCCAAACGGCCAACTCCTATTCACCCCTGAAAGCCGACCCCAAATGTCCCTCCTCTGGTTGCCGGGCCTGCACACCACCGGCTGTGTCTCCTGCACACCTGTCAGTGGGCATCCTGAGGGCGGGTTCACGCGGCCAGTGCTGGCCTAGCAGGACGTCTGTGAAGGACACAGGGGACGGGCACGCACACTGCCACCAGCTGAGGAGCACACTCTGGGGGCTCAGCCCATGCCCCTCCCAGCCAGCCTCGCCAGGGCAGGGAGGAGGACCCCAGGGCGGGGTCTGCTAGGGGGTGACAGGGAGCCCAGGAGCCAGAAACTGGGGGTTGGTGGGGGTGGGGCACTTGGTCTTCCTCTGTGTCCCTTCTCTCTCGTGACACTTGGACAAAGTGCTGATTTATCTCCATTTTACAGAGGGAGACTGAGGCCCAGAGAGGTCAAGGACTTTCCACACAGCCACAAAGTGATGGAGCCAGGAGATGAACCCAGACTATGGACATGATGGCCCGCACTTCAATACCTCCTGCCTCCCAGTCTGAGGCCAGCCTGTCTGAGGCCTCCCTGCCTGAGGCCTCCCTATTTGAGGCCAGCCTGGTCTGAGGCCTCCCTGTTTGAGGCCTCCCCGTCTGAGGCTTCCCTGTTTGAGGCCTCCCCGTCTGAGGCCAGCCTGGTCTGAGGCCTCCCCGTCTGAGGCCTCCCTATTTGAGGCCAGCTTGGTCTCAGGCCTCCCTGTTTGAGGCCAGCCTAGTCTGAGGCCTCCCTATTTGAAGCCAGGCTGGTCTGAGGCCTCCCCATCTGAGGCCAGCCTGGTCTGAGGCCTCCCTGTTTGAGGCCTCCCCGTCCAAGGCCAGCCTAGTCTGAGGCCTCCCCGTCTGAGGCCAGCCTGGTCTGAGGCCTCCCAGCCTGAGGCCTCCCTATTTGAGGCCAGCCTGGTCTGAGGCCTCCCTGTTTGAGGCCTCCCCGTCTGAGGCCAGCCTGGTCTGAGGCCTCCCCATCTGAGGCCTCCCTGTTTGAGGCCTCCCCGTCTGAGGCCAGCCTGGTCTGAGGCCTCCCCGTCCGAGGCCAGCCTGGTCTGAGGCCCGTCTGAGGCCAGCCTGGTCTGAGGCCTCCCCATCTGAGGCCTCCCTGTTTGAGGCCTCCCCGTCTGAGGCCAGCCTGGTCTGAGGCCTCCCCGTCCGAGGCCAGCCTGGTCTGAGGCCTCCCCGTCCGAGGCCAGCCTGGTCTGAGGCCTCCCCGTCTGAGGCCTCCCTGTCCCTGGAGGCCCTTGCATACCACCTAGGCCTTTGCAGCCAGCCAGGGACGGCAGAGGATGCCACCGCCCCGGGAGCTGCCGGCCCTCACCGCTCCCAGCCCCTCCTCTGGCCGCTGGGCTCCTGGCCCCTGCTGGAGGTGGGGGCAGGGAAGGAAGACACACCTGAACTTAAGGGACAGTAAGCTGGAGGAGCTGTCGGAGCCATCGTCCTGGAAGCGGCCTTCGTAGGAGCACTGGTTATACGGTAAGTACAGAGGGGTGGACTTAGCAGACGGCGACAGGGACGCCTCGGTCTGGGACGTGGAGGGCCCCGGCTGCTGGCCGTCCGGCAGTTTGCCATCACAGGACTCGGGGACCTTGGCCAGAATCCTATCAATGGCTAGGTAATAGGGCCAGTCGGGCGGGACGGACTCGCTATCTGTCATGCATTTTAATTTCCTGAAACGAGAGACACAAGAGCCAAGGGTGAGAAACGGAGCTGCTCCCGGCCTGTCCTGCCTGGCCCTCGGCTGAGGGGTGCTCGGGGCTGCTGGGGCCCCGGGGAACCACTCTTGGCCAGAGAGCCTCCCCAGAAAAACTGGCCAGGCTCCAGGGCGAAGGTGACATGAGACTTGGAAAGAAGTCGGGCTGGGGACCTACCCCACGGTGGGCGCCAGAAACATGCGACCCACACGTGGACACGACCATCTGTGAGCGCTGGGACCCTGCGTGGAACTGTTTCTGTCCTTGCTGGTCTGTAGTTTCTACATTCCCTACAAGGAACAGATACTGCTTTTAAGTAAGTTAACCAGCAATAATAAAATAAACATAGGAATAAAATATTATTACAAGTATCGTATAATGCAAACATAAGGAGTCATGATATAAGAAATCTGTTTTTCTAAAGAAAACGCCTCAGAAGCGAGAACCGCAGGAGTTAAGGGCGCAGGCTTCAGCGTCCCACAGATCTGAGCTGCGTCTCATCTCCACCACTCTGCTATGTGACCTTGGACAGGTTCATTAACCTCTCTGAGCCTCCATTTTCACATCAGTAAAATGGGATGAGCAAAGTAAACTCCTCATAAGCTTTAGGGAGAATTTAATAATTTAATAAGACAATGTTCCTGGCAAACAGCAAACTGACCAGATAACATTCTTGGCTGAAGGTACCAGGAAGCAGCAGCATCCCTACTTAGACTCCGGGGCCATGGGTATGCATAGCATAGCTCTGCCCACCATGGACGGGGACTCCGCCCAGCCCTGTGTCTTGCCCTTCCCTGCAGACAGGCCTTGTAGGTCCCTGGGCCTTGGCTGAATTCTGGGGGCTCAGGGATGGGAGACATGGCTGCAGGAGAGCTGGGAAGCCCTGGCCAGGCCAGGAAGGAGGCCACAACTGGGGGGGGGGGGGGCGTTTCTGTCTGCCCCATCAGATCCAGCCTTAGTCTGTGGCCCCTACATTCCTGCCCCATGCTCCTCCCAAGTAGGGAGGCCCTCAAGCTATAAGAGACCCCTGTGGCCGGATGGCTCCTGCCTCCTGATGTGGGGCTCCTGCCAGCATGGGCCCCTGGTCACACTGGTCACTGGAAACACTCAGCCGACCATCTGAACGAGTTGCCTTCAGCAAACGGGCCCACCTGGATGGCAAGGGGGTCTGTGGCTCAGGGCAGCAAGCCAAGGCCAGCATCCACCAAGCAGAATGTCCTCAGTAGAAAGCCAGGGACAGGCCACAGAGGGAAAGGCATGGCTGCTCCGTCTCCCGACCCCAGGACCGTCCATCACCCTGGAGGCCTGCACAGATTCCAGGTGCATGAAGTAGAGGACTGCACCTGGGGCCCACACCCAGCCTCTGCCTAGGCTCCCTCCAGCCCCTCCAGAGGCCCCTCTGTGCTTGTTCTGACCACTCAAGCCAGGCTACTCCTTGGAGAAATGAGGGAAGGCCTGGCTCTGGCACAGGAGACCCCGGTAGGGTATTCCAAGAGACCATGCTCCATGGAACCTGGCTACCCCCTCAGGCTTCCTCAGCCTGACAACCCTAATATGTAAAGAGCTACAGTGAAAAAATAAGAAAAGACTTTGCTGTGGGAGGCTTTCTGGGTGTGGGTGGGGGGAAACAGATAAAGAACTAGTCAACCAATGAAAGCATCAGCCTGTTAAAGGCTGTGTGGCCTTGGGCAAGTCCCTCCTCTGCTCTAGGCCTCAGTTTCCCCCTCAGGGAATGGGAAATTGAAGTGTTGTATACGTAGGCAGTCCTTCCCCCCAGCAGCAGACTGCAGCGTCTGGAGTGGAGCCCTGCCGGAGGGCCCAGGCCCCTGCTCTGCCACAACCTCCTCTCCTATGACCTTCTTGGCCCGCATCCCCCACCTTCAGGAACGGAACAGAACACCTCCCCGGGGACTCTGAAGAAGGCTCTCGGGATAAATAATGAATAACTCGCCCAGACGCCAATCAGAGCCCATGAATTACTGAGTCAGATGGGCAGCCCCCTCACCAGGCACAGAGGGACGCGCCGTGTGCAAGGAGGAGGGGGTAACAGGGACACACACGTCTACAGACAACTCAGCCCTCACATCACAAGCTGGTGGCTGGAACCGAACATTGTTTATGTTGTGAATGAGGCCTTCAAGCCCTTAGCGGCTGCCTCCCTTCTGGCCCCTGGGCCTGCCTGGGAGCTGGGGCTGTGGGTGGAGATGGGCCTTCGGGCAGGTGCAGGCTCTGGAGCTACTCTTCCAAGGGCCATGGAAACAGCCGACGGGGTGTCAGGGGCCCTGCGAGCCTCTGCACGTCTCCAGGCCCCAGACGGGCTGGGAGCTGCAGGCCGGGAGGGTCCTCTCAAGGTGCCCAGGGCAAGACTGCAGGCCCTGTCTACACCCAGCCCTGACTGCACCTCTGGCCCCTGCTCACGGCAGCCACTAGGGCGGGCGGAGGTGGCCGGGGCTGGGGGCCGCTGGGCACGTGCACCTCTCGGGGACACTGACAGGCCCACCCCTGCCAGTATATTCTACGGCCCCCACTCTCACTGCTGCTCTTCCCCCCATGGCCCCCAGCTCCGGGGCGACCTGTCCCCCAGCAAGACCATAGCCTGACCACGACCCTGGCCCTGCCAGTGACCTTTGCCGTGCCCGTGACCCACTCCACACTTGTGACCTTGGCCACGCCCAGGACCCTCTGCACACAGTGACCGTCCGCAGACAGGCCTGGCTGCCACACAGCCCGAGGTGCTGGGCCTGTGGGGCTGTAGCGGGCTCCCCCCACAGGTACCAGAGCTCCCCCGCCTGGGAACCCCATCCGCGGCCCCCCTCAGGCTGCCAGGGCTGGGTGGCCACAGTGGGGAGGGTGGAGGCAGATGGGGGGCCAGGCCTGGGTCCCCACTGCTTCGTTCCACAAACAAGGCCCCTCCCACAAGTGGGGGCCTGCTGGGCGCTGCAACATCAGCCCCACCACACACCCCGCTCCCTGCCCGTGGCCCGTGCCACCTGCACTCACAGCTGGGCTCGGTGGCTGCCGGAAAGGACAGAGCGTCAGTACCAGGTAGGACTTGCAGGCCCGGGAGTTGAGCCTCCTTCTCACCCCGGCCTCAGTTTCCCTGCTTAGCCAAGCCATGCCTGGGCGGCTGGCCTGCGGTCTCCCAGCTGGCGGGAGGGCATGTGGAGGCCGAGTGGAAGCCGCCTACAGGTGGCACCCAGGGCAGGGGCCTGGGGTAGGGTACTGCCCGCCCCAGGCCCACCTCGCTGGGCCTCAGCTCCCCCGCCTCCGAGACGGGAGGCAGCACAGACGGTCTGTGCAGGCCCCATCTCGCGGCCGGGCTCTGCCCACACAAGGCCTCCCTGACTCAGCTCCGGGGGGGCCGCGGCAGCCCCCGCAGCCCGGGCGCAGCTGGCCGGCCACTGAGCGGGAGTGTGGGCTGTGCGGGGCGTGGGGGCACGCAGGCACGCGGCTCGCGGAGCCCACCTGTACTGGAAGGTCATGTTGGTGATCTTGATCTTGATCTCCTCGCCCAGCCGGCGCTCCCCGGTCATCTCCAGCAGCTTGCTGGCCATCTTCTCGTACACCTTGGCGTTGCGCTTGGTCTGCTTCAGCTCGTCGAAGAACTCCTCCCAGACGAGCATGAGGCCACGCATCTCCGCGTCCGTCCAGTTGCGGGCGCGCCGGTGCTTCTCTGTCTGAGGGGACACGAGGTAGCCGGGCACTTCGGCCGCTGCCATGCTGGAGGCACCTGTGGGGTTAAAAGAGTGCGCTCAGGCGGGGCCTGTGGCCTGCGCACCAGGGCGGGAGCCCCACTCCTGGAAGGCAGCTCCGCGCTCAAAATGGGGCCTACATCTGACAGGCAGGAATTTAGTTAAAAGCTTTTAAACGGGAAACGTCATTTTGATGTCACGTTTCCATAGCAACAGAGCAACTGCATAAGCTACAACAACAGAAACCTTTTAACTGAAAGCGCAGGAATCAGGGCTGCCCTGACGGGCCATCAATACAGCAGCAAGCGGGCCAGACCCAAAACCGGCGGCCTAGGCGCCCGCCCTGCCTCCCACCCCGAACCGTCAGGAGCCTGGTGCGTGCTGGGCTCGCAGGACTGCCGAGGGCGGGGGTCCAGGCCGCGGCCCCCACCTCAGCCCTGCCCCTCTCACACAGGCCAGGGACCCAGGGGAGCCCAAGATGGGGAGTCAGGGGGACAAATGAAGAGGGAGATGCGGAGACAGAGAGAAGGGTGGGCAGCGAGGGGTGAGGGTGCAGAGGCGGATGCCCCCGGGGACCCGCGGCCACCCTCGCCTACCCAGGACGTGCTCCACACACAGCGTGCCCCTGGCCACGTGCTCACATGTGATGGGAAATGCACGGATGCCAGGCTGGGCAGGATGGCCTGTCTCCCTCCTTGAAGGTGGGACTGGTTGCCGGCCTGGGTGATGTGGGGAGAGCAGAGAAGCCAGGGCAGTTCTTGAGGCCAGAGCGTGGCAGGCAGCAGGCGGGCAGTGTCCATCTGTCCCTCCCACCCCGAGCAGCCCCAGCAGAGCCCTAACCTAACCCTGCTCAGTGCCATCTGTACTCGACCTGCTTCCACCTGGCGGTGGCATGCTCCTCGTATCCCCAGTACCTCACAGAAAAGGGTTTGCTAAAGGCTTGCTGAGTAACAGAATGAACAAATGAAGGGACCAATCTTAAGTAGTCCCTCCCTTCCCAATAGATCACCTAAATTTTGCCTTTGGACTTACTGGCAAACTCCTACTCATTCTTCAAAGCCCTATTCTGACATCACCTCCTCTCTGAAGTCTTCCTACTCCATTTTGGTCCTTCCCTTTCTCCCTCATGCTGACTGGCCCTACCTTGAGCCAGGCCATTTTATTTTCTACTCTAGTTGTGTGACCCCGGGTTCAGAACACTTGCAAAAGTGAGAAAATAAGAATTCGAGGGACGCCTGCATGGCTCAGTCGTTAAGCATCAGCCTTTGGCTCAGGTCATGATCTCAGGGTCCTGGAATCGAGCCCCGCATCGGGCTCCCTGCTCAGCGGGAAGCCTGCTTCTCCCTCTCCACTCCCCCTGCTCGTGTTCCCTCTCTCGCTGTGTCTCTGTCAAATAAATAAATAAAATCTTAAAAAAAAAAAAAAAAAGAATTCTAGTATTCTCCGAACACCGGGCACTGTTTTAAGAGCTATAGACAGTTTCTTCCACTTTGATCCGCGTGGTGACTCCCATTTTACACATGAAAAGCCCAAGGGGTGGAGAGGTGAGGTCAGCCTGTGGGCAAGGGGCTGGCTGGGAGCTGAGTCGGCCGTGCTGTGTGGCCTCCTGAAGGAGCATAGGCTGTCAGGCTCCTGGTAAAAGACACCTGTCACCCCTCCTGTGCCTGTGGTCCTGGGTGGGGCACACACGACGAAGCCAATGCAAACTGCTGTGTGCTGGACAATCTCCCCACCATTTCCTGGGGTCTCCTGGGAGGTCCCCCAGTGCTGACAAGGTGGCTGCTGCCTGTGGCAGGGGTCCTTGGCCATGGGACCCTCACCCTCCGTCAGCGGGTCTCTACCAGGGCTTGGCGGAGGCTCATCCCGACATCTCGAGGGCCAGGGACATGGACTGCTAGCACCGGCGGGGCCGGGAGGGCACACTGCAGGACGGAAGTGAGCTCTGCGCCGTGACACAGGGGGATGGGCCTGGCTCACCAGGAAGGCAGAGGGCACCGCCAGAAAGAACCAGGCTCGCAGTGGCACAAGGCCCGCTTGCGGGAACACAAAGGGGAACCAGCAGTGAGACAGGGTGACCATCCCTGGGGGAGTGCAGGGGGTGGTAGGAAAGGTGGTAGGGAGTGTGGGGGGTGGTAGGTAGGTTGAGAGCCAGGCTGGGGATGGGCTGCGGTGTCCCCTTGGGGCTGGTCAGCCGAAGTCAGCAGGAGGGTCAGCCAGGGCAGGAGACCAGGGCCATGGAACCCATGAGGACTATGGACAGAAAGTGCCCCCTAAAGGCATCAGCATTCAAAATTAAAAGATAAAACTCCAGTGGTTTTATCTGCAGGAGCCCATCGCACCTGCTGGACAGGCCCCAGCCCTGCTCCCTAGGTGTAGGTGCCCAGCCAGGCTCCGGCGTCCATGGGCCGTCAGTGAGGCTGCCTGGCATTTGTGGGTTTCTGGCGGTGGCCTAAACCCGGGGGAGGGACTTCGGAAGTCCAGGGTGAAAATCACCACGGTTAACAGAGGTCCTCCTCAGACCTGCCCACGCTCCCAAGAGCTGAGGTTGGAATGGGGAGCTGTCCGTCAGGTGGAAGGATGGGAGGTGCCCCGGATGGGGTGGGTGTGCTGGGGTCAGAACTGGAAGTGCAGCGGGCAGGGGCAGCAGGGGCCTCTACCCCGCCTTCAGTGGGTTCTTGGGTTGAGGCCTGCATCCTTTCTCTCCAGGCCTCAGGGGTCACCTGGGGGCACAGGGACACCACCACCTGGACAGGCACACCTCCCAGGAAGGCTCAGGGCGGCTATACCCTCCAGGAAGCCCCCAGTCCTCAGGCAAAGGCTCTCAGCACCCCTTGAGGGCTTTCCCCAGCACAGCTCCAAGGGCTGAACAGGGCTGCCTCCCGGCACCTCCCAGGACAGGGGTAGACAGGCAGAGCATGGCCGTGGAGCTGCAGGCCTGGCTGGGGACGGTGAAGACGGGTCAGGACAGTTGCTGCCCCAGCGCCCCCAGGCTGCAGGCCAGCTGGTCCCACTGCCTCCAAGGGGCAGCTGCTGGCCTGCATGCGTCACTCTGTGCTCAGGGCTCTGGCAAACCGTGGCTCCAGAGGAGGGCTCTGCACCTCCTACTTCCCCTCCAGCCAGTGCGTCCAGGGCAGTCAGGGCAAAAGGCTGGACTCCAAATGTCTTTGCAGGTTTCAGTGGGCACTGGAAGCCCCCAGAGAGGGGAGTCCTGGGGGAACTTCTGGGAGCAGAGCTCTCAGGGGGGGGCCTCCAAGGAAAAGTCCCGGCTAGGTGGGCGGCCCTGTCTGTCCTTGCTGGGGAGGGGCTCCATACCTTGGCACAGCTGCATGGCCTGCTGGGACCCTCAGTCTCCGAGGGATGGGGAGGCAGAGGGCCGGGGACTGGGTATCCGGCAGGACCTGCAGGGAGAAGGGGTAGTCAAACCCTGGCAGGAGGCCAGGGGCACCTGTGCGGCCACGCCCTGTAGGCCTCCATTTCACTGTGAACGGACACTCGGTCTGAGATACTTCGGTGTGCCAGCCCTGCCCGGCCAGGCAGGCCAGCACGGGGGCCCAGGGCAGGAAGCAGGTGTGCCCGTGAAGAGCCTCTGGCACCGGCCAGGGGCCAATGCCAGTGAGCCGAGCCTATCACAGTGGGCAGTCGAGTTTAGCAGTGGAAACGCTGCATCCTGGGCAAAGGCAGGAAAGCACGTGGAAGGTGGCGGCAGTGTGGCAGGGCGGTAGGGTTGAGTCCCGGGAGGGTGGGGCCAGAGGGTGGGGGCTGTCCCGGTGGAAGCGGGGGATGATCGTCCCAGGGTGGCCGGCTCACAGTGGAAGGAAGCTCCAAGCTGTGGCCCAGCGCTGTGTGGATGGGTGGGTGCATGGGGGGCGGCTGTAAGCCCAGCTCACCAGGCTGGCACCACTGCCCTTTTCCTTACATCCCTGGGGAGCCCAGACCCTTACCTGTCAGCCCTCTGCCTCGGTGGGTCCCCTGGGCCCACCCACACCCCCAGTGCCCCTCAGGCCTATGAGCCCCAGGCTCCCTAGAGGATGTGGCCAGCAGGGAGAAGACCATTGGAGTGGCCTCCAGGTTTCCTGCTTGGGAGGCTGGTGAGGACACGCCATCCAAGCAGATGTTAAGGCCCCCAAATCCGTGAAAACTGTAGGACGTGCTCACGGCTTCCCAAAAGGAGTCTTGGTGATGCCACAAAGCAGGCCCACATCTATGCCCACAGGCCCCAGCAGAATGTTTCATCCAGCGGCACTGAGTATGGCCAGGCTGCCTGGGGGGCAAGGTCAGCTGCCTCCAACACACCCAGCAGGGCTGCAGAGGCTTCTTCTGAAGAACAGCAGGGTCTCGCCCTCTACGGAGGGCAAGAAGAGCATGGGGCGGCAGCAAAGCCCACTCATGCCAGGGGCTCTGGGACCCTTCTTTCTAGAAAAAACAGGTAGGCCAGGTGTGCTCAGGTGCACCAGGCAGGGTCTGGGTGTCCATGCTTGGACCAGGAAGGGGGATAGAGCCTTGGAAGCTGGGAGGGACCATCGGAGGCCTCGGAATTGTGTCACAGAGCAGACAAATTTGGGGAGCTGAAGTCGCCCCCATCAAATGTTGACAGCAACTGAAGTGAGACCCCAGCCACAGCAGACAAACGCCCCACCACGGTCCCAGTGCAGGGCAAGGGGTGCTGTAGCTCCTGAGGGCAGGGGCGCAGGGCTGCCACAGAACCCGGGGGAGGTCCATGCGCTCGGTCACACTGCTACCCCCAAGGACAGGGACTAAGCGGCCGTGTCGCCTGTCTGGCACCCACCGAGGTGTGGGCTCTGGGGCCGCCTTGCCGACGGGCAGGAACCCACGGGACTGGAGTGGACGCGGTCACAGTACCCTGCCAGAACAGCCCGCTGCCTGGGGGTGTGGCCTGTGCCACAACACCCACCACCACGGCTTCTGAGCAGAAGGCTGCCCAGAGCTAAGAAGCACGGTGCCCCATTCAGCGGAGTAGGCAAGACTTTGGGGAGCCGCGAGGACTTCAAGCAGAATGACTTCGAAACTCAAACGGATGGGCCAGGAGCCCGGGAGCCCGGGAGCTGGCAAGGCCCTGAGGGGAGCTCAGCGGCCAGGTCCCAGCCCACGTGAGCACTCCAGGCCTGCACCAGCCCTCACCACCCCACAGGGCCCCAGACACATGTGGAGCCAGAGACTCAACGCCCAAGCCACGTGGCCCTGGCACAACCAGATCGCAAGGTCGCAAGCAGCTCACGTCTGCGGGGCCCTCCTGGGACGCACCCAGCCCGCTCTCTCCCTCGGGCGTGGGCCAGCGTCCCCGGCGGGGCTTCCCCGCGAGCAAGCATGCCTCATACAGCAGCACGTGGTGTCATTTCCCTTTAATTCAAATACACAACGTTTGCAGCAGTTTAAAAACTTAAATACACGTCGCATGTCAGTCCTTCCCTCTCCTCTTGGAAGCGGACAGTCAGGTCTAGGCCAGGGCTCCGGGACGTGCCCCTCACAGCCTTGCTGGCCCCCGCGTGGGGTGGCGGTGGCGGGCGGCACGGCAGGAGCACATGGCCTGCCGACAGACACTCGGCTGCAGTGCCCAGGAGTGAGTGTGCACAGGTGGCCCCACTCAGAGCCCAACCACGTGCGGCAGGTCCACAACAGCCACCATCCTCCGGTGCCGGCGGTCACCACCCTGTCTGCACAGGGAAACGGCAGTGACTGTCCAGGGCCAGGTGCTCCCAGAGGCACTCGGGGCAGAGGGAGGGGGTTCCTTCAGCTGCATTAAAAGTGACGGGTGCACAGGGGAAAGTGAACCCGGAACCTTCCAGGCCAGCAGCACCAGCACAGCCCTCCTGAGCTCTCCAGCAAGGCCGCTCCCCTGCTGCTGCCCCCTGCCCCACACACAGAACCACCCCACGGTCACACGGCCGGCAGCCATGGCTTCGAGGGCTCACTGCAGAGGGAAGGACACAACACAAAGTGAGGACGTATGCTGGGAAGGATGCTCACAGTATCAAGAGGAAATGAATCCCACTCCCCCCAAATGCCAGAGAACCCCACCTCCTGCAGCCCCCGTGGCAGAAGGATGCTTTGGCTACACGACGGCCAAGAGCAGTTCTTGCTGGTCAGAGTCTGTTCCAACAGAACCCACAACAAGGGCTTGCTGCAGCTCCCGGGAGAAGCCGCCCCGGGGCCCTGAGGACTTGGGAGTGACACACGCAGTGGGGTGGGCCTGGGTGTGGTTGGGGGTCCTCTAAGAGGCAGGGCCTTCTGGTGCTACATTCAGGGTGTCTGGAGGGGTCAGCCACATTCATCCTCCGGAAAAGATCCATTTGCTGGCAAAAATAGGGTGGGAGGAGTGGGTACTGGCAGCCCACAGCGGGGCAACGGGGTAGGGAGGCACGTTTCTGGGGAAGGCACGTGCATCACCCTGGTTTCACTCAAGTCTGTGCTCAAAGTGTCGGCAGCAAAACAATCCCCCCTCTGCAAACAAACCTGCCAAATTAGCATTTTCAACATTTGGATTGATGATATGACTGCTGCTTGCCACAGACTTCTAGGAACTGGATAGTCTTAATTCCTTGTGCAGAGAGCTGGCAAGGTGGATGGACCCTTTTCTCAGTTGGATTTTAATGAGCAATGACACAGTTCCTAGACGTCCCTGCCATGCAGCCGACTCCCCGTGGCACGGCTAAGAAAAGCCGACTTCTGCAAAGAACTGACGCGGCCATTCTTGGTAGCCTTGCGTATTTGCATACCGAGATATACGTGTAATTATAGATCTGCACATAGGCACACACACATCTACTCTCCCTGCCTAAAGAACTTCACTCACCAACTCCTATCCATCTCCGAGCACACAGGCCAGTCTCTGGGTCGGCACCTACGGCCAGAGCTGGGCTCCAGGCCCCCTTGTTAAGACCATTTCGGGTCAATGGCAAACAAGGGAAGACCAAAGATGCTTGCAGGTGAGCCCAGTGATATGGATCCCAAGGGGAATGGTTCCAAACCTCACATTCACAGTGTTACTTCCTACAGATGTAAATCCTCAGCAGGAACAGCACGTGGCCTGGGGTGCTCAGAGCCATGGAGGTGACGGTGGGGGGATGGAGCACTTTCCTGCGCTCACAAACATGCTAGCAGGCTTTTTATGGGAAACGGCAGGATGAGAAATGGGAGCCCAGCGGGGGTGGGGGACGATGGTGACTTACTTTCCGTTAAGGTTCCCTTCCGGTCCTGCTCAGACATGGGACCCATTTCTACCACTCACGCCCTGGCTCAGTGGGGCCTCAGTGGGGGCTGGCGGGAAAGCCCTGCACCCCAGTAGGTCCCAAACCGCTGCAGCAGGAAAGGTCAGGAAGGAAATGGCAGCTCTGGGGCAGGGGGTCAGCTTGGGGGTCTCCAGGCAGTTTGGTGTGAGTCCCGCAGGGCTGTGTGCGCTGCGGTGGGATGTCAGGCCCATACTGGCCAGACGTCAGGGTAACTAACCAGGCACCAAGACTCCTTTGCAGACCCTGGAAAAGGGCTTCAAAGTTATCTCCACTTACCATATGAAATACCCAAAACGCTGCCTGCGCTTGAACTCACGACCAAACTGACCGGCATGGCAGTCATCACGTGACCGGCCCGCCTCTGGGGGCCAAGAAGGCAGAGTGCCCGCTGGCATCGTCAGACGGCAAGCACGGCCCCACTCGTAGGCATGCCACAGGCTCTGCCCAGTAGAGGTCAACCCAAACGTCCAGGCCTCATCTGCACTGGACAATTTGGCTACTTTGGGGCTGGAAACAGAAAGCTGGTGTGGTGGCCTGGGTCTAGGGTAGAAGCAGCAGCTCTGAGGGGCCACAGGCCGGCCAGTCGCTGCCCAGCCCTGTCCCTTCCTGCCCCCTCCAATCGAGCCCCATCATGGGTCCAGTGGGCATAGATCCACACCCTCCTGAAAGGAGGCCCAGTGTATGGGTTGAGCAGGAAAGGAGATGGAGGAGGTGCCGGGGTCCTTCTCTAATGGTTGCCAAGACACCAAACTTTGCTCTTGACCAAGACGGGTGCAGACAAAGGTAACTCTATTACATGCCTGGGCCCTAACACCCAAGAGAAATCACATGGGAAGACCCCAAAGGCCAGTCAGCCCCTGGGCAGACTGCAGCCCAGACTCTGCTCGGGACAGGACCGCAGGACATCCGGGCCGGCGTCGCTGGACACGACAGACTGCCGCAACCAGGTGGGCTGGCCTTGTCAGTGCGGTGCCAGTGGTCCTTCACTGGGGAGCGAAAGCTTTAGAGCGGTCCGTGCGGGAGGAGGAGGGTGCTGCGGGCGGGCCCGGAGAGGCACCGCCCGTGCACGGGACAGGGGAGCGGGCACCTTCCAATCCTCAGAGGGGCTGTGTGAATTCCTGACCAAACCCCTGAACATTAAACATCCCTAAATTCTTATCACATGGGGACGCGTGAGAAAGGGTGGCATGCGCCACAGAACGTCGCTGGCGTGTTAATAAGGAAGACAGGTGTCTGGTGCGAAGAGCTCCGGGACAGAGAGCAGGGGGCGGCTGGAGAGGACCGGCTCGGGGGGCTTCTGCAGGCGCTATCGCATGCGGCACAGACTTGGCAATGCACATACTTTACACGGGCATACAAAGTTACCTTAAAATTAATCTCTTTACTGATATAATTAAACTTTAAATCCTGAGAAGAAAACAGAGAAAGGGAAGTGTGGCGCTGGATATCGCATTCCCAGCCCCCCCCCCCCCGGCGACCCGCACACCCCATGGCATTCCTGTCGGGGGGCCGGGTGTGGCCCTGACCCCCAGGCCAGAGCCCTGGGGAGTGCTCCCGAAAGCCTGCTGGCGCCACCTTCTGCCTGTGGGACAGCAGAGAGGCCCGTGGCCAACCTGCAAGACCGAGGACTTCGTCCTGGACGCAAGAGCAGCTGTAGCCTGGTGACCGCAGGCAGGTGGGCGCTAAGAGGACGGGAACAGCCGGTTAGCTGGCATTTTGCACTAGCTGCAGCACAGAGGGTTAGTGACCAGCGGCTCCCGCCCTCCGCAAGGACTCAGGCTCAACCCCACGTGACTGCGTATGGTCCCTGCACGCAGCCTCCCTGCCACAGAGCTCCTCTGCCACGTGGCAGAGCCGGACACCACCTGCCCGGCATGGCGCGACTCGAGGGGAGGCCTGTGTGCGGAGCCACGCCGGCGTGGGCAGGCCCCCCCGGCTCTGGTGCCGCTGCCCCGTGGGCGCTCAGCACGTGGCGACCTTGTGGACATTCCGCAAACAAGTCAGCAATCGATGATATGGGTTTCCTGGTGCCGCGACCACCTCGAACACGGACTGGAAGGCCCGGCGGTCCAGCTCCTCTTCTATCTGGTGTCTGTAAAAGTCCGTGGCCACCAGGCAGAAGAGGTTCACGTCCACCTGCTCCAGCTTGCCCATCCTGCTGATGACGTGGGGAAGGCTGGGAGAGGAGTTAAGGGAGCAAGGCCCGAGTGAAGGAAGAGTGGTCCCCCATGCACACCTCTCTGTCCTCACCAGGCTGTCCTCCCCCGACATGTGTCTACAGACGGGCCCGGGGTGGGGCGGGGGGGCCTGAGAGCTGAGGCCCGGGCACCTGGAATGTGCAGCCGCAGCGGCTGCCTCCCAGCTCGGCTCCTGCCGGCCAAGCTGGGCACAGCCAGCCGGCGCTGCTGCGCTGGCTGGAAGCCCAGCCCTGGCCAGTGGGGCAGGGGGAGCGGGCAAGCAGGCTGCGGGAGCCCTGCAGCGAGGGTCTCCACTCCACAGCACTTACCTGGCCTGGCTCCCTGCACAGCACCGGCCACTGATGCTCCCACCAGCCCTGCTCCCGCGGGGTGAGGGCAGAGCCATGGCCACCGGGCCCGGGTCCTCCCAGGCAAGGCTGAACGAGGCCTGCAGCCAGCACCCGGACAGCCGTCTGTCTGCTCAGACGCGCTGGTCTGTCTTGGGGGAAGGCTGCCAGAGGAGAACATCCCCTTTTGGCAGCCAGCATTTTTGGGGTGGGAACTGGATCTTTACTTAAGCCTTTCACTCGAGAGGATGACACAAGGCACAATGGACCAGGAGTAATGAAAAGCAGCGTCAGCCACAGACCCAGCTGCATGGGGCCCGTGGGCGGGCGGGAGGAGGTCCACAGGGACACGCGGGAGCACCCCTCCCGCCCCGCCTCCCCTGGCGGTCCTGGTCAGTGTGGTAAACATTCGCCTTTCTGTTCCCTTACCAATGCTGCACTCTCTCGAGGCTTAAGGTAAATGTCATTTGACAGCCTGGCTTCCTTGTAAAGGTTAAGCTTCCAAAACTTTAACAGGAAATATGAACCCAGATGCTAAGAGAAGAGTCTGCAGGACTGATAGAACAGGAGCTACAGCACTCTGGCCTGGACCCAGGGAAGGATACACAGCCGAGACCCATGGGCTGGTGGAAGCACTGATGAAGAAGCAGGAGAGGCTCCACACGGCCATAGCCACCGGGGTCCTCTGGGTGAAGTTGGAGAGGGACAGCATGACCCAGTCCCTGACCATGGATGACTGCCCGGTGGTGTGCAGAGTCTGGAAAACCTGAGGAAGACGAGAGGCTGGGTCAAGGGGTGCTGCTGGTTCTCAAAGGTGAGGAACTGGGCCCACAGGCAAGGCCACTGGGTTAGCACATCCACATGGTAAAAGGCATTCAGTCTGGAAAGTCTGGGTGGGTCTCCCTCGGGGGCCTCCCCGGCCGCGTGACCCAGTGCCCTCACCTTATACACGACGGTGGCCATGAACTGCGGGTATGGCTGCTGGTTGGAGAGAAATTCTCCAATGACTTTGTTCATGACATCCTGGGGTGGGAAGAAGTCATCTAAAAACTGAGGAAGGATCCGTGCCACCACTCTGGCTTCACAGGGGAAGCCTTTCCTGACCCTAAAAGGAGGGGACACAGGTCAGAGTCTGGCCCCAACCTGAGAGCGCCTGGCATCTGAAGTCAGTTGAGAGATGCCCTGGGTCCTAGAATGTGACCTGCAAGAGCAAACACGTGACACCCCTCCCTTGCTGACCTCACCGGGGACCTGTAGATGAATGCACAGACCCGGGGCCCCCACCCCATGGGGGAGGCCGATGACTCAAGAGAGGGGTTTCTAAGTCGTGTCAAGTAATAAGCAGAAAGGGTCTGAGATGGTGCTGTCAGAGATAAAAAAAAAAAAAAAAACTCCTAAGAACACTGTCCACGACATGTTCGCTTCCGTCCACGTCCAAATGCTCTCTGAGCTTCCTCTCAGCTCCCCGTTCTGACACCACAGCACTGCAGTCAGCGAGGACCTTTCTTCTCCCCGACGGGGGCCCGCACACACTCTTGCTGACGCCCCTCCGCCCCCGCGACTCCGGTCTGCACACTCCTGTGAGTGCACACAGAAGGGCCGTACGCTGCTGAAAGGCTCCGGAACTGGCCCAGAAACTGGACCCGTGCCCCCTCGCGGGTGTGCTCGGATGCCCGCCTGCCGATGACAGCTGTGGCCGAGCACGCACGAGGTTGCTGCCCTGGACGACGCCCACGGCTGAGCGCGACCCCTGTCAAGCTGGCTCCCGCACCAGGTGTGTGCAGCGCGATCAAGGTGCATGCCTGACGGCACTTGCTACAATCCTGGTTTGTTTGGTCAGCACTGGGGCACAGTGCTGGGGGGCACAAAGGCGGGGACTCAAGTGCGGGCTCCCCTGCCTGCCACCTGGCTGTGGTCGAGCTTGACAGATCTGTGTGGAATGGAAGAAGGGCTATAAACACTCATTTGAAGTGTCAACACAGAAACAGACTGCAATGCTTGGCTTCCACAACACCTCATCTGGCCCACGTGGACAGACGGACAGCCTTGCTCAGTGCGCTCTTGTGAAAGCCACACGCTTCCTGCTGACCGAAAGGGACAGGACAGGCTGAGTGGCACACAATGGGCCTCCCAAGGCCACAGACGCATCATGTCGCCTGGGCTGGGAGGCCTGGGTCAGAACCCAGGGCCCTGTCCTGGGGAAAGAGCCTGGTCAGGTGCCTAACCCATTTTCCAGAACTGGCAAGCCGAGCCAACTCTGGACATAAGTGCACACCATGGGGAGAGGCGGGGGTTAATGACAAGCCCTCAGAGGCACTTTTGTTTATTGTCTAAACCTTTACCATAGTCTACTCAACACTAGTCCCGAAGCCGTTGCTAATGCTGCTCAAAGGCTATGCTCCTCATGGCCCCGGGGGCGGGACCTCAAGGCTCTCCTCTTCCCCAAAGGCAGCAGTGTGTGATGGACGTCTTTGGGACTGCTCAGAACTCCATGCGCAGGACTCATCTCGTTAACAAGCCCCTCCTGATGCCTCCACTCTGAGGGGTGCTGTCCCCCCATCTTCACGAGACAGGCAAGGGCTTGGACTGGCCTCAGAGCTGGTCAACCCCAAGCTCCTGGGTGCTGGGGTCCAAGGACCGCCCGTCCCCGCAGAGCCCTGAATGAGGTGTGTGTGTGGTCGGGAAGCAAGTGGGAAGCTGGTGGATCACAGGGGCAAGGCTGACAGGAAAGCAGGCGCATGGGAAGGCAGCGGCTCCTGGCGAGCATCCCAGGGCAGTTAAGGGTAAAGCTGGACTTCGTTTCTTACCTGTCAAAAAGAACAGACACACGCTCCATCGCGACAATCACTGACTCGCTGTCCGGGGCGGCAGGGCTGGGGTCTGAGGTTCTGCCTGGACTGATTTTCTCCTTCCCTGAAACAAATCCTTCTGTACGGTTACATGCTCTGAAGACTGTACCTTGAACTCACACAGGAGTTCAACAAACCCTGAGAGATGATGTGAAACCAGGTGGAGGGAGCTCTCAGCAGCCCAGGGCCCAGCCCAGGTACACAGGGTGCAGTGGTCAGTCTGCAGACCACTTTGCAGTTACAGCAATGTGACCCTGAGCCAGTAACCCCGTGCTCCAGACTCTGGGATCTCCCTCTAGCGCCAGTGAGGCCCTGTGGTCTGCGTCCCGAGAATGAGAGCCCTCCTCGCTCACTGAGACGGGAGGCCTGTGTGGCCTGCAGCTTGGCGGCACTGACCTGCCAGGCACAGGTGGGCCTGGGCCCCCGCAGCTCACCTGTATACATGCAGGTGAGCATCAGGCCCAAGGCGGCCATGGCCCGATGTGGGCTGTGCACATTCACTCTGTCCACACTCAGCTTGACCAGGGACTCTGCATCCAGACGGCACAGCTGTTCACACAGCAGGAGGCGTTCCAGGCCCCGCAGGACGCAGTGGTAGATGATGGACGGGGTGGCTTCCTCACTTCCAGACAGCATCACCCCACACATCTGAACAAGAAGGAAGACTTTGGGTCAGGCCTCTGTCGCTCGTGCCTACTCCCTAAATCAAAGTGACCTGACCCTATCACCCGCAGGTGACTGTGCGTGCATACCCACTCCTGCTCCAGAGGAAGGCACCCAAGGCCACTCACCTGTATGATTGACGCAGAGAACTCCGGGCCCACATCCAGGGGATAGTTCTCGATCAGGTAGAAGGCAGTGGCACACATCACCAGCACATGCTGCTGGCTATGAATGTTCACGCAGCTGAAACCATGAGGTAAGGCCCAAGCTGACAGTGTGTGGTGTCCTCATGTCTTGGGGGTCTCAGCCCCCATCCCCAAGGAAGGGTGACCCCACCACGTGATGTGTGACCCCACTCTGCCCTGGGCCACACAGAGAACCCCATGCTGCTGCTTGTACTCACTGGGCCACCCCTTTGAGGTTGGACAGGAGGTAGTCGCTGATGACTGGGACGAGCTGCTTCGCCGTCTCATCCAGGAGGTCACACTCCAGCACGTAGAGAGCGCCGTGCAGGGCCCCGACCTTGCTGGGCAGGTGGCTGCTCCTCAGGGTACTCTCCAGTAGCCGGCTGACGGGCTCTGCCACAGCCTTATCCTAGAGCACAGGCACGGGGAGCAGAAGCTAGCCCATGATGAACGGGGAGGCCAATGACGGGCTGGCCACGCGCTACAGAGGAAGACCGTGTGCAGCAGGAGCTCCGCCGCGGGCCCGAGCCGCCCTACAAGAGGCCCGCACAGCACAGGTGTCTGGTGCTGGCCATCAGGAGCATTCCTGGCTCCTCAGCTGTGCCTCCCCCGTCCGGACAAATGCTGTGGTCGGTGACAACACCCCTTCCTCCTGGGGGTCTGTGGTTTGGGCCGAGCCAGGGAGAGGGGCCTGCAGGACCAGCCCCAGCGAGAGCCCTGCTCCGCGTCTCTTAACAAGCTTCCCCAGCAGACAAGACCCCACACGTGTTGTCACGACGCACTGCTGGGAACAGAGCGTGTCCCACCTGACTCCCCGGGAGAGGGTGCTGGAAGCTGGCACCTGCTTCCTCTGGACTTCGTCCCCCCCATTTGCCCCCTACCCCGTACCTTTTCCCTTCACTGATTTTGCTTCGTATGGGTTCACTGGGATAAATCCCGGCCTTGAGTACATATGAATCCGGGGTGGTCTTAGGGACCCTGGACAACAGTCTATACTGACCTGGACTAAAACCTTACCTGTGTCCTTTTAGCACCCTAGACCTAGTGGGGTGCAGAACGCAAACACTCCACGCACACTCCTCCCTCAGGACTCTCTCCTTTTTGGAGAAGAGGCGGCCACAGAAAGCGGTGTGGAGGTGGGGGTGACCCCAGTGCTCAAGAGCCACCCCACCTGGGAAAGGTGGCTACTGCTGCCTGAGGGTCCCTGCGGGCCACCTGAGGGCCAATGTGCACACACCAGGGTGATGTGATGCCTTCCTAAGGACTCCCACTCGGGGGCCCAGTCCCCGCCTCAGCAAACACCAACAGGACCTGCTGTGAGGCAGGCACGTTCCCCAACACTGTGTAAGTATCTCGGCAGGAAAGGACCAGCTGTGGAGCCCCGTGGCCTGCATCAACACGCACACACCTCCACCTTCACGAGGGACGTCTGTGCGCATGTCAGGACAGGGAGAGCATGAGCATGCAGCATCTTGCCTTAGGGTCTTCTTAAAAAACGATTATTACTTAATTTACTGACAACACATTTGTCTAGGGGCATCTGGGCCTGAGCACAAAAACACAATTATAATGAAAACAAACCCAGCAGCTAAAACCCCCCACAAAGACAAAAGGACCACTTCAAGTCCAGCTGCTTTCACATGTCTCTTGACACCCAGAGGGCACACACTTTGAAGTGACGTGCTCACGGGGGAAAGCCAACGGACTCATTGTTCCTGCTCCTCGACGGTGGCACCATGGCCAATGGCCACCCAGGATGGAGGATACCTGCCCGGGCACTCGGGTCAGAGGGACAAATTCAACAAGGGAGCATAGCTGGGAAGGGGCGAGAGTTGGCTCCGGGCCACAGACGCGGGCTCATACCTCTGCCACGTCCCGTGTGAGCTGGTCTTGTCCTCCCCTGCATCGGGCCAGGTGCAGGGGACCTGCCGCAGTGCCCAGGACACACAGGACTGCGTGGGGATGTGGGGGAGGCAGCCCCCTGTGTAGGGTGAAGGAGTTGTCTGCTGCCAACAGGAAGCTGGGCTCCCTAGTCACTGGCAGCGGCTACAGCCAAGAGCACAAGCCAGCTCTGTGCAGCCTGGAGACCAGTTACTTTCGTCTGATAGCAGAGCTTCTGTCCCTCACCAGCTAACAAAGGCGGGGCCCGCGCACAAGCACTTTCATGTGCCCACATCACGTCTGGTGAGCAGGTACCACGTGGGGACGTACGCACAGAAAACGGCTGCACGCCGCACTGGCCGAGTTCTCATCAACTGGATGCACAGTAAGAAAGAACTCAAAAGTAGGCAGTGTGCCCTCCTGCCAAGAAAAGACCAGAGCACCCAGACCTAGGGAGAGGAGATGCAGGGTGTCTGGGGTAAAACGGCCCCCAGGAGGGAGGCTCTGTTGACAGGAAGCACAGGAGTCTGTGGGGGACCGTGGGAGACTGTGGAGGAGAAGCCAGTCACGTTTCCACCACCCACACCCCTGGCTCCTAGGGGGATGGGTCACCATGATGACCCAGAGCAAAGGGGTACAGGAGCCCTAAACCGAGGCTCACCCATGACAAACACGCTTCACAGTGACTCATGGAAAAGCAGGGATGACCTCCTGCCCATGTGAGACCTTCCAAGGCCGAGGCTACGCCCACAGCATGCAGCCAACACAAGGCGGCCCCCACACCACCCCTCACTTACCATTCCCAGGACGGCAGCCGCCTTGCAGGTGGCGGGCACCAGGTACTGAACGAGAATCTCGTCTTCTGCAGGGTGCACCCTCCGCAGCTCTGTCAGCGTCAGATACATCATCTCAAACTGGGTGCGTTCGGTGAACAAGTCTGAGACTACTAGGAGCTGGAGACACAGGGCATTCGGTTAGGAAGTGAGCAATAAAGACCAAAATGCATGTGCTGACATCCACCAGACAATGAAATATGGGCATTCACAGGAGTCCTGACCGGGTACATAAGCAGGCCACACCCGGAAACCTACAATAACAGTGTAAACAGACAACGTGAAGAATGACTGGTCATCGAGTATCTTCTTAAAAATGCCTCCGCATCTATACTGCCCACCGAGAGCTGGCGCCTGGATCTCAGTCACAACCGTGGGGCACTAAGAAGATCTCCAACTGCTATCCTGCAAAACACCAGGCCCCCCTGCAGCGTTGGGGACAGGCTCTCCAAAGCCCTGGAGAGAGAAATGGGCCACCGTTTCCAAAATAAATGCTTGGATGATTCCCTGTCTCCCCAACATGTTTAGTTCTCTGAGGCTCGCTTCTTCACATGACATCCAGAAATAAATGTCACCAGGCACGCAGGCAGGAGCGCTGTCTCTCCTCAGAGGCCCGGGTTCGAAGCCAACGGGGCTCAGCAAGTCACCGGCAGAAGCCATGCCGAAGGTGGACACAGTGGACACCGGCGGGCCTCCTGGGCCTCTCGCGGTCGGAACTGCTTCCGGGGTAACGCAGAGACCGTGTCTGCCTTTTCACTCTTGTTCTCTTCCGACCACAGCGCGGTGTCTTCTAGAAGTCCTTTGATACCAGACTGAATGCAAAGCAGACATGAGAATCCAACTCTCTTCTAATAAACCAGTCAAGAGATTTGCAAAAATGTAAAACAAGGCTCTTCTTACTAATTGTTTAAAAAGTGTTATTTTTAAACTAAAAGCATCATTGTTATTTTAGATGAATTAATAAATAAGAAAAGTAAGAACTTCATTACAGGTACTTATAATTTACCGACTTTGGGGGGCAAAAAATCAGGTTGTAAGCTTCTACTACAAATTAAAAATGAGGTTCTTAAAAATCTCACCTTGACCAGATATCTAATGATCTTAGAATCATAAAAGGCGTGTGCTGACAAGAGCCGGGCTCAAAACCACACACCTGCCGTTACTGGACAGAGGCACGTCGGGGACAGAGAACCAGAGCATGCACACGGCAGAGACTTGCAGACGCTTCTAGCTGGCTGGTCCACGGGCAGGAAGCAGGGACGGAGGGTCTTGAGCTCCAAACTCTCGCTCACTTCCCGCCATGTGATGGTAAAGACGCGAAGATGGCGTCTAACGAGGAACGATTTTTAAACCTCCACGACTGTGCTCCAGGTTCTGTAAACACTGACAGACCTAACCCTTGCACAAAGGCTCTTTGGGTCCTCAAACACACAGGAATCTGAATCCGCAGTCTGAGAACGACCGCCCGCCCCGGAGCTTCTCGCAGGGCGTGTGGACTCAGGACTGTCTGTCCAGCTCTCATGCAACCAAGCCCTTGAGACGGACGTGGGTAAGCAGGGGGGCCTGGAGAGCCCTCACACAAGGGGACGCCCCCACAGCACTCCTACCGGCCATGGGTCAGAAATGCACCAACGGCCCCTCTGTGGCTGCAGAAACACCACTTCATCCTCCTGCATGTGTGAGCCGCTGAGAGCGCCCTCCCGGGGCCCCAGAGACCTCGAACTGCGCGAGCGCGCGCGGGGCCTGTGCCGCGGCGGGTGTGTGAGCGGCCGTTTGCCCGGACACCGTTGTGAGCGCCGTGTGCCGCCAGGGCAACGGGGAAGGCAGACTTACAGATCGAACCACTTCGCTGATCAGGATGATGGGCGTCCTTCGGGCCGACCCTGACGGCAGGATCCAGCGACTGTACAGTTCGAGCAAAAACTGGGAACAGGAGTGGATATCGACCCCAGCCCGGTGCTTCCTGCAGAGCAGACCAGAGGGGCGGTCGCCCCACACACAAGATGAGAGGCTCTTCTCAAGAGGTACCCAAACAAATCAAATGACTGAGGGGAGACTTCGAAAAGCTTGAAATGAAAGGCAGAGGGGAAACCTGGAGTTGACGGGCGACGTGGGTGGTGACGCGGGGGCGGGGACGTCGGCCTCCTCCTCCTCCTCCTCCTCCCACTCCTCCTCACGCAGGGGCGTGATGCCGTTCCCCAGCCACACGGAGTGAATGGACACCTTCGGGAGACAGGGCCCTGGGCTCAGCGCTCGGGGCACACGTGCGGGTCCGGCCCCCGAGCTGCGGCCCCCTGGCCTATGCCTGCTTCTTGTGGGGACAGTGGCAAGGCTGCCAGAACAAGAGCCGACCCGCCCAGCAGGGCCCCACCCCGCGCTCCCACACACGTGCTGGCAGGACAGTCCTCCGACACGCGGCACGGACCGCGCCCCCCCAGCCAGCAAGCACCCACTCCCGCTCCGCACCAACAGCCGTTTCCCCTTTGGATCCCACCAGCCGTGGGGGTCCTGGCCGCGGGCGGGCAGGCTGGAGGCAGCTGCCTGAAGGCTGCCACAGACGGACTATGAACCACAAAGCCTCAACGCCACCTTCGGGCCTCGAGAGAGGGGGTGGCCCCTCTGTTCCCCTCACTCCCCAACAGCCAGCGATGGCTCCGCACAGAGGGACGTGGGAGCCGGCTGGTCTCCGGACAGGACAGGGCAGGGGGAGAGGTCAGGGCTCCGCTCCCGATGGCTGGACATGAGCGCAGATGCTGAAGAAAGGACTCAGCTGGGCAAATGCCTCTGGACCCAGAAGGAGGCCGGGTGCCCCCGAGAGCCACAGTTGCTCATTCGCAGCCTGCTCCCCAGAAACCCACTTCTATAGGAACGACACTGAGCCCCATCACCCTGATTTACCTCAGGGGCAGAAACTTCACTGCAAGGACAGCATGCATAGCCTGGCTGTGTCCCCTTGTGCACAGAGGAGTGTGTGTGAGCTGGAGTGAACAGGATGGAGCGGGCCTGGGGGCCCTGCCGCTAAAGCTGTGCCCAGAGCCGCTGCGGATGCCCTCCAGACAAACAAGTGTTTCTGACCCCTGCTGTGGCTAATGTCCCCTAAAACAAAAGCTAAAAAGAAAACAGTCCTGCATAACTGCTTTCTAAGTAAACCAGCAAGGTTTGAGAGGACACAGAAGTGGACAGAGCAGCCAGCAGGCTGCCCACGGGAGTCCCCTTCGCCCAGCACACACATGCTCATGGCTCCAGGAGCCATATCCCTGTTCTCCAGCTCCTCGACCTGCACTATCACATGCGTGACTGTCCTGTCTTTCTCACAAGGACACAGAAACACACAGTTCAAAGTGACCCACCCAGGAAGCTGTCGACCTGGCACCCAGAGCCGGCCCATCAGCTGCACTGGGCTATCTGACCACACTTCCCTCTGAGCTGGCAGCTGGGACGCTCGTGGCCAAATCCGTGGCCCCCTGGAGCAAGGGCCCTTCTGTGTGCTCACTCCACCCAAGCTGCTCGTGCCTGGCTGTCTGACCCCCCAGACCTAAGCCTGACTCTCAGCACCTTGCTACATTTACACTCACATCCTACGTACACAAGATACCTTAAATCTTCCTTGGAGTAGAGAATATAAATGAGGACAGATAAAAGAAAACTCTTAAAAAAACGCATGTAATTTTTCTGGATGCAGCCAATGGCCCAAATTCACGGCAGTCAAGAGAGAGCGAGGAAAGCAGGAAGACATGCCCTGGCTGCGCTGCGGCGGGGGAGACACTGACCTGGCCAAGCTTATAGCTCATGTTCCCCAGCTCCCGCTCGGGGTTGATCTGCAGCAGAAGCTTGTCGTGGCTGATGAGGGCACCTGCAGGGCGACAACACCGTGAATGCTATCCTGCATGGAGCCTGCCCGACAGCACCCACCCCGGGCGGCAGGGTGGACAGCTCTGCAGAACCCCAAGGGTCTCTGGGGTTTTCTCTGGCAGGGCCTGTGCGGCCAATTCTGAATTACCACCTTTTCTCTGTAACAAACCAGCTTCTGACTCTGCATGGGAACCGGTTGGGGGCTGAGCTGCAGAGGTGTTAAGTCAGCAGCTGCAGATGGGGCGGTGGCCCCACAGGCACGCACTCTGGGGGCCCAGACAATGTCGGCAGGCGACACCTCCCGGGAACCTGCCCCGGTATCCAGGCTGTCCAGCTGCACCCACCAATGCCCCCACTCAACCCATCTTCTCCACAACCACTGTCTTTCACACCCTCTATACCCCAAACGACTCCCGCCCCCCAGCCAGAGATCCCTGGCTAACCCTTCACCAGACCTAGCGTCAACGCACCCTCTCCCAGGACCCTTCCTGATTGCGTTCCCCTGGGGCGTTTGCATCTCTCCCGGTACCCACTCGCCCCGGCCTCCTGTGACAGTGAATGAGGCCACTTCTCTCTCCTAGGGGCAGAAGCTGCTCAGGGGACCCATGGCCATCGCAGTGCACACGCCTGAGCTTAGTCCAGCACTCCAGTAAATGTCTAGTGTCTGCACGTCCACACAGAACGCTCTCCAAGTAAGGCATTCAAGATGTTTAAAATCACAGGACCTAACAACTCCTAAAATAAACTAGGGAATCACAAAACCGCTGTGCTAAAATCCTGTCTGTTCAACAAAAAACACATGCATTTAAAAACAAACAAACATAAAATTTCCTTCTTTTAAGCGGGGGTGACACACTCCAGTGCCCATTACAGGGCAGGCACACAGCCCGCAGGCCCAGACAGAACAGGTGCACCTGGCCAGCAGCAGATGCAGGGCCGGGGGAGGGAAGGGCCGCTGGGGGCGGATGGCTCAGACCCAGGGATGCCCAGCCCTGGCGGGCTCTCAGAGAGTCCAGGCCTGCTCTCGCCGTAGCGCTCTCTGCTCTGAAGCTGGAGAGTCACGGGAGCGACTAGTTCAGCTTCTACACTCCCACTCAGGCTGCCCGTCTGAGGATGAGAGCCACTCTGCTCCCCTGTGGCCTGACTGGTGAGGGACAGCACTCCAGTTCAGTTCCAGACTCGAGCTCCTCAAGACTGCTAAAATCGCCTGGTCCTGACTGAGACGGCTACTCGTGAATTAAGGGCCGTGCAGTGAGGACCACGGCCTCCAAAAAGATATCTCCGGTCCTTCTGCCCAACCGGTGGTGTTAGTATCTTGGTCACATTCTTGTTCTGGCCCAGGTACACACAGCCCCTCTTCCCACAGGTACCTGTCGTAGCAGGAGACAGAGAAGGGACGGGGTCCCACGCCTGGTATAAGTGATGGGTGGCGATGTTCTCTCTCTTTGAAACCATTGCTTGGATTTCCTGCTCTACAATTCCTCGGATAATGCTCAGCTTCCTCCCAAACCTAAAATTCAGAACAAAGGTTAAAGAATATTTTGCCTCCTTCAAAATCTTAAAAGCAAAAAACCTCAGGGCTTCCTCCAGCTTTGCCTACAGGAAACAGAGGCACCTGTAACAAGGAATGACACTCCCTTTGAGGGGACTCCTGTCCACGTGCCCTTGGCTAGTTCTTGATCTGCTAGAGTCTGCCCTAAACACTCAGCGGACCTCACTGCCACGGGTCACCAAACCCCTTCTGGATTTGTGCCTTACAGTAAGGCTGCATGCACAGGTGTTTTGTCGTTCTGGCAACAAAGCAAAGGGCCCGGGGTGAAGGTGCTGGTCACTCTGGGCAGGGTGGACAGGCACTTCACTGTTCCCACCTGGTGTCGAGGGCTTTGAGGGGCTTGTTCCGGGGCTGCTGCTCCAAGCAGCTCACGGCTGGGTTGCCAGCCACGGGCACGGTCATTGCGCTCAGCACCAGTGAGGTGATGGCCTGCACGGCCAGGACATTGATCTGGGTCCTCTCCGTGTCTTCCTGGAAGGAGAGCCCACACTTTACCAAGTCACGAGTGGCCAGACACCCGAAAGCACTTCTGCCCCCACCTGCACACAGAACCCGAAGGCCGTGGTTCTCAGGCTGCATGGTCTTTGGGTGAGCCCCAAGTGCTACAGACGGACACGTCTTCCCAGCAAGGGTCCTGTCTTGTCTGCCTAAGTTCCCCACATCTGGGACCTGAAATAAATCTGATGGCCAATGTCCACCTTTCAAAGCAAGGTCTCCTATAGGCACAAATCTCCAAATACAAATTACTTTTTAAGATATTGCCCTTAAATTTCCTCACTCTTTTTAGGAACTCTGCATATGACAACCTGTTAGTTCTACACGTGAATTTAAAGTCACTGGTGATTTCAGACATGTGTGCTCTTTGAACTGACATTTCTACAAGTTTGTGCCATACCATCTACCGGAATTAAGGACTTCTAACCAATGGCTTTCAATATCTCAGGCTTTGCCTTATCAGAACATGGCTTTTACTAACATTACGTACCTTAATATTCTAAGAAGCCTGATAAACCTCTGCAAAGCAGTCAAATAAACACAGGTACATACACATCCATGGCCTTTATCACGTGCCTTTTCATTCTGATTCAACCTCCACACTGTACGTGAATACTGATAAGCAGAACTCAGACATATTTTCAGGAAAGGGTGTAATCCTACTGACCCTTAACACGTGATGCGCCATGGTAAAGTGTACTGTGGCCACTGGCAATCGAGGCCAGTCAAACCTCGAGAGAATCTGCTCCTGCTCTGCAACATTAGTCTAGATAGGACCTGGCTACCCTGGTGAACATAAGGGAAGACCAAAACAACGAGCCTGCTGCCCTTCTCTTGCCCCCCACGAACAAGTCACCAGCTGCCTCTACTGCCCGGGTGCCGGCCAGTGGATGCACGGGCCTGCACGCGGCCTTACTTCCGGTGGGCTCTCCTCCTGCTCCATCACGAGGGGCTGAGTCACCAGGACGCCAAGGAGGGTGGCCCACGTTTCCTCAAACTGGGTGCGGCTGGTCCACCCTAGGAAGCCAAATGTTACATGAGACAGGGTCGCCCGCTCCCCAGACTCCTTGATGTGACGTGGCAGCTGGGCCGCACGGCTGCAGCCAGAACGGGCCCCCGCCCCCGGGAGCCGCACAGCAGCCCCCTCAACCCCAAGCCAGTTCTAAGATGCAGCCACACTGTCAGCTGCACTCCTGGGCAAGGACACGGAAGCACCCACGTCTGAGGCCACACGACAAGCAAGTGGCCCCCTCTCCACCCCTGCTGTGGGGTTGCAGTCAGGTGAAGGGACGTCTAAGCAGCAGGCCACACTTGAGCAGGTCCGCACCGCTCCTGCCCTGCTCACCAGAGGGCTCACAAGTCTTCCCCAAAGACAAACCGTAGCACTGAGCTGCGAGACCAACCGTGGCACTGAGCTGCGGGCCGCATGACTATGTGCAGACCCCAGCCTGCTGGGTGGCACGCTCTGAGTGGGTGCCACGTGTGCTCTGTGAATTCTCAGTAAAGCTGTTCTACATAAAGAAGTTAAAGGAATGGTTTCTCTGACCCTGTCTAGAAAAACAGCAGATCAAAAAAGGACGTGACCTAGCTGGGGCACTAGCATCTGGCAAAGGCGTGTCTAGCAGGTCGCCCTCGAGCACCGTCACCACCAGCAGCGCTCGAGGTGAGGGATGAGTGCCATGCTTCCTGCTCCCATGCGTGACCTGGGAGGTGGACATGGCCATGCCACTTGCATTAGGGCTATAAGGAACAGGAAGGGGGTGTTGAGGGCAGGAAAACAGAGCATCTAACTTGAAGGTCTCCTTGGTAAACTGGATGCAGAGGGATTAGATGCAGACAGACAGACATAGTGAGGCGGGCAGATGTACAGGCGATGTTTACAAAATTTATTTAAGGGAAGAGAAAAGAATGAACAAAGACAAAGGCAAGAGTAAAGGCAACATCAGGTAGAGACTGTGGAGCTGTCGGGGTCCCTCCTGCAGGTCTGAGTGAGGATTTGAGCACGAAGCTGCCTAAGTAAGAGAGGAAGTGACAGCATGCAGGGGGCGGCCAGGAGACTGCCCAGGAACCACCTTCAAGGTTAGGAAAGAAACAAAGCTTCCCGAGGTAGCCAGTCTTGGGTTGCTGCTGAGACTGCACTTTGGACAGGGTAACCAACTGCCTGCTTCACTCAAGGGAAAAGGAGAGGCAAGACAGTATCTATTGGCTGCCTGAAACTTCCAGGATCAAGATGAGCACAAACTCTGCAGAAGCCTGAGATGGCAGGGGTCACGGGGATGAAGGGCGGGCCCCAGGGGCAGGCGGGGTGCCCACGCCAGACTCAGGAGACCAATGTTCCAGGAAACACCACAGCTGGACACAGCCGACTACAACCCTCCCACCGGACTGGACCTCCAGCCACGAAATAGGGACAAAAAGGCAAGGCACACCGTGCCGCAGGAAGTGGAGAAGCAGCCTGATGGAAAACCACTAGAGCTGCCCTTTAGTGATGACTGCACCAGTCTTGTCTCGTTATGCATAGCGTAACAGCACTACGAATCCACGACACTGGGGGTCCTAGAGGCTAAGACGCCTGCCCCACCACCCAGAGGCCAGTGCCGTCTCACACGATGAAGCCTCCTTCCCCTGCTCACTCCATTTGCTCGCTCTGCACCCAAGGAAATAAGAGCACGCTAAGCTGGGCTGCGTGTGATCTATCACCAGGGGCCTGTCCTGACTTCCAACAAGCCTGGTGTGTGAAGACTTGGGGTTAAGCCTCCCCCCATCTCTCTCACACATCCCCAAACACCACACCAGCCCGGAGAGAATTTTTCACGGTGCCAGTTCGCATTCACTGCAGAATGTACGCACACGTGATCACATCACACCCTATATCTCTTGGTGGAATAAACAAGAACTAGGCGCTTTGAGGACTAACAATTCTGGAAGAGAAACCCGGGCTACCTAGTGCATTGATGCGGTAGATAAACTCTTTAAAGACTTCCTTCTCCTGGAGGAACTCCACCGGGATCTCAGGGAAGGCTGTGCCAAAGTCACCTCCTGGCTTGGGCGACCATCCGAGCTTCCAAACCTGAGAAGATGAAAAAGAAACAGAGTGACCCCGGTCAAGCCAGGACAGCCACACTTCAAGGAAACCATGAAGCATCCTTTCTCTAAAACGGTCTCCTTCCAGAGGCTACATGCCTACCGACAGCTCACGCACACATTCCCGAAAGCGAGTGCACCATCCTTCCGGGAAAACATCTCCCATGCATCGCCCAAGGATCACCTGTCCCATCGTGAGCCTCCCGGGTCTGCTCTGACCTCCCACTTCCCTGACTCACCTGCTCCCAACCTGGCCCGGCCCCTTTCCCTGCCACCACCCCTCTGCACCCCCCAGCTGGCTGTTCTCAAGTCAGGTTCTTGAAGGTTCGTGTTGGTAGCCCCCAGCCGTCGAGGGCAGGTGGGAGCACCCTCGCCCACAAACAGCAGCTGGTGTGTTAGATGAAGGCAGGCATCGGAGGAAGTTCAGCCGCACACGCACACGGAGTCACTGGCGAGCAGCCACAGAAAGCCGTGCTGTCCGCGCCGTAAACCCCGCCAGCAGAGGGCTGACCCGAGGCAGACCCGATGCTGTCCTGGCAGCAGGAGCAACCACCCTTCCAGCCAGCTGAGTGGACCCTTCAGCTCCCGATTCCCCAAGCCCACCGTGGGGGCCTCGGAGACACGGCCAGCCCACCTCCACGGCGCCGGCGCTTCTCAATCCGCTCAGGAAGACGCCGCGTCTCTCACTAGCGTCGCCGAGCTGCTTACCACACACTGGCAGGGCGCCCTCCTCTCGGGGCCCTGGCGCATGCTGCTCCACGCAGGTGACGACCCTGGCTCGAGGAGCGCCCCCTACCGCATGTGCCCTGTGCCAGCGCGTCTGCTCCAGACACCACAACCTCTAGGACGGGCCCCCCCCCGACCACGGCTCCCCACTCCCCTCCAGAGGAGCAGCTGTCTCCAGACCTACACTGACTCCCTGTGCATGGCCGCACCCCGCACAGTGGCAACCCTGCTTCTCCAACGGGCTCTTCCTGCTCTCTTCCCAGCGGGCACGGGGCCGCAGACGCGCCACCCCAGCACACGAGGCTGCAGCCGCTGCTCAGCGTGAGCCCTCCGAGTGGGCACCCGCTGCCCCGCACGCCAGTCTGAGGAGGACTGCTCCCGGGGGGCAGCCTGCCCAGCGTCTCCCTCTCATACACGGGCACTGAAGCTGTGCCCACTGGCAGGCATAGGTCCTTTCTAGGCAAAAGCAAGGTCCTGGCTCACCTTGACCTCCGGCTGTGCTGTGTTCACCCCGTGCCCCTACTTCTTGTCTCGGCAGCTTCCCCAGGGAGGGGCCGTCTGGCCACCATCAACCCTCAACCTGCTCACACTAAGCCCTTCCTGTTACCTGAGACAAGAATCCTGACGAATGCTGACTTGAAATTGATTCCGAGGACAATCTGGAATCCGGAGTTTCAAAAGTGGTCATGCCCAGACAGCTGAGCAGTATCAGACGGTGCCTGATTTTTACATACCCCAGGGGCACAACTTCCAGTCTACCATTGAACAAGGGAGCTGACTTACTTTCTAATCACATCCAACATCGAGTACCGACTACTGGGAGACGAAATCTTACTTCTGGATGTAGTGCCTCACCCCGTGTGGGAAAACCCAGCGCTTCTACCAATGACTGCTGTCACGCCCGAGGAGACCAGACAGGTGCCAGGACCACACACCACGCAAGGCTCTAGCCACCAAGGGGAGGCACCTGAGCAGTCAGTTCCCGCTCTCACCCTCAGGAGCCCCCAGCCAGGGGCTGGCCTGCACATCTCATTTATTTTGGGTTTTCTACCAAGGAAATGACCAGACTTACCAGGGGGGGCACGCGCGTGTAGCTGTTGACAAGGGGTAAGCGAGCCAGGCTGATGATGATGTTCCTGAGCACTGACGTGAGAAACGCTGGGGTGTTGCTATTCCTTTTATGCCCCAAGGCCAACACTGACGGCAAAGACTCCACCATTTCTGCCACCATCCCACAGGCTGCGGTGATATATGCCGGGTCTAAAAACAAACACCGGGGTTCAGAGGGCTGTTCTATCGAAACACATTGCAAACCCGCCACCTCCGCTCCCGATCTTCCCACCCCTGCCACGGCAGAAGGCACAAGCCTGCAACCAGTCGCTCAAGCCACAAACGCAGAGCCCCCTAGACACCCAGGCAGTACTGAGGGCCTACAGATTTTATCTCCTTCCAACCTATCGAACCGGCAATCCTCTCCATGCTGGCCAGGACTGTGGTCTTGAGCCTGTCTCCCGTTCCTGGTCCCAGCCCCAGCCCTCCTGCCCACCCTGCACTACGTGGCCAGCACACGCCGGTGAACACCTAGGAGCAGTCGCGCTCCAGCTTTCCCTGGTTCTCCCAGGACCCTGTGTTCTCTGTGCCGGCGTGCACAGAACCAGGTTGTCAATCTCTGGCTCACTGTTTCCCGAGATCAGGGGTTCTCCCGGGCTGCTGGTGGGATTCTGATGGGGTGCCAAGTCTCCCCTAGAACTCCTGAAGCAGAATGCTGAGGACAACCCCACACACAGCCTTAGGTAAGAGCCACAGCACGTCAAGGGCAGGGACCGCTTTGCATTCACGTTGAGTCTGCCACGCAGTACGTGCCAAAACATTATTTGTTGAGTTGACAAACGCTCTGGGTTGTGCATGAATATAACCCATGTTTCATGAGATTTGACAGGCTAAGCAACTTCCTCATATGGAGAGTGGATTCTTACTGGGCTTACGGAGTCAGCCCCAAGCTGAGAGAAAGAAAGCTGCCTTTAATAACACTGTCTTTTTAAGTAAACTCTGTGCCCAGGGCTCAAACTTCTGACCCCAAGACTTAAGAATCACATGCTGTACCGACTGAGCCAGCCAGGCGCCCCTAATGGGCAATCTTTAAGGGGTATTATCCTATCCAGGTGATAAAAAGAGCGATCTTCTTCCTCTGGCCAGGATGAAATTAACTGGCCTATACTGGGCCACGAGGAATAAGCACAATCAACATAAACTACATACACTCCAGCCTATGGGCCTGTCTGCTCTGACGCGACCCCTTGAAATGCCAGGATTATTTTCAGAGGAATGGAAATTCAAATTATGATTCCAACTACGGGAATGTTTACTGAGCACTTATAACAAGACTGGCACTTGCTCTGGGTGCTCTAATTTATGTAATCCTCATACCAACCCGAGGTCAACGCCATCCGTATCTCCACTGCAGAGGCACCAGATAGTAACTTGCCAAGGCCACTCGGCTAGAACACGGCCAAGCAGGGAGGTGAGTGTTTGCATAGCCCTCACGTATCAACGAGAAGTCATGAAACCACAAACTAAGGGCTGACAGAACCAGGGAGCTTCGAGGTAAGCACCTGGAGAGGAGCCTGGCTGTGTCATACAATACACTGTTCCTGGACAGGGTTACACCATTACAGAACCTTAAACAGGCGACTGGAAGAAAAATCACCATGCTGACTACGAATGACAGGAAAAGGCCATCCTCACCTGGCTGGCTGGCACACATGCCGGCAAAAGGACAAAGCATGTATGTGCTCGGAAAGAGGCACGTTTCCTAAGCCACCAGAGCATGGCTAAGACTCGGGATTCTGAGGTAGAGCACTCCATGAAAGAGGCAGCCAAGAACCGCCAGGGGCATGTGCTTCCGCTCTCTGTGGACGGGCTGCAGGTGGGTACTCCAGCCGCACCCTCTGGGTGAAGACGCCTGGAGGCCCCCAGGAACAAGCAGTCACTCAGCCAAGAGCTTTATCCCCAACCTGCCTCTCCACACTGCCAGCAAAAGACCTGAATCAGGAGAGAACATGCACAGCCATGGTGCACGTCTAAGTCTAAACAAGGCTTAAGTGGATGGGGTGTGGATGTTTTTTCTGCAGGAAGAGTAGTAACTTCCATTTAAAAATCCAACAAAACAGATGACTCAGGTTACCTAACATTCATGTGGGTATGTATGCTAACTTCAAGTCCCTCAGTATTTCCACGTAGTCGCTCATCACGGGATAAACGTTCGTCCACAAGCACTTACGACAGCAAGCACACAGAGTGGGAGCGCAGTCCTGCCCCGGGAGCTCAGGGAGCTGAGTCTAGGTGAGAGGCCTAGAGCAGGAAGCACTAGGGTGGAGGAGCAGCTGTGACAAGAGGGGCGTCGGGAGGGCTCCCCGGGAGTGTGACGCCCCAGCCGAGTTTGGTGGGCCAAAGAAAGCCAGATGAATAGAGCCAGCGTGCTCGCAGGGGAGACAGCACACGCGAGGTGACGTACTCAAATTGCTTTCAAATCTGGAGATAAGCAACAGAATGTAGCTAAATTAAGTAAGCTTTCAAGTGTCCACACTGACCCTTTTAAAAGTCTCTTTTATGAATGAATTTCAAGCCCTCGGAAAAACCGGGTAAGAAAGAACGGATCTTGGGGCATCTGCCTTCAGCTCAGGTCATGATCTCAGGGTTCTGGAATCGAGCCTCACAGCGGGCTCCCTGCACAGCAGAGAGCCTGCTTCTCCCTCTCCCACTCGTCCTGCCCACTTATGTGCTCTCTCTCGCTCACTCTCTCTCAAATAAATAAATAAAATCTTAAAAAAAAAAAAAAAACGAATCTTGAGACTTACTTTGTGTGTTTGAATCTACTTCATCCTCTCTGGAAGCCTTTGGGGTGTTCATCCTTCTTTCTGGACTAAGAAGCTGATCCCCAGGCTGCACCACAACTGAAAATCAAAACAGAATAAACAATTTCCAAACACTTTTACTATTCCTTTTTATTCAAATTTTCACATTTATGCAAACATTTCAAGGTGAAAGACTAAGTCAAATGAGGTGTAGATTTCCCATAGTCAATTTTAGACAGTACCAGACTTAGGCATCAGTCTCTGGGCTAGTCTGAAATGCACGGGACTTGACTTCTTTGCTGATATTTCCACGTCTGTCCACTGCCTACTGTTTGCCATGTCTTGCCCTGAAGGTTTTTATCAGACAGCTCGTGATTCATTACTGCTAAAAGCATCACTGCAATCCCCAAGAAGTCTCGCTTTGAAAAATTACTCCCTAGATCTTCGTTTTCAAGCTGGCTACAAATGCACAGATGAAAACAATTTAAACAATCAAACTTCAAAACACCCTCTAACATGTAAACTATAATGTCCAATTTTTGAGAAATTTTGGCTAATGACCCTTGTTAAGGACACTGTCCCTTGAAAAGAATAAGTCACTTTTATTTTATAATATATTAATATTACAATGCATTATAGAAACAAGCATTTTGACTATAACAGAAAACAATCTTTTTAATGTAATCTTATTAAATCTTATGGTCATTTGGGACTAAAAGCACGAAACAGTCAAGTAGGACCAGAGATCAAAGGGACATAAAATTAGGAGTATTTTTTATGAAAGCTGGAACTTCAAAATCTAAACAAAATGACTACAAAAGCAAATTCAAATCCAATTCTAGTGCCAAATCCAAGGCACTGGAGATGAACACAAGGCCCATATTTTATCCACCGAGTCACCCCCGGTTCCTCGCTCAGCACCTGGTAAACAGAGTTGACTGCCGGTCCCAGTGATAGAGGACAGAAATGTGTCGTGGTCACGGACTCACCGGCTTCCAGGACGAAGCGGACACAGTGAATGAGAGAGCAGGCATGGGTCACCATCTCTGGGGAGGACAGCACGCTCCAGAGGCTGGGCAGCTGCAGGGCCAGGCAACAGCAGTCCAGGCCAGCCTGCAGGTCCAGACTCAGCGGGATCTGCTCATGGATCAAATGCCACGCCAGGGCCTAGAGGGGAGGGTCGACGTGACAGGAGGCTCAGGCCTGCTTCCTTCCTGTCTCTGAGCTGCCAGGGAAGCAAACCACCCCCAGCTTTCCGGGAACTGTCCCAAGAGTGAGAAGCTGGCAGGTCCCGACTATGATTCGAGGGACGGGACCCCGTCGCCCACTCCCTTACATTCAAGCCTGACCACCCACTCCCAAGAGTGCGTGGGCTCGCTTCTCTGCCAGAATGGCCACCCTGATCTCACTGCTTCTCCTTTCTGCAGCACCGTGGGCTCCTCTAGAAATCTTTCCCTGGCCACACGGCCTCCAGGTCAGGCTCCTCCTCGGGCCTCCCAGGGTGCACGCAGAACCTGCCTCGGTCATAGTCAAAGGCTGAATCTGGGAGCATGGGGCCTGGAGACGACCAGGCTTGGGTTCAGATGCCAGTGGGCTACTTCTTAGTGGGTGAAACCCGGACAAGCCAGACAAACATCTCCAAGCCCTGCCTTCCTCGTCTGTGAAATGAGAATAACAGAACCCATCCCGCCCCGCACACAGCAGGCACGGGACTCCGTACGGGAACCATCTGTGAGCCTGCCAGCCTGCACACTGCACGGAGACCTGCAGGACAGGTGTGAGCAGCCATCTGACTTGGCCCGGCTCCAGCAGGTACCTGTTCGTCCCGTGCCCTCCTGACACCTACCTCTCTCCCTGCTGGCAGGATGGAGCTGATGCTGAGTCAGCTGTGTCCTGCTCAGGCTGACAAAAACAGCTCAGGCTCTGGCTGCAAGGATGTAGGCTAGACTATTTGCCAGAAGTTGTATGGAAAGCCCATGCACCCACAATGTGTACACATGTTGGGGGTGATTATAAGTGTTAACACAGAGTGTTTAATTTCCCATGGCTGAAACATCCAGGTTTTTACTCTATTTAAAGCATAATAATTTTCCCAGACTATTTTCTTTAATTATCTAAAATTAGGATATACTCTACATTTGCAGTGCTTCCTTTTCCTTAGAGAAAACATATTTAATGGATGTCTGTCCTGAAATCAAAGGCATCTTAGAGTCAAGGAAAGAGATCCACACATAAGCACAGGACTCCCTCCGCTGTTTGAGAGATCCCTCAAAGGTTTCTGCTCATCTCTCCAGTCATCCCTGCTTCTCCCCTGCCCCGCCTCCTCCCTGCCAGACGCTCCTCTAAGACCCATGCCCTCGCCCCAGACACGTGCAGGGGGGAGACGCCGTGGTGGGAGCTCAGGTCCTAGGCCAGCTGGGAAGCAGGGACAGGAAGTGCTATGTGGCCAATGTCACAAGGCACCTGTGAGGAACCCGTGCGGTCAGGGGTGTGAATGTGCTCAGCAGAGTAGGGGATGGATGTGGTGCCTGACCACCCATCGTTACTGTCCTGGTGAGGAGAGGAGGAAGCCCAACTGCACAGCCCCTGGGTTTCCTATTTCTCCAGTGACAGTCCCTCGGCACAGAAACACTGGCTTCCCGAGCTGCCTCTTACCTCGAGGGTCATGACCACAAATTTCACAGTGTCCCTCTCCTTCTCAGGAGGGAGGTGCAAATGGCTGGGCAGTTTGGAGAACACCAGCAGGTACTGGGCCAGGGCCCGGGCCAGAGTGGTCAAGGACCGGTACAACACAGCATCCCCTGAAACACAAGACTACGGGTGAATGCAACTCTAGCAGGGCTTCGTGGCCTGTGAAAGGCAGCGAGCCCGTTCTTTGAGAATCTAAAGGCACCTTCAGCTCAGAAGCACATTTGCACACACACCCAACTGTGCGCGTGACTCGGGACACGCCTCCCTCTGAGGTCTACCCTAGTGTCCCTCCAAGGCGAGGCCGAGGAACAGCAAAAGGGCAAACATGCCAAAAGACATCCAGAGCTAGGGTCCCTGGCACCATCTCTCAGTCACCTCTACATATGCTTTTGGTTTATTAGGTCAACAGCATTTATTGTATCTTTACTCAGGGCAAAGCACGATACTGGCTCTGCAGCATTTTTAAAAAATAAAAGGAGTTTTAACTACCAAATAGATCATTCAACTTGTTCCAGTAGGCGGTGGGCTCCACAGGCAGGAACGGCTGGAGAACGCGGTGGGTGGCAGGGAGCTGCCGGACCAGGCCGCTCACGCGGTCCAGAGTGGCCAGGCGGGCTGCCTCAAAAAGGGGGCTCCTCTGGCCTCCAGAGATTTCGCGCATGCCCAGGCCCAGGCATGGGGCCAGCAGGCTTAAGTTGAATTCCTGAATCAGGACGTTAAAGGTTGGACAACAATTACACACTTTTCAACCAGGCAAGAGAAACACAACGGAAAAAAGGATAATGCAAACGTTTCTGAGAAAGCACAGATGAGTAAACTATTAACAATATATTTTAAAGAATATTCTACTTTCCAAAATAAATACCATATGCTCCATGAAGTGTATTTCTGGTCTCTTTGGGGGTACTTTAGTATTAAAGATTTTAAATTTTTTATGCGTTCAGATTTGTTTGAAATAAAAAATTGAACATACGTAATTTTTAACTGATAAAAATATATGACACCCAAGAAATCTGGTGAAACACCAAAATTCACAAACTTTGAGAAAGTTATGTTCAAAGGCAGCTGAATTAAATCAAAGTGGCCACAGCTGTGGGTGAAAAGCAGCATTCCTGTGACAGTGTATCAATATGTACTGGGTTTTACCAACTTTTAAAAAACCACTGAAGGATTTTTTTGGGCCAATTTTCAGGTAGAATATTTATCTGAATTCAGGTAACATTCAGAAAAGCATATGTCATCATCAGTAACCAAAACTGAACCTTTCTGCTACGGCCAGAACCTTTAAAGCTATTAAAAGTCCAACTACTGAATTTGGAAAATTCGATAAATAGATCATTAAGCAAATTTATCATTCAGCAAATCAGCTTTCACTGAATGGAGCTTAAAACGATTTCAGCAAGCTAATTTTGAGCCAATTTTGTTTTTTCAATGTAGCTCCGTGAAACTGATGAAGAATCAGTACTTGGGGGCATACTGCTGTGTGGCCTCGGCCCCGAGTCCCTTCATCCACGCCTGGCCCATCCTTTGCTGCCCCCACCCCCCACCAAGGCCCCTGCTGCTCCTCATTCCCATGTGATATGTATCGAGGCAGCATTAAAACACCTGGAGGTTTAGTCAGCTGATGGTCCCAGGATGTCTGGGAAGGAACCTGCTAAGGCTGTGGCTGGTACGACCAGAGGGTCCAGTCCCCACAGGACCTGCCCAGGAGCCTCCCAGCATGCATGCCTGCACAACATCAAGGGTGGGGGCTGGGACCTCATGACATCTAGTGGGGGCAGGGGTAGGAGAACGCCTAACTACACATCATGGACTATTACATACAACACATGTAACAGGGAGCAGACCTCACTCTATGAAGCAGGGGTATGGGGACCTCACTATAAGTAGTGGGGGCAGGAGGACCTCACCACATAAAACAAGGGGAGGGGTCTTATTAAAGATCAATTTCCAGAATATCATGAGGGTCCATTAAATCATCTACCATGACACCATTTTTTTTTTAATACTTTTCCTCATGACCATGAGGACACGCAGTGAGAACAGACTGCAATCTAAAAGAACCTCTTTTCTTCAAGTGCATGGGAAGTTGAATTAGACACAATTTACCTCCTTTCGGATTCTAATGTAGCTGAAATAACACCCTGTCCCATCTGAATTACAGTTTTCCCACGTCCTGCCCCATCTAGACTACAGTCTCCCATGCTCCATCCTGTCTGGATTATAGGTTCTACCATTAAGGCAGAAAAGTGAGTGGCCCATGTCCTAAGTTGGTCACATGATGATAAAACAAATCAGGCATCCTGCAGGCATCCCTCTGCTCTCCGCCGTACCGAGTTCATCATGAATGTACTCATGTCACTGGGAGGAATCCGATTCACCAGTTCTGCCCCTTCCAGCAGCGCAGAATCCGACCTAGTCCAGCACTGGGATTTGACTAGACGTAGGTACCAGTCCTGGGAAGAAGAAAAAGGTGGAGAACCCAATGAAATTGGGCATGGCTTTTAAGGGGTTTCAACTCTACTAAACGTGTGTTGTTTCTTTGCCCACTGCCCCTCACATCCCGTGGCCCCAGATTAAAGGACAAGTGGCCTCCTGGGGCCTATGAATGCAGCTTCCGTGAAACCGGATCTAGCTGGGTTCTAGCTGCCCATGTGGCTGCTCACCAAACCACAGGCCTTTTCCGTAGGAACTGCTTCAAAGGCTGTGTCTTTGACTTGCTGTTCCCACTGGGACAGGCTCTGCTTCTCCCCTCCCCTGGTGAGCACCCAAGGGTCCTAATTCAGCTCTCTGGCCCTCTGCTCTGTGCCCTTGCCCTCTGTCCGCCCCTTGCCTGGCACTGCTCCCAACATCTTCCATTGGGGTGTCTGCAGCGCTCCTCTCCCTCCAAGGCCGGGGCAGCAGAGGCCTGAGCTCTGCCATTCTGTGCCCCGGTGATGGGTTTTCAAAATCCAAGCTCATGTCTACACTGACCTCCCTCCAAGAAAGCAGAGTACCAAGGATCTGTGATCTGCCAAGGCCCCAACGGTCCCCAGCTCTGAGGTGTGAGTAGCAAGGGTCGTGAGCGTGTACCAGGGTCCCTGGGATGGTGCAGTCAACACAGGAGGTCAGCGGATTTAAAGAGAGGCAGACGGGCCAAGTAGGCGAGCACGACCGCCTATGCAGGCTACAGTCACTGGTCCCTTTACTTTCCCCTCTCCCGATGCCACGAGTGTCCCAAGTCAGCATTTCCTTTCCCACCCCACACTTCCTGCTCATGACCTGGACTGGGCCTCAGGCGTCCTGTCAGTGATGGGACGCTGCCCACTGCTGGTGAGGAAGGCAGGCTGGGAGTCCCTGGGCCACGCCAGGTGCCAGGACATCCTGTTGCCTGAGCTGCCCCACTGCACGCTCCAGATTTGCCAAAGATGTAAGAGAGTGGGCCCCATGTGCCACATGCATACGTGCCGGACACGTACTTTGTCTGGAATCACGGTCTCCAGTGCCAGGGGCCCATCCCCGTCCAGCGGGTGGGACGTGACTGGAGGAGAAGGGCCACATGAGCCAGGTGCGGTGGCAAGACGAAGCCTGTCCAGCAGGGAGTAGAGCCTCTGGTGTCTGGAATCCGACCACATGTGGGATTAGAGCAGTCTCCCAGGTTAGGAAGTGACAGTGGCCTCTTAAAGCGATATGCAACGTGCTTGACACTTTCTCTTCAGAGCTGCCTCAACAACACTCAGAGAAGGCATGATGCAAATTCAGGCTCTAGCTCATTTTTAATAACCACAGTTCATGCCCCACAAATGTTTTGCAGACATTTCATTTATACTCGAACATTGTAACAGGCAATACATGGTTTAACAGCTAATAAAAGCATTCTTTACAAATGCAAAATAGATCATCTATTCTAAGATCTAAGTGCACAAAATCTCCCATTGATTCTCCTAACACGATACAATTTATACCAATTTATGTTCACTTCATAGAGGAAACACCTCATCTGGCACAAGATATTTATAATCTTCTTCATCTGTTCTGAATACTAAGTCTAGAGTCAAAAAAAAAAATAGTTTGACCTTCTACCATCTGCTATGAGAGGAACAACTTCATAATGCAAATCACAACATAACTGGGCCCAGCAAACTGAAAAATCATGCAAACCATGTGCTGCCTACTGGGTTAGGCGCCTTCCCAAATAAGGACACCAGCAACAAGCTACAGTGCGGTGATTCTACTCTGTTCTCTGTCTCATGTGCGCAAGCGCACACACACATCTTCCCCCGTGTGGAGGGAAAAAGGTGAAATTTAATGGTAAAATGTATTTTATTTACTTGTGGAAACAGATAATAGACGTCATGATTTCTGATAAAGGCTTCTAAAAGATTATGCAGCAGAATGAGGTGACAAATACTAGAAAGAAATCACATTTTAACAAGATGCAGATACAATTTTTGCACGCCAAGAACTAGGTAATGTCTTTCAGATTTGCCCAGTCTTACGCAGCAGCTAGGTTACATGCTTTGATTTGGCTAAGATCAAGCCGATAACTCGCATTCTCCTGTGTCACAGGTGGGTGGACAGGGGCAATCTGGACACGTACGGGCCTCAACCAGCCAACAGGATGCAGGCATGTCCCTATTACTACAGGACAGGTGGTGCCATCACTTCATCTCACTTTTTATAAAGTGAGAGCACATTTTGTTTCATTTAGGAAGGCTTTCTATTAGGGCTTTTCCGCAGTGAGCTCATCTACAAAGCACATCAATCTCTCATCCCGAGCTCGTTCCCGTACAAATCTAAGTCTTTCTATCCAAAGCAAGGAACGCCTGGTCGTAGCATTACCTGTGAGCCAGGCCGCTGCTCTGAAGGTATTCCTGGATCCTGCTGAGCTCCTCCACTGGCAGCTGGGCCGTGCTGCTCTGAAGTAGACAACAGCACATCAGCAAGTGTGTAACATGGAACGAATCAAAACCACCTTGCACTCGTTTAGGAGGGAAAGAGTGACATGTACACTTTATTGTAGCAAAGGCAGAGAAGAACGTACAGGAAGCGCTCATATCAGGCACACAAGGAATGACCAACTCATACATCTTATACATGTTTCTCGCAGTGGCGTGTGAAGAATATGCCTGTGGAGGAAAAAACCAGGCAACTGTTTCGCATGCCCTGCTAAGTTCTCAGTAAAAATTAGCATCAGTGTTTTTCTAGTACCTGTAAATTTGCAGCCAGAAGCATTTCCACCCGGCGACAGGCTAGAGTGTCGACCATGCGAGCCAGCACACGGAACGGAGTGCACAAAAGCTTGTCCACATACAGTGTTAACACGGCGCCCGACTGGCTGAGGTGGATCCCTTCTAAGCACTGAAGCGTCTTCTTCAGGGTGGTAGGCTGGCGACGGGCAGAAGGAAAGCAACGAGAGTACAGGTTTGGCCAAGTGGAAGTCAGCGGTTTACCAATTCCAATAGTACATTTTTAAGGTGGAAAAAAACCCCTGACTGGCCACAGTTGGCACCAGGGAGACTTACGGTTGAAAGGTTTTCACAACGAGACTGAATCGCCTGGATGAAGAGGCCACTGGCAGCGGAGTTCCGATGAACAGCACTGATAAAATCCTGCACGGGGGGCTCGTGGGATAGATTGATCAGGTCCTGGATGTGATTCACAATGAGCCACGTTAAGTGCTCTGAATCGTGTAGGTTCTGACACTGAGGAGAAAGAGTGACAGACTCATTCTCAAGTCGACAAGGACAGAACAGACGTGGATGCCATAGAAAGGGCCAGAAGTAGGAAGGGGAAGACAAATTCCAAATTATAATCCTAACTGAAACTATCTAGTGTTTGACCACCAATAATCATCGGGGTCAGAACTCACTTCACAGGATCCCTCACCTTCAACCCTACACTGTAGCCAAAGCTGCTAGAGGACAGACCCCGCCCGCCAGCAAAATGTGATGCTCCAGCACAGCTCCCAGGGACACTGGCCAACGGCCAGAGGAGGAGCGGAGCAAGGCCCAGGGTGCCTGCCAAGGACCAGTGACCCCCGGGCAGCGGAATGGCAGGGGCAGCACTGCCCTGCCCTCAGGTGACAGGACCCCCCCTGTGAAGCGAGGGCAGATGACACACAGCAGACCCTGCTCTGTCCAGGCTTTGGTCTGGCCTACCAAGAGTGCTCCCCAGTTCTCCTTCACCAGTCCTGTGACAGGTCAGTGGAGAAAATGGGTTCCCTATAACTGCCACAGTTTTGACAGAATTCCTGAATCCAAAATATGAATAGATTCCACTAATCAAATGGATATTAAATAGAGAAATTTAAGATTTGTAAGGAAATAGATATCCATCTTTGAATATGTGTGTTGCTTTTTCATCTAACTCATAATCCTTCTAGGCAGAAATTGTAAAATGAAATCAATTCTTTGACATCTGGTTAATGATTAATATTTTCCATGTGGAATAATTTGGTAGTACTAACTTATAAAATTAATATTTTTCTTACATTTCTGTGAAAGAGAGCATTATACAATTATACTAAATCATTTCTCAGAAGTAGAACAAGATAGAAAAACTATTTCAACATAAAGAACGTAAATCAAAAAATGAGTATCAATAAAAAACAGCAACATAAAATCTGTATGATAACAACCAGTTGCTTGAAGGACTCCCCTTCCTTTCCCAACTGAGAACATCACACGCTTTGCTGTGTGAAAATAGTATGAATATGGTGCCATGTTTGTGCCAAAGAAACGCACGTGCTGTTATCGGTAGAGAAAAAGCACCAAATCCCAGCCAAAACGCCACAACAGGTTTTCTGAGTAATGCAATTACAAGGAGACTGTATTTTCTTCTCTTTATTGGTTTTTGTCAATTTTCTATGTTAAACATGGGATGCTAGTTTTATGGTCAAAAACTCTACAAAAGTTATTTTTTTAAATGGATGACATTCCAACAAGAAGTCATTTAAAATGCAACAGTGGACACCAACACCCTCTGCACAGATGGTAAACAGCGTTTAAATCAGAACTCCACTCCAAGTCACGCTCTCCCAGGAGGCGACAGCTGAGTGAAACCTGCAGACAGCCCTCCACGTCTGTGAGCGGCCGGAGCAGGACGGAACGCTCACTACAGCCCTGTGCCAATGGCGGCAGGTCGGTCTGCAGAGCATCACACACACCGGTGCCCTCCGGCCCCCCCCCCCGCCCCACCAGGACTTACGACTCTGTCCCTGACGGGAATGAGCGCTCCCCTCGCCGAGCCCGGGACGCGCAGGCCGTCCACCGGGCTGGCTGCATCAGGGTCCTCCTCTCCAGGCACCTGGGGGCTGAGTGACTTCGTACTGGACAGACTGCGTCTCCTGGAGGGAGCAAGAGACGCACTGACAACGTTTCCAGGACAAGAGTGAGCTTATCTCCAAAGCTGAAGACGACTAGAAGTTCAGTTCCTGGGCTAGAGCAGACAGACTGCACTGCGGCGACAGGTATGTGACTCACCCTCTCAGCGACCTACCTCTGAGCCAGGGCAAAGCAAGTATGGACATCAAAAGAACACAGAGATCTCACCGGCAAACAGTCAAATGCTCGACTTAAGGCAGAACCTGCCATGAAGCCACACCTTTGATCAGCACTCAGGCACCGGGCTCTCACCGACTATGCCGGAAAACACAGCAACTGCATTCAGGATTCCCAGTGTGGGTTTGCAGAACGCTGCCCACCGCCGGGGGGAAAGCCTGTATGCGGTCGGATTTCACTGCACCATTACTGGAGAAATGTTGCCACCCTCACCTGCCCCCTGGTACGTGCTGCCACGCAAGCCCTGTCTGAAAGTATGGCTGCAAAACTCATTCCCGGCTCGTGAAGGTTCCTTCACTTCTCAGTCGACGGGTTACACCCTCGCGGACCCTTGAAGCGGTCACAAGTCCTCCGACAGGTGTCGCCACACCTGTGAACGGCCCCTGACAGAAGAGTCTGAGGACAATACCCGTCCCTCGGCAACAAAGAGCCTGTGCATCTCTGCTAAGGCTTACTGGGGACAGAGGTCACAAGAAGACAAGAATATTCTGAAATGTCAACTTTTCCTACAACACCTCGGGATTTACAAGAGAAGTGGTATAAAATAGTCTACAGATTAAAAAAAATGTTCCAACTGCAGTGTCCCTTTTCTCACCTGGTGAATGGACGCACCCGCGTTGTTATCCATATGACAGAATACTACTCGCCAGTCCAAAGAACAAACCACTGATCTGTGCAAGGCCGTAAATGAGGTTTAAATATCCTGCGCTGATGAAGCCAGACTCAAAAGGCTACAGACCTGTATGACTCATCCGTAGGGCGTACTGTGCACAGGCTGAACACAGGGACGGCGCATGGACCAGTGGCTGGGGGACGGGGTGGCCACAGAGGACACAGGGGACCTTCTGAAGTCATGGAACCGTCCTGTATTGTGACTGTGGCAGTGCTCACCTGACAATATTTGGTACAAAAGAGTGCGTTTCCCTGTAGCGTAAGTCCTAGGTCAATGAAAAACCAACCAACAGAAACACCTCCTCTCCTCAGCCTTCCTGCCAGCTCCGCATTTCACGATGGTACAGCTACAGGGGAGCCTCTGCAGGAGAGGGGGGCAGAACTTGCAATTCAAATCTAGCGGCAGGATTTGAATGTCAACCCATGTCAATCCAAACTGAGCCCCAGCGTGTAGTGGGCAAGCCCCGGAGACCTCAGGACAGATGCAGCTAGATACTGATGGTGAACGAACGCCCCAAATCCAGGCCTCAGAACTGACGCGTGGCCACACCACAGCCCCACTGCCATGGCACGTGCAAGACCAAAAGGGGCCACCAGAAGGCCAGGCAGACTGGAAACAAATCAGTGAAGATAGAGCCACCCCAAGCAAGCAGCAGACAGGAGCAAACCCCTGCTGTGGCAGCCGCGGGTGCTTCCTGGGGCCGTGTGGCCAGAGTACAGCTTCTCTGCTTGCCCGAGAGCCTACCTGTGCAAGCTGGGGAGGTTACCGTGGTGCAGAGCTGCATCTATCTACTGAATCTACAAATAAAGAAAAATGGAGGCCAGCCCTGTCTGGAGGGCCTGGTCAGTGTCCTGAGGCAGAGAAGAGAACAAGAGGAATACTGGTGGGGAAGAAAGAAGGGAAAAGTCTTGACCTGTGGATGATATGCATGTGTTCACAGAGAACCCTCCAGAGCCCACGAAAAGCCTCCTGGGGCTGCTGCGTGAGCTGGGCCGGGTCTCAGGATGTGAGGTCAGTACACAAAACCAAATGCACATCTATAAACCAGCAGCACACCATGGGAAACAAAACACTTTTCCACCTACCATTTAAAACAGCATTCTGAAACATGAAATGTGTAAGATACGAATAATGCTTGCACACTATGAGATACTGTTGTGGCAAATTAGAGACCGAAATACCCGGAGAGAGACTATGTTCGAAGACTGAAAGACTGGACACTGGACGCCAGTGCTCCCTCAATCCCAGACCGGCGGCAAGCTCAGTCAAGAGGCCAGCGAGCTCGTTTGTAGACACAACCTGATTCTAAAACATAAACGTGGACACACAAAGAACCTACAGGAGCCAAAACCATTCTGGAAGTAAAGAAGAGCGGGGGAACCGGTGTGGCAGCCGAGGCGACAACGTGCTGGCCATGGTGTGGGCGCTGCCGTGATGGTGGAGGCGCCGATCAGGGGCGTGAGCAGAGTCCACAAGGTCCACACGTCTGAGCCGCACTGTGCTCTGAGAAAAGTGCCAAGGGAATTCAAGAGAGAAAGCACGGTCTTTTTCACAAAATACACTGAAAGAACCACCCTTCGGGGGGCGGGGGAGAGACTCTTCACCCTCATGCTTTGTCATACACAAAAATTAACTCAGAATGGTAAACACTAAAGCTACGCAAGTGCCAGAAGAAACCATAGGAGAAAATCATGATCCTGGGGTAGGCAAACATTTCTTGAAGAGAAAAAGAATGGAACAGAAAAACTGACACACTTGATTTCATAAAAATTTAAAAATTGTGCTCTTCCAAAGAAACCATTAAAAAAATAAAATGGCAAACCACAGATGGAGAGAAAACATTTACTTAGATCCAGAATATATAAAAAATTTACAACTCAAGAACAAGACAATAGCCAAATTTCAAAAAACCAACAAATACTGAATACATACTTTACAATAGAAGATACACAAATGGCCAATAAGCACATGAAAACATGATTACCTTTATGTTATCATGTTATCAGCAAATCAGCGAAATGCAAGTGAAAACCACAAGAAGCAGTGCCCTGCATCCACTACAAGGGCAAGAAGGGAAAGCCCCTGTGACATCGAGTGTTGGTGAGGGACTCGTGACCCCATTTCCCACATCTCCTCCCTTCTGGAGCAAACCTCCTCCTGTGAATTGTCCAGAGCTCTGTGGTCCAAAATGTCTCTACTTCCGTGATCTTTTTTCCTTGACTTTTACTTTGAAAACTTTCAAACCCATAGAAAAGCTGAAAGATTAATTCAGTGAATAAACCCTCTTCACCTAGATTCAACCACTAATGCTGCCACCTTTGTGTGCACACACATGTACACTATGCACACACATGCTCACATGTACACACACCACATGCACACACTATACACACACGTGTACTCCACATGCGCACTCACATGTACACATACTCCATACACACGCGCACTCACACGTATGCACACTCCACACACGTGCACACTCACACGCACGCATACTCTACACACGTGGTCACACGTATGCATACTCCACACACGCACATGCTATACACACGTGCGCACTCCACACGTGCACTTACACGTACATACTCCACACACATGCACGCATACTCCACACACGCGCTCACACGTACGCACATACTCCGCACACACACACACGTATGCATACTTCACACACACGTGCACTCACACGTATGCATCCTCCGCACACACGTGCACTCACACGTATGCATACTCTACAGTCATACGTATGCATACTCCACATACGCACACACTATACACACGCACATGCGCACTCCACACACGTACACTCACACGTACGCACATACTCCACACCCACGCACACTCCACACACACGCGCACTCACACATACGCATAATCTACACACGTGCTGTCACACGTATGCATGCGCCACACACGCACACACTATACACACGCGTACTCACACGTACACATACTCCACACACACGCACTCACACGTACGCATACTCCACACACGTGCGCACTCACACGTACTCATACTCTACACACACGCGCACTCACACGTACGCATACTCCACACACGTGCATGCACATACTCTACACACATGCACTCATGCATACTCTACACGTGCACTCACACGTACGCACATGCTCCACACACACACGCACTCACACGTACACATACTCCACACACGTGCATGCACATACTCTACACACACGCACTCATATGCATACTCTACACGCACACACGTGCACTCATACGTACGCACATGCTTCACACACACGCACTCACATGTACACATACTCTACACACACGCGCACTCACACGTATGCATACTCTACACACACGCGCACTCACACATATGCATACTCCACACACACGCACTCACACCTATGCATACTCTACACACACGTGCACTCACACATACACACATACTCTACACACAAAGACACACTCTGCACATACACACATATGCACTCTATGCACGCACACTTTTTGGCCTGTACCACCTGAGAGTACTCGCGGGTGAAGACACTTGCCCCTAAGTAGTTCAGCAGGGGTCCCCTGAGAGCTTCATCACCACAAAACAACAGGTCCCCTAGAACTCACATTCAAATTCCCCCCATTATCTCAATAGTGTTCTTTCTGGATGTTTTATCCCCCAGATCTGTGGAAGGCCCTTCCGTTTGGGTGTGTCTGACTGCTTCCTAATCATCAGACTGGGGTCCGCCCTCCCACTTCCTCTTGAACCCACTCTAGGTCCCTCTGCCCTCACCACCCACCAGCCATCAAAAGGAGGTGGGAGAGGTAGAAGGGAGGAGGAAGGGGGAGGAAACTCACTGGCTCTCACATACCCACTGGGGTAATGGACAATTTCTCACCTTCTGTCCACTTACACATACCTGCTAGCATCAGCAGCTAACTCAGGCCCCACCCCACCAAGTCTTGCCCAGCACAACTCAATCTTGGGTGCCCATGGGAGTTTCCTGGGGAGACTCTGAGAACACGAGAGCCCAAGATCCTAATTCCTCAGGTACCCAGCTGCCAAGTCTGGTGGTGGGCTGTGTCACAGTCCTGGTCCCTGGAACAAGCCCCCTGGTGGCTCTGAGGCACACTCCTCAAGGACTCAGGGCCTGGCCTGGAGCGTGTTCCGTGGACGAGAGCATCGGCACCACCCAGGAGCCTGGCAGAAAAGCAGAGCCCCAGGCCTCCCCAGTGATCTGCTGAACAAGACCCTGATTTTAATAAGCTCGCCGGTGGATTTATATGTACACCAAGGAAGCACTGAAGCAGACAATCATTTTCTGTTCCTGACTCTTACAGCAGGTCATATTCTTGAAGCATTTCCAATGTTTTCACCGGTCTGTCTGTCCCGACTAAATGTAAGCATATGGAGGGCAGAAAATGCATATTATTTTTCTTTGCATATCCCACAGCATATAGCGCAGAACAGACATTGAAAGATGCCTACTGACACTGGATTTTCCAGCTGAATGCAATGGAGTGGCCCAACTAGGACCCCAGGCCTCACACAGCTCAGCCTTTCCACACTGAGCAGAGAGGAGCTGACCTCCGCCCTGCAGCCCTTGCTTTCTCTCCTCACCATGGGCCCTCGAGCCTTCCAGAAACTCTGCACTGAGGACTCAGCTCAGTAGATGGGCGGCAAAGCTTCTATTCCCACATGCGTACAAATGTCTGAGCAGGACAGTGCCCAGAAATCAAGGCTTAACCCTGAAAACTTCTTTGCAAAAAGGGGGTCACCCCCAATCAGATACTTAATAAGTCTTTGTGAATGACAAAAAATAGGGTATTTCCAAGCAGTTTTGAAATGTTGCTCAGTAATTACTTCATTATCTAAGAATAACCAGAACCACATTTAACTTATAACGAAGTTAAGACATTGCAACATGTCTGGCTCTGGAAGCAATTTAAGGATGAGAGCCCAGCAGGAGGGACACAACGTGACAAGAATGACCCTCAAGAGGAACCGTGTCAAAGAAACCACACTTGGAAAGCAGCGGCTACTCTGAACGCCTTCGGTCTAAGCACATTTTCCCTGCAGCACAGCGTCCACGAGAGGAAGGCTCGCCTACAGCACAATGCGTATGAAGCCTCATGGAAACAGGGCCAAACGTCGAGCGGCCCGAGGGCCAGCATGTGAGCAGGCCGCCTGGGGCACCGGGCGGACGTACCTGGGGGTCTGCTGCACCTCTGCCCACCAGCGGTAGTCAGTGTGGCTGACGAGCAGCAGGATCTGGCACCAGAGCAGCACGAGCGCCGGGTGCGTGGGCAGCATGGTGCGCACGCGCGCATTCAGCCTCTCCAGGCCGTAGAAAGTGCCATCGGCGCGGTCCGCCGCGAAGAGCCTCGAGGCAGCCGCCGTGATTCTCCGGAACGTTCCTAGAAACCAACCAAAAGTACAACTGAGAGGCAAACGTCGGGCTGCTCATTGTGGCCGCAGGAAGACCTTCCACAAAAAGACACACCCTCAGCTCTTTCCCAGACCCACACATTCAGAGACCAGACGCTAACACTCTTACTCTCCCGGGCCTTCTCCCCACTGCCGTGAGCAAGCTGTCCAGGAGCTCCGCGCCAAGAGCCACGCCTGCGTGTGACAGGAGACCCAGCTCCACGGAATGGCAGGTGGCCTGCACTCGGCGCCCCTGGGACAGCGAGGCCTCCACAGGGTCGGGCCACAGGGCCGAGTCTGCTCTAGCAGGTGTGGTCGGACCCTCACCACACCCTACTCCTGCCACAACAGACACTTCCCTGTGGGCCACAGCAAGTGCCCAGAGGAAGAGGGCATGAGCTGGGCCCGGTCCTCTGTGCCCTGCATTACTGTGTGGGCTCTCTGTGGGGCCAATGGACCTGAGGGAAGAGGCAGGTGCTGCTGTGGAGGAATGGGGAGCCAGGCCACAGAGGAGAGGGAATGACAGACTACGGATATGGGGTTTTACTCAACAGAGGACAGGAAGCCATGGTCGGAGCTGTGGCTCTACCATTTACTTGGCCCTCGCTGTACATTACCCAGGGTCTCAGTTTTCTCATTGCAAAACGGAATTAAGAGCAGTAGCAGCTCACAGGGCTGTAATAGGATCAAAGAGTAAAACCTGAGTGAAGGGCTCAGTATGGCACTGGGCAGAGCAAAGGACCACCAACCGGGGCTGCTGCCAGAGGGCTGCTAGGAAAGGTCGCATGGCCTCTGGAGGGGCCATGAGCAGAGAAGAAGTCAGACGGTTCACTGGGGCAGGGAGGAGTCCACAGTGACGCTGGGGTTTGAACACCTCCCACGATGGTATGGAGCATGTTGGCAAGAAAAAGCCAGAATCAAGCAGCTATGCCAGGTGACGAGTTCAATCATCAGGTGTGGGCAAGACACCAAGTCACACACTAGAAGGAGAATGGACATGAGAGCCCAAGGCAGCCACATCAGTGGGGTGACCCAGACTCTGTAGGCAATGTCGATCGTCTCTGCAGCAATAACCAGGGGCAAGTCACAAAGGGGACAACCCTACTGAGCGAGAGGAGGGGGACAGAAACAGAGAAAGGGAGAAAGGCAGAGGGGGAGAGTCAGAGAGAGAGAGACAGAGGGAGAGAGACAGCAGGAGAGAAAGAACAGAGATCAAGCATCGAAACCAGGACCAAGAATACTCAATGGAGAAAGGGCAGAGCATGGGAGTGGTAGGGACACACACGCACTGGTGAAAGCTCTAGAAAGCCCCGTGGCCCGCCCACTGCCCTTGGTAGAAGGCTGACGGCACTGCTGATCCTGCCATGACGCCTGCCCCTGCTGTCCATCACCTGGAACCTCCTGGCTGTCATCCCTACGACTCTGCCCCCAGGGTCTGTCCTGCCCAACAGGCTGTTGCTGGGAAGCACTCACCCACCAGGGTGAACGAGCCCCTGTATGGGGTGGGGGCTGCTAAGAGGTACACCAAAGAATGCATGCAAAGGGGATATAGGTCACTTTCAATCCAAGGCAACAAAGCCTCTTCTACCTTCCCTGTCCTCCTCAACCAGCGAGGCCAGGGTGCTGATGCCCCGGACAGCTGAGCCCCAGGAAGAAGAGAGGCCTGGGCTCGAATCTCCACATGCAGAAGAGCCAGCAGGGACCAGGAACACCCTCCCGCATGGGCACAGAAACAAGAACAGCCCTCTACTGTGGCAAGCCACCAAAATGCTGCTGTTCTTTGTTACAGTAGCTACGTGACCTTAATTAACACGTGGGGAGCGCAGGTACTGGGCTCGGACGGGAAGAGGCACTAGGCGGGGTCTCCCTTCCCTGTCTCCTGAGCAGCGACCACTGGCTGAGACAGAAAGAAGCCCGATGTCTGATGTGACTGGGAGGCAAGGGAAGCCCCAAGAGTTGAGACCTGGGAGAAGGGACAGGGCCCCAGGGCCAAGTGACAGTGACAAAGCACAGACAAGCACCTGAGCCAGGAAGGCTCCCCTTGTCCTGCCCTCCCAGAGCTGAAAGAGACATGTGGCCAGGAGTGCTGGAAGCAGGGCTGGAGGCAGCAGCCCCATGTTACTGGACTCTCCAGGGCTGCAGGAAGTGCCCCGCAAACGTGAGCTACTGCATGTACCACTGGCAACCGAGCAGCAGCGTGGTGTGTAAGAACGAACAAAGGGCAACATAAAATGGTTGGGTTTTCAATCTCTGTTTTACCATAGGACCTTCTGGAGCCTGAACTCTCTCTTCAGCAGAAAGGGTGACTATTTCATAGAGCTGCTCTAAGGACTAAGGGGGTGTACCACAGTGAACACCCCACAGTGAACACTGGATTCCCAGCAGGGTGGCCATCCTTGTCTTTGCCCAAGTGTGAATCTGAATTAAGGTCAATCTTATTGCTGCAGGAAGAACCGTTTTCGAAGGTCTCAATTTTCAGCGGAGGGCTAGAATTCACTGCCTTTGTTTAAGCAAAGCATAAATAAAGATGCTTTATATGCTAAATGCACCTCGTTTATATAAAAGTACAAGATGATTTACTTAAACTCTGTCTCAAAATCAAACACAGTAATTCTGCCCCCTAGTATCTTTAAAAGAAATGCAGTCAAAATAAACAACATAGAGAAAGACACTTAGAAACACACACTTTATTTGCAAATATTGAACCAAATGACAGCATGCAAAGACACCGCAGCAAAGCGCGTGTGCCCAGCACCAAGGCCGGAGCCCTCTGGTAGAACGCTCTGCCCCTCACATCCTGTCCTGATACAGCAGCCACTAGCCACATGGGGCCATTCAAATTTAAGTCGATTAAAATTAAATAAAATTAAAAAGTAGCTCCTTAATCCACACCAGCCACATTCCAAGTGCCCAAAAGCCACATGTGGCTGGAGGAAACTGAACCACTGCAGACACAGAACGCTCCCCAATGCAGGAGGCTCTCGTGGACAGCGCTGCCGTAGACTACACAATACCTCCCCTGATTTTTGAGACAAGGAACAGGAGGAAGTGAGGGTGGTGAGTCAGGATACACCTGGAAGGGCAGAGAACTCCACGTGACGCGCAAAAGGTCACTCTTGTCCAAAAAGGGAAGCAAGCAGCCCTTAGAGATGAATGGGTGTCCTTCTGGTATCAGATGCAAACCAATCAATGGCCAAGTATCAGAACGACCGACATATTACAAATGACCTTATTACTCATGCAGCTTAATTCTTTTCTCAACTTTAAACTTATTATGTGCGTCAGTGAAGCATAAATCAGAAGTTCTTCAAAACAAAAATTCTTTCAATGTTAGTAATGAGGAGGGCTTAAAACTCTCGAGTCCACTTGATAATCAAATTCTGGCCGTGCCCCTGTCCAAGGGCAACAACAATCAAATGAAGCAGCCACGAAGACACCCCCTTCTCCGCGACCCCCACCCCTGCCCGCCTCCCCGGTCGCCCTCTGAGCCTCGCCGATGTGCTCTCAGTGGCCATCTGGCCAGAGCATGGCAACGTCTTGCCTTTGGGCCTTAGCTTAACATGGCCTCTCGGGGACCTTGTCCTCCCTCCCCACCCCTATTCTGCCTATCGCTGCTCTGCTTGCTTCCTTCACAGGAAACATCCAGACTCCCGACTCCCTGCCTGTGTATCATCCCCCCCACTGGACTGCAAGCCGCACGAAGGCAAGAGCCACATCAGCCTTCCTGACCACCATGGCACCGGAGCGCAGCCTGGGGCGGGCTGACCTGGTGCATCTTTGCCAAGTGAAGAGGGGCTGAAAATGAGAACTATCCACTGCTCTGAGGGTCCATATGTGGTGCATGTGCGTGTTTTAGTTTGTATGAAAGTAGTATGTATGCAACTTAAAAATCCAGTAATAGAGAGAGGCTTCTGATTTTACAAATGCCCTGCCCCATCCCTCTTCAGGCAACAGTTGTCTTGTTTCTAGTTCTGACGGTTACCTCCAAAATTCGACTCGACATACTTTTATCACCTGTAGCAGACCATCTATTATTCATCTGCTCCTCTTGTCTTACTGTGAGGAAGGAGCCCTCGCTCCCTCTCAATGAATGGCCAGAGCACCCAGGGCAGGACTCACGCCAGGGCTGAGACCAGTGGCGGCCAGGGGTCATCCTTCCTGCCATGGGGAAGAAGCCCACCAGAGAACAGAGCCAACACAGAAATCAGAGCTGAAACATGGGAATACTTGACAGGGCAACAGAATGAAAGCGCCTGAGGTGGTCATACCTAAAGAGAACAGTGACCTCTGTACTTCCAGGAACTCTAACTAGTCATTCCTTTTCTTGCTCCAGCACAGGATAGAGTCCTATCCCTGCAAATGAAACTGCTGGATTTGCCGGAGTCATGCTGAGTGATGGTTACAGACTCTACCCTATTAAGAGATGAGATGTACCTCACTCATGCTACCTGTCAACTTAAGTTACATTTTTGGTTCTATTTGGTTACCTCTGTAGCCTCTACTTCCTGTTGTGTCAACTTCAGATATGACTGTATAACCCCAACAATGCAAGATGAGATTAGTGATCCTTCCATCCCTCCACCTTCCACTCCCAAATTAAGTTGGTTAGTTTCCCTTTTATTTTTCTTGGAAATAAAAACATTTTCATTCTGTTCTGAAACCAAAATTAAGTGAAATAAGTCTTCAATGTTTTAATCACACATTGACTTTAAAATTGAAAAGTCAAACAGCATTTATGATTATGTGAATATAGTTTCCAACAAAGCCAAGAAACGTAGAATAACATTTCTTTCTATAGGTCCTTGGTCATGACCCCTGAGCTACTTAAAGAAGCTATTTAAATTCAAAGGTTTCAATCAAATTGATTGTTGAAAATCATGCCATACTTTGGTTTGCTTCATATTTGGACCATGATTTCCTTGTTGTTCATTTTTCCTAGAGATGAGAATTGCCTCTTGCTTTTCCTGCTGAATGAAGAAAGCTATAGCTGTACCCCGTAACTAAAGTCTTCCAGCTTCTCACCCATTTAATCTAAGCCAAGGCATTCTTCTTGAAAACACTCATTCCTCTTAGAAAGCACTGACTATCCTAATATGGGCTGGTTGTTTCCGATGCATGCTACAAGGCTGCCTTCTTGTAACTTCTCTCTTGGGTTCACTGTCCTTTTTAATTCACAATCACATGTAAAGGTACAAAAATATCTTGGGCTTCCAAATCTTTAAGAGAGGAGGAAGCCCTCAGTTTTACTTTTTTTCACCAATAAAACATCTTCATTTTTTTTTTAATTGTATGACATTTTGGGTTGTTTTTTTTTTTTAAGATTTTATTTATTTATTTGAGAGAGAGAGATAGAGAGAGCACAGGTGGGGGGTAGGGCAAAGGAGGTTCCCCACTGAGCAGGAAGTCCAACGTGGGGCTTGATCCTAGGGACCTGGGATCATGACCCAAGCCAAAGGCAAACGCTTAACCGACTAAGCCACCCAGGCGCCCCAACAAAACATTTTCAAATGCACATTAAGCACAGTAGAGCTTGCACTGGGCAGCAAAGTTCCTACCTCTGAGAGTGTATAGTACAGGACATGGAATATACAGATGCTCTATGAAGATTAGTCTGAGGTACCTACCAGACTTGAAGATGTGGATCAGACACATTAGAAGCGTGCCTAGTTCTTGACAATAGAAAGTATGTTGCTGTTCACTCATTTCCACTTTTAGCTGTTTTGTAACAATATCCTCCAAAAGAATGCCAACTAGTTGTAGTAGAAACCTTCAAAGAAATGGAAAAGTCCGACAGTCAATTAGGTGACTATTATAGAGTGACTATATGAAGTATACTGTAAAAATACATATGGTAGACCGAGGTAAAGTAAAAATATAAAGTTAAGTAAACAAAGTGCAACATTTAATACCATCCCTTTGTATTAAATCACTTTCCCTCTCTGTGTATCACCTTCCTCACTTACGAGATGGCAGTAAACATATCACCTTCAGGACTGTTAGAAGGATAAAATGACATGTAGTGTTTCTTTAAAGCTTTGCAAACCATAAAGCATCACAGAAATGCCAGACAACAACCCACTGTAGGAATTTAATGTATCATCCATTTTAGCCACCTGCTTAAATGTAGCAGAGGGAGCCACAGGCTACCTGGTTGAACCTACAAACAAAAGGGTGTCGGGCAAGTTTACTGGATTTAGCTCCACAAACACACAGGCACCTCACCAATGACCAACGACGGGGAGGCTAAACGGATGTTATGTGGGCCTGCCTGGAAGAAGCACATCCGCACAAACCACACTCAGGGGACATCTCACCAGCTCTACCTCACTGAGTGCCCTGAATCCAGCAAAGGTGGACACACACTTGTCTAGGCAATAAGCATTTATTGGGCCTGACTTTTGATCACTGCCCTCAAGGAGCCTCCAAATAATTTGTGAGGGTAGACACGATTTCATATCACAAGTACACCAAGGGGAACACTGGGAACAGTCACCCTGGCAGGAAGAAAGATTTTATTACTAACTGTGTTTAGAATGGCCAGTACACATGAGAATACAAATGAAACTTTTAGTGGGTTTTCTTAGATTTTTAAACTCCTTGCAGGCAACACAACACACATCCTTACTGCTAGCACCTAGGTCAGGCCAGCCTTAGCCCCACTGCCATGGTCAACCACTGTGTGGTCTTTAACAAGGATATGAGATGGGACATGACAGAGCTATAAGAGAGACATGAACCCAGGGCCACGGTTGAGGCAGATTGGGTAAAGAAAGCACATCTACACAGACTTCTTTACCCCACTTTCAGCGCTGAAGCAAGACCAGGAGTTATTGCAGACTTACTGATCGCAAAATGCTACGGCTTCCTGAAGGCCATGGGATGGTTACAGGCTTAGATAGAGAGCATACCTTGAAAATGTTTCCTCTGGCAAACTCTTGATTTGTCTCCCTTCGTTGTGTTCTTCTGGTGTTGAAGTACTGTCCCCATCTCTTAACCTATCAATTATTGGACAGGAGATTAAATATGGGGAGAAGGAGAGCTCCTGAATACGAGAAAGAACAATATCTTCAGTTGACTGGGAAATTAGAACCCTCAAAATGGCTAGGATTCCTGAGATCCACAGTTGAACAGTGCTCACAGATGCCTAAAAGAGAGAAAATACGGGATAAGTGAAGTAAAAAGAGAATTACATTTTTTCCTGATTGATAGTTTCATGAATGAAAATTACTCCTATTTTACCATTCTATCAATAAAGCCAATAAATTATCATTGGTTCCAAAGTGTGGTCCCAGACAAGCAGCATCAATACCATCTGGGAACCTGTTTAAAATGCAAATTCCCAGGCCCCACCATGACCCTGACAGAGCCCCCAGGTAACTCTGATGACCTGCTGCACTGCACAGGCATGAATAGAAGGTGCCATCATGAGGCGAGACACTCACCATTGTATCTGGAGTGACAAACATACTCCGTAAAAGCATGTCCACGGGACGGAGGGAGGAAGGGGCCAGAATCTCAAATAAAGTATTTAACACTCCAAGGGCTTCATGAGAATCAATGTGCATCTGTTGCAATTAAACATCACAAATGTTTTCCCGTAAGTCAACAAACATGTCAACATTTCTACCTCAAGTTAGGTACCGCTATGTCAAATGACCTTGACCATCCAAGCATTACCAGCCCTGCCTTTAAAAGCATCTTTAGCAGTGAACCAGGAAAACGGTTTTCAGAACACGGTAGCAGCTACATTTTCCCACAAGGGAAATTTTTTCACTTAGATTTTTATTATATAAACAATGTACATTTTCTGTAAAAGATTCAAATATTTAAAAGTATGGAAAAACCCGCTGGAATCACAGCCCTCTGACATGATCACCATCCACACTCTGGGACCCTCTCTCATGCATCTCTTTTTTATACACACAGAATTTACCCAAACGGGATGCCACACACAACTCTTCTCCTTTCTTCACTCTACCTGCACCCCATCCCTACTCAGCCAATTGTAACACATGTTAATAAACTGGTGTACAATTGACTTTTGAACAACACGGGGGTCAAAGGCAGCCACCCCCACAGAGCTGAACATTCGTGTGTTAACTTCTGACTTCCCCAAAATGATAGCCTACTGATGACCAGAAGCCTAACGAATAACAGAAACAGTTGATTGACACATATTTTGTACACGGATTACATACAGCATTCTTACAATACAGTAAACTAAAGAAAACAAAATGTCATTAAGAAAATCATAAGAAAGAGGAAATACACATACAGGACTGTCCTGTATTTATAGAAAAACATCCTTGTTGTTCAAGGGTCAACTGTATATCTAACTTTCTCCATGTTCCTATAATCCTATACCCACACACACACGTAGAGAGGTTTTTGTTTAAGTTGATTTGAAAAATTATGTTATGAATGTCTCTGCTTTTTATCCTTTAAAAATGGAAGGGATAACTCCCAAGGCAAAGGTTTTAAAATCTAACGTTTTTAATGGATGCAAAATATTCCAAGCTAAGTGTCTCCCACAATGTGTTCAAGCACTGCCTTCCTGATGGGTACTGCTCATCACTAAGAGTGTGTCCATAGCCAGTGAACCCATCTGCAGAGATGCACTGTTTTCAGGTGCCCATGTGAACACCACATGCACCGAGTCTACCTCAACGGTAAGGAAACCATCCAGAGAGCTTCCGCACTCCCAAGCCTTCCACCCAGGCCTGCACCTGCCCCACCAGCTCTGCGTCTTCTGGGTCTTCAGGAGGAGTACCCCAGGCCCACAGCCAGGGCCAGCCCTAGCCCCGTGAGGGCAATCCCCTCTGCCCTCGCCCTCAGTATATGCACAGGCCCTAACCCCTCTTTCCACCTCTGGCTGCCACCACACAGCTACTCCTTCTCAGAGTCCATTTCTTTCCTATTCCTCTCTCACCAACACACCTTAGCCAGGCTTCTACACCCTCCACCCACTCAAACCTCCCCAGTGGCCACCAGGCTGCCAAACGCAGGGTCAGCTCCCAGCTCATCTGCTCAGCCTGTGAGCAGCTGAAAGCTGACCCATCTCTCCTCCAGGAAATGCCTTCCTTTCTTGGCTTCAACAATACCACCCCACCTGCTCTTCCTTCCCCACCTTCTCCATGGACTCGTCCTCACCTCTCTGGCCTCTAAGCTCAGAGCTCAGCCTTCCCCTCCTTCCCAACTACCCAGGGTCCCCTGGTGACCTCTTCCCATCCCGGTGTTCACCTCCTGCTCAGCTCCACCTCGACAACCGCAGACTCGTACACCCAAATGCCGGCCTCAGCCTCCCCAGAGTGCCTCCCAGGTATGCCAGCTGCACACGCCCAGACCAGGATCGTTCCTCCTCATCTCCCCAACTCGGGAGACAGGAGGCCCATCACCCGAGAGCTTCCCCGCTCCCATCCACGCGAAGCTGAGAACCAAGCTTACCGGTTCTGCTTCCACACCGTATTTAGCAGGTGGCTACTGCTCGCCACCTCACTCCCACCCTGGAGCACGCAACCTCCACGCCACAGGCAGGTGCCCCTGCTCGGCCCTCACTCCCACCCTGAGGTTATCCTCAGCTCTCAAATCACACCATGCCACTCCTTTGTACCAAACCCTCTACAGGATTCCCAAAGTCCTCCACACCGGCCCGAGAGGCCCTCCACGCCCCCCAGACCCTGGCTGCCCTCCCTACTCCCCATGGCCACTTTGCTCCATGCACATGGCCTCTCGAAGTTCTCTGGTCCCACCGGGCAGGGTCCCACACCTTAGGGTCTGCACTGCTGTGTTTTCTCTGCCTAGAAAGCTCTTACCCAGGTCAGGTTTACGCAAATTGAGCAACGCAGCCCTGCCCGGACATTCCCACCTCTCTTCTTTCCTTGGCCCACCCTACATTACCTGCTGCCATCTGGTGTTTCACACATGTCACTAAGTTACTTCTGTGGTCTGTCTCCTCCAGCCCCATCCAATGAAACTGTCACTCCTAGAGGGCAGGCTTTTCACCGGCTCTGTTCATGTTCGTATTTACTGCTGGTACCAAAGAAGGCCCAGCACTACCTGTGCATGGACCGTGCACCTGCACTTAGCCACCTGGCGGGCACCGTGCAGCGGTTCACATGGTTTCATTGGGGCAGGGATCAAGCCGGACATTTACCATGCCTTCCAGCCTTCCAGCTCCACCTTCCTTAGATTGTGTACACGACAAACAAGAGACTGGAATAAAGTTTTTGGAGTACTACTCTAAAAATATAGATCCACAGGCATGGAATCTGTGACCACGTTAAAGCACCACATTCACCAATTTATTAAAACTGCCCTCTGTCAGTGTCACCGGAAGTCAAGACTCCCTCCCTGTAAAGTGGCTGCTGGATAACAAGTCCGTTAGGAAACCAGAATGGGGCTGAGGCGATGAAGACAGTAAGGGCTACCGCATCTGTCTGCACATTTGCACCGACGGCCAAGAGTCACGGACACTGCCTATTACCCAGAGTACTTGCTTCCTCCACTGGGACAATCAAGATGAACAAACAGGTATCTGCTGATGCATCCAAAGCGCTTAAGACCCAGAGCTCTGCTGACGGCTGGTGAGGCTTCCTGGGGGGCATCAGCAGCACTCCCCTGCCACCCTGGGACACTCCCAACATCCCATTTACAAAGGTGCTGCTGCACCTGCAACGGGCATCCTGTCCTCGGACACCTGGTGGCAAACATGGCTCAGAAACTCTGTGACTGAGTGCGCTCCATCCCACATGGCACAGCCAGATCACTTCGCTCCGCTGCAATTATGGAGACAACTGATCGCATCGCTTGATTACAGAAGTTCTGCTTAAATGATGGCTCACGGCTGACAAGGGAAGACAAACAGCTCGAGATCAAGTAGCAACGCCTGACTGAGCAGAATGAGGGAGGCAGAGCAGCCAGACGGGAAAGGACGTGGCTCTGGACTCAGACCGCTGGCTCTGCCTTGGCCCTGGCCCTCTCCAGCCATGCATCTCTGGGTGGGCTTGGGCTCCGCTCTTGTGAAGCGGGAGACACAGCAACCTGAGAAGGTCACTGAGAATGAATGAAATCCCTGTCTTGTTGAGCGGCACTGATAAGGATCACAAATCTAATGTGTTACAATTCAGTGAAATGCCAATCCCAAGTGCCGCCTCCAATAAGAACCTTTGCCACTTAGGAAGGTGTCCCAGGGACCCCACGGCAACAAGGCAGACGTGGGACCAACCTGCTGCTTGGCTAACATCGGGAGGATGACGTCGGCTATCTGCCGAGACAGTCGCTTCCACTTGTCTTCATTCTCCTTGTGGCACTGCTGCAGGACCAGGATGAACATCTCCAACACCTGCGGGGGGTGGGGGGCAGGTCAGAGCTCCCAGCCGGTCGTGCTCACAGAGCACATGTGCCCGCCTGCTGCACTGACCCCAGTTCGGACTCCAGGATGCAAACCTAGCAAGGGTCTGATACCCCCGACGCCACCCTGGCCCCGGGACATGGGAAACCAGCAGAAGAAAATGCAAGGGGCACCCTCCAACAAGCACAGTCCTTGGGATCATGTGCCATCATTATACTTCTTTGCTTCTACAGAGTTTACAAGATTTCACAATCAGAGAAAAGGCACAAAAAGAGAATCAAGTTTATACTAACCTTTGGGAAAACGCAAACACAGCCCTGACTAAACTATTCTGCAGACGCCTCCTGACTTCTGTGTACATTAATTTCAACTCTGTGCTCTTTACAAAGCTGATCTCCTACCGAGTCGCACTTACTCTCAGAAAAGTTACCCATGGTCGAGCAGGAGTTTATGAGTGATCAGTTCTAAGCAGAGACAGCTAAAAGCCCATTTTTGTAAATAAAGTTTTATTGGCACATGGCCATACCCGTCGTGAACACACTGGCTGGGACAGCTTTTGTCCACAGTAGCCGACCTGGGGTGTTGCAACTGATGCCCTAGAGCCTGCAAAACTGAAAATACTTATCACCTGCCTGTTGACAAAAATGCCTGTCAGCCTGGCCTATTCACCACAAGCGCCACAAAGACAGCCAAGCCAATCCAAGCCTACTCTGTAAGAAGCCCGCCCGCCTGCCCCCTCCACAGCCGCCCCTCTGCTCAATGGGCTTGGCAGCGCTTCTCCCACAAGCGGGGGATCTGCACTCCATTCCGACTCTCCTCAGCAAAGGCTAGCCGACCTCTCTGTCCTCTGAAGCAGCAGACGGAGAGCTCCCCAAGCACATGTGGCTGACGGGCCACTCTCCAGGCCTCCCTCCAACCCAGTGTACTTTGTACTTTTCATTGTAATTATGGGATTTAATTAAACAGTAAGCATTTAATTAAATATTACATAGATTAACCAAAATGAGTATGCACAAAGAAAGTGTTTCCATGAGAAAAGCTTACGACTTTAAGATTCAAAGACAAATAGCTACCAAGAACTATGAAACAGTGAGGGCCAGGCAAGCGAGCAAGCTAAGAGTGGCCTCACTGGAGAGGCCTATGCTAGATCTCTGCACTGTGGCCCCATCCCAATCAGCCTGAAATTGTGCTCGACCTTACGGAAAACAAAACCACAGTTAGCACAAAGGAAAAGACCCTAGCCCTACTTCAATATATGGTAAATAGATGTACAAAATAAAGTCTTTAGATTACTTCAGATATGAGATTTTTTTTAAAAAAGATTTTAGTTATTTACTTGAGAGACAGAGCACGAGATGGGGGAAGGGAAGAGGGAGAGGGACAGACTCCCCGCTGAGCACAGAGCCCAATGTGAGGCTTGATCCCAGGACCCCGAGATCACGACCTGAGCCGAAGTCAGACGCTTTGCCGACTAAGCCACCCAGTGCCCCTCAGATGTGAGATTTTTAAAATCATCTTTTAGAATTCTATCATTTTGATCAATGTCAATTAACTGATTTTTGGTAATTTTGGAGAAGAGGGTCTCCAACTTACTTACTTCCTTGAATGACCTTGTGACTGTCAGTCAGGTGGCAGGTGACCTCCCCATGTGGCTGTACAGCTTTAAAGACCAAACCTCGGCAAGCCTATCCATCCCTGGCATCTCCCCAGACTGAGAGCCGGGGGCAGCACAAAGGATCACCCGCTAATTAGTGGACCGTGGGCCACAGGGCATTTCCTCCTGCCCCTGCAGAGACAATGGAGTGCCAGGGACCGCCCCACGCCTCCCTTACCTGATGGTACTGGATGAGTCTCAGCAGCATCGACACCACCACCTCTTTTTGGGTTTCAAGCTCTTTTCCTGCGTCGGCTTTATTGGTTCCTCTCAGTACAAAGAGGTCATGGACTATTGGCTGCAGAGCTGGTATGGCTGTGGTGTAAAAAGGCAGGCTCAGAAGGCATCACAAACCGTTATACTGCAAACAGAGCTTAACACCTCCAAAACACGTCCAAAAAATAAGAAAACCCTAATCCGTGCACGGTTTATGATAAGGGATAAATTCAGGTTATCAGTGAGCGCTACGAATTATCAGTATGCCATCATGGAGGCCACAGGTCTTCCTCAGACACTTACTGATCATTTTGTGAAATCTTAAAAAAACGAAAACAAAAACTAGGGTGTTGTGATGTAACATCATTTCTGACAAAAGAGACACAAATCCAAAAGCCAAATTCAAACTAAAATCTTCCGACTAACTAAAGTAGCAACATCCTATTCTAATGCATACTCCACTTAAAGATTTACCTGAAAAGATGACAGTGTTCTTCAACAGAAAACATGTAAAATATTAGATTTCTATGCCATTTTAAGCAATAACCCACTCTCGTTAGATAAAGCCTTTCCCCCAAGTCTTGTCTTTATCCAAAACAGCAGTCAAACGAGGTTCCTCAGTCTGCCGCCACCGCTGGGACAAACTGTCTAAGAAACTTCTCTCACTGGGAAGGGTGTGGCCCAATCATGTCCCTGATGTCACTGCAAGGCACTGTCTGCCTAGTGGCACGCACACTTGGGCACACGCACCCTCAGTGCCACGCACACACAGCATACTTGCTGAATGTTCTACAGGTGACCAAGTTTTCCACAGAAAGTACGAGGGTTTGGCTGCCCATTGATTTTCTACCCGAAGACCCTCTAATCTAGGGGGTTTTCGTCATCCCTTTATTTGACATTTGCACCAGGGACCCCAAATTCCATATGCGTACAAGTGTGAACTTTTGCTGCGGTGTGAATCTCAGCCCTTGTGAGGCCATGGCAAAGGTGACTCCAGAGACCATGAGAATCAGATGGCGCTGAGTGTCTACCCCTCAACCGTTACCTGCTTTACCACAACCACATGGAAGAGAGAACACTGCACACCACAGCGCCCTCCTCTGGGGTCTGCAAAGGTCTTGGGATGTACCCTCACCAAGGTTCAAAAGCCTACTGATTCCTGACAACGGAGCCAGAAAGGAGTCAAGGGAAAATGCTAAAGATTTACAGTTTATTCTGCAAACCACAACCTCCTTGTGCAGGTGAGAGGAGGCTGCTTGAGGGCAGACCACTGTCTGTGCTCCTCAGTTAAGTCTCTACAAAGAACCAGGCAGCACAGAAGGTCAGAGGCCAGGCCACTCCTTCCCGGGGCAGTGCACAATACACCAAGTGTCCTTACAGAAGGTGGAGTTTTCAGTTTCTTGTGTTTCATGTAATTAGACTAGAGTGTTTATGTCAGACTCTCTCTGTACCTCAGATCACCTTACCCCTTGTGTTTTTACCTTAGGAGATTGTAAGCTCCTGAGAGTAAAGGGGGGGAGGCTCTCTTCCTTTTGTGACCTCTCTAAGCCATGCGCACATGCACGCATGCACACACACTCGCACACATGCATACACATGCACGCTTGCACATGCATGTACACACACAGAGCCACAAAGCACAGAGCAGCCGTGGACACAGTTGGAAGTTGGTGTAATGAAGACTAACACTGTCCAGCACATCATTACTGACGACCACAGGGAAAGGTTTGTCCCGTTACCATGTGTCACAGCCTTCCTCCCACTGGCCATGATGCCATCACAGAGCTGAATGATTTTAGGAATTCCAATGATCTGTTTTGAATGATAGCGTTCGTAAGATAGTAATACCAGGAAGAAAAAGATGTTTGGAATAATTGCCTCTGATTCCCTAGAAACAAAAACATCCATTTAGATACTTCCTTTTAAAATTAAGATACATAATCAATATAAACAACATGAAATTACTAATGATTCCGAACGGAGAGCAAAAGAGAAAGGGACAGAGCAAGGGGGCAGGGGGCAAGCGGGGAGAGTGAGGGGAGGGAATGAGGGGAGAAAGGGGGGGCGGAAGGAGGGGTGGATGGGGAGGGCTGAGGGAGAGCCCCTGGAAAGCACCCAATGGCACTGGATGCCCCAAGGCACAATCTTCTTAGTTCTCCTCCTGCCCCTTCTCTCTTCAGTTGAAGAAACTGAGACTCAGAGGATGGAAAAGTAACTTGTCTCAAATCACACAGGCAAGTATCACCTAATTAGAGTAAGAAAGTCCAGGGTCTCTAGACCCAAGGGACACTGAGAACACATCCTTCTTCACCGTGTTTTCCTACTTACTAAGGACAGCTGACCCCCAACAACATGGGTTTGAGCTGCGCGGGTCCACTTATACACGGGATTTTTTTTTTAATAAATACAATACTATACTATAAATATATATTATCTTCCTCACAGTTTTAACAACATTTTCTTTTTTTCTGGCTCACATATTGTAAGAATAACACAATACATATAACATATAGAATATGATTTAATCGAGTGTTGACGTTATCCGTAAGGCTTTTGGTCAACAGCAGGCTCTTGGTGGTTAGCTTTTGGGGGAGGCACAAGTTAAACGCAGATTTCTGAGTATGCGGGGGTCAGCACCCCTGACCCGTGTTGTTCAAGGGTCCACTGCAGCTCAGACACTGAAGAGATCTCATTTTCAGTAACTACACTTAAACACCTGTCTCTGGCACAGGAGAAGAGTATTCAGGCCTTAGTGTCCAGCAGGGAGCTGCAATCCCTCTCAGGAAAGCACACAGTAACCACCTTTACTGCAGACAGCCACACCTAAAACATGTTTTCTCTAAAAAGCTCAAAAAACAATCAGCATTCCAGCAGAAGAGACTGTATTTAGCAGTCTGTTATCATAATTAAATGCTCTGAAATGTGAAAACTGACACATCTAATTCCAGATGCAGAACTATTTCTAAATGAGTTGAGACACATCAATTTTTAAGAGAAATAAAAACACACAGCGTGTTAATCAGAGTTCCACTTAAAAAAATATCTAGCAAAAATACGTTAACAATCCTTTAAAGTAAATGTTCATCTTAATAATCTAAAATCACATGTCAGTGCATAATAAGGACAAAAAATCTAAAAGAACAAAATGCCATTACCTGAACTGGCCTACTTCAATGTATTCAAACTGCTTCAGCACAAATCCAATAAACACCTACAAGCAGGAAAATAAAATTTTCACATCAGTAATTAAAACGTGCAAACTAGGTGACTTTTCTACCTACTTACTTGTGTCAATTTTAACAAGTTCCTGGCAGTAAACTTGTGTGTATACAAGAACTCAGACGTATTCTGTCAGACTAGATAATCCAGGACACTTTACTGAACAGTCAGTGGGAGGTCCGGAAAAAGAGATTGCGCACTCCAGGAGACACCGAGCAGTCCCGCAAAGACACATCTGGGGGCCAGCTCGCCCCGGCTCACACCCCGAGCAGCACGGATGCCCCGACACTGGCTTGTAAGAAGATGCCCACATCGGCCCACCCTCTCCTCCCACACCCCGGCGTTCAAAGGGGCTGATGCAGGGGACTGCTGTCTGACAAGGAAGGCGACGCTGAGGGCACAGGCAGCACTGCAGGACTGGCTTTGAGCCAGTTTGCGTCCAACTCTGTTCCAAGCACCTGCGCTCTCCCAATCTCGAGCCTGGAACTTACATACCGCTGTTTGCTCCCAGCCTGCAGGCATGACACAGACACAGAGCTGGTGCTCCACAGATCATGATGGGAACTGAATTAAATGGTCCGCCTGTTCTCGTTTCCTACAGTCATCGTACTGAAACCCTCAGGACTGGGGAGAAAGGGCCCTGAGCTATACGAGCAAATCCGAACAAATGTGAGGCTAGAGCACTCACGGCAAGAAAAGGCCAGCAGCACCACAGAAGAGGTGGCTGGGAGGCGGCTTTGCTGGAGCTCTGAGGCCGGCCCCTCTCCACGTGCATGCGTCAGGTGATTTTAGTAAGACAGAAGGAAGCAACAAAAATTACACCATCTCTGAGAAGAAAGTCTATGTAGAAAGACTGAAGAGAGAATGGCGATCACACTGAAGGCAGCCCAGAAAGAGAGCAGCCTCTCCCTTCCGCAGGAGAACATCGAGCTCTGCCTGGGAGGAGTCACGACTGGACGCTGAGGAGACAGCAGGGTGCAGCCCTGGGTGGAGCCGATGGCTCTGTGCCCCCAGAGTGGCCCTCGAGGTGGGCCCTGACTTCCGCCTAAAAAGCCCCCAGGGCGCCCTTATTCCTAACGTCCCAATCAGCATGCACCTGCCTCCCTCTGGGCCACCACCGCCCGAGGCTTCAGACGAGGCCTCTCCTGCCCAAGATCCCTGTGTCAGAGGAAAGGCCATGCTGTCCCTAACCGTCCTCCAGTGAGCATCTGCCCCAAGGAAGGGAGCGGCCCTCTTGGACGATGTTCTTCTGATAGTTTGGCAAAAGGAGGAGGAGTGCAAATGTCAGCCACCATGAAGCCCGGTCCTTCAAGCCCCCCTTCATCAGAAGACGGCCCCCCAATACCACTTGTGGGGAGATAAGCATCCTGAAGGTGTTTCCTCATTTCTCTGAGCAACAGACCTTTTCAGGTGAGTGTTGGTGCCGACAGGATCTACTGACACACCGATGTCTATGAAACATTTCCCACCTCACTTGGGAAAGAAGCCCAAGGTCACGGCCCAGCAATGACAGTCACACTTTCATGACCTACAGGCGACTTTATGTGTGGTGAATGCAGCTGGCGTCCCGAGGGGCTAGGATTCCAGAAGTGCTTCCCCACAGCTGAGTCCCGCCTGGCCAGGGTGTGTCAACACTGAGCTGGTCAGACGGGCACCGGGAGGGCCTCTCGGGGCACAGCACCAGCTACTGCTCCCTTAGACCACGTTCTTCTTTACAGACGTGCCCAGACATCAGCTTGTTTGAAACCAGATGTCATAATTGATAATCTGTTCAAAATAAGTCTCTGCGTTTTGCAAAAATGCCCCCCCGAACAGTAAGGCTTAGTTGTATCTAAAATTTAAATGCACTTATCTTGGGGTGGGGAGGGTGAGTGGACAGAAAGCCCTGACCCTCGAGTAAAGGCCACCCCGGGCGGAGAGCCCCGAGCTGGGGAGGACGCAGCGGGCGGCACGTCTCCTGAAGGCAGACTGTGGGGTCTCACAGGCAACCGGTACTGACTTACCCACAGCTAGGGTAGATGGGGGCCGAAAACGACAAACCTGGTCCGAGTCCAGAAGACAGTAGTTGACGCGTAACTGCACCAGCTGCGCCAGCAAGTCCAGAACCTGCCTCTGCAGCCGCACGGACGTGGTGGTGGTGTACTGCTTCAAAGCTTTAATAACCAGAGGCTCGAACAAGCGGATGTGATTATGAATAGCATTCTACAGAGAAAAGGAAAAGAACAAATCCGTGAGTTAGTCTTCAACTGAACACCTCAGGCCACCGACCTGGGAAGTGCCGAGCTCCGTCCTCCCTTCTAGCACGACACCTGCCGCCTCTCGCTCACCTTATCTGCGCGGTTCTTTGTGGCGCTCGTGAGGTTGGTCTTCAGCTGGGTAGACACCTTCTGAAGCACGTCAAACCACCTGCCGGATGGAGAAAAGGGAGCCAAGAGTGGCCTTAAATCCTCTCCTGCGTCCCCAGCCGCACTCGGAGTCAGGGGACCTGGGGGGCCACGCACGCAGCGGCACCCGCTCCTCTCCAACACAGATGGCCGGGCTGCGTCGAGCCCGCAGCGGCAACCGCCCCGGGCCTTGTCTGGGTGGCGGGAGCTCAGAGAGAGCGCGCCTGGCGCGGGAAACCCACCACAACCCAGCCGAGGCCACGCTGACGCCAGAAAGGGGATGCCCATGAAGATCTCACTTGGTTTTCTTAGGAAAAAATTCTTCAAAGATTCACACCAATTATAAGGTAAACGAAGTTAGATGACAGCTGACACACACACACACACACACACACACACGCTCCCTTAGTTTTTTATTTATACCCCATATTATTAAATGAAGTATTTGAAGACATTTATTCCTGAGAACCGGATACACAGTGAGTATGCCACCCACGTAAAGCCTGCAACACGGGCATTTTCCTTAGCTCCTGACTCTAGTATGTTAACTGCAGCTCTTTTATCACTACCTACATAAAAGGAAAAACAAGGAATTCTCTTGTTACTACACTGAGTAGCAGCTCAAATATCTAATAACTACGGGCATTTAAGCAAAAACTACTATATTCCAGGCATCAAAAACACAATCATAAATGTAAATGAAGACTTAGAGCCACAAGGTGATGAAAGGCGAAGTGCTGTTACAGGAGACTCTTCAGTGCCCTTCACACACCTTCGGGTGCCGGCACCGCTGTACCACGTAGAAGCCGTGCTTTCACCCGAGTGCAGACCTGAGAGGTGCCCACCCCCACTCGGCGCCTGCGGTCAGCAGGCCAGCACGTCCCGCACCGCAGCTCCGGCGGCCCCCACAGCCCAGCTGCCTCCCCACGCCTGCCCAGCCCCCGAGCCTGCACAATCCCCCACACGCCACCTTACTCACTGGATCACACACTTTGAAGGCAGGGCCATGCCTCCAGCATGTTGGTAACAATCATACTTTCCAAAGTTCTTTGGATACAGTAGAGTATGAGAAGACTGTGGCTCATTTTTTTTTTTTTACTTTTTACAAACTTCACCGCTCTCTCTGTCATGGGTCTACCGAAGATGTGCCCCTGACGCGACCACCCCGGCAGGACAGCTGGAAGGTTACCCTGAAGTGTCGTGGTCCTGGTCCGCCTGCACCATGTTCCTCAGGCTGGCGTCGGCTAAGGCCTGGGTGAAGTGGGTGTATGGAGCCATGAAGCAGTAGTGGTACAAGCCCGGCCTCACGCTGGAGGAGCCCAGACGCTGTGCTCGGCCTTGAGACTTGCTGGGGTTGGAGGATAAGCCATCAAACTGGGAGGCCAAGTTTGTCCCAAAGAGAGTCTTCAGCAGCTAGAGTGAGAGAACTGAAGCCATCAGCATCTGACTTAACACAGCGTGAACACACAGAGCAACTCCCAGGCAGAGTCACGTTAGCAAAAATTCTGACTGAAATCCTTGCTGGGAATCGCCATCAACACCGTGTGAGACTGCTGTGGTGAAGGGCAAAGTAAGTTGTAAAGAAGAACCTCAGAGCCTCGACTCTACCGTGATTCTCCACGAGACTGACTGTTCCAAACAGAACCCTGGAGGGACACTAAGACGGCAGTTCTTAGCCAGAGTCCAGCTGCCCTCTCCGGTGATGGGCCTCCTCCTCTTGCAGGGGAGTGGGAGAGGGACCCCGCTGCCTAATAACGGAGTGAGCCAACGCGTGACACAGGGGCTGCCCGACACGCCCCCAGCACCGCCTCCTACGTGAGCAGTCGCGTCACGCCCTCCTGCCCAGAGCTGGGGCTTGAAAGGACAAGACAGGAAATGACTCTCTTACCTGCTGAACGCAAACGGTTGCCATCACCGGTTCTCGGCTGAAACAGGATTTCAGATACCCTAGGATCTCCTCAACACACTGCAGAAGAATAAGCAGTAAGACATTGAAGTAAGTGACTGACAGGTGGCTTCCTACGGCTGTGAGCCCTGCACAGACACTGAAGACCTGAGGTAGCTTCTGCGTAACTCCTGAGCGTCAGTCAAATCTGGAGGAAACTTGCGGTCTTATCGCTGTGAACAAAGTCAGCAGAAACCACAGACGGTCAAGTAGCTCCCTGCAGCCTCCCTATCATGTGTTGCCGTCGCTCGCTGGCTCGCTCGCCTGCTCAGGAACAAACTGTTCACCAAGTACCTACTCTCCCTGTGTTCCAGGCAGGAATTCAGAGAGTACAGAAGAGCCAGAAGCCCGGCAGACGTCCAGCTGAACATAAGGCCCATGCATTGTGTGATTTACTACAAAATGCCCTGCAGGTGTCTTACAGCAATCTGCAAAAATGACCAAAATGACGGCCTTCACATGACCGCTCTCACAAACTACTTTTACCACCCTAAAAAATGAGGTAAGGGCACGTGATGTCTTCTTGGGGCATCGAGAAGGATGAAGACATGAACTCTCAGGATGCCGCCAGGCCAGGCACTCAGCACCAACGGCCCGCCTCGGTGCCTACACGGTCACCAGCCGCTGCTTCCGTCAGCGGGGCTGGAATTCACACCAACCAGACTGCTTCTCAATTTCCTTGTGTGGGACAGTTTCCTGCACTAAAAAACAACAGACTTTTGTTGGTTTCAAATACAAGGACCGTGTATTTTTAATATTCTGATTTACTCAAATTAGACTCTGAGCATTCAAGGTTGTATTCTGCAGGGCTGAATTTGTTACACGTTGCTTTTAGGTTGTACTAGCCCACAGCTGGTATCTAATAGATGTTAACTGGAGGAATTACAACTAGAGCTTCCAGATCACGATCTGTCTAGCAAAGGACGAGATCTCCTAACAAACATGCATGGAGGACTTGGTGGCACCAAACACAGCAAGAGGCACTGAAAACTGACAAGGAAGGAGGCCGTGGCGGCCTCAAAGAGCATGCGGAGCACCAGGAGTGCGTCCCAACACAGGCACCAACATGCGGTGGAATACAGACTCCCACTTCTGGCAAAACAGGGCACGGGGCCCATTTATACCTTCTACCCAAACAACCAAAAGAAGCACAGGCACTGTGTGCAGTCGCAGTGACAAGACGCCAAATGGCAGGGACTGAAGGACAGTAACCCCTGAGGGGCAGGGACAAACGCAGCAAGCCCCACACTGCACTGGGGTCCACTGCCCTGGGAGACTTTCCAGGTCAAGGCACAAGGAAGAGAGGCACAGCGCAGCCTAGAGACCCCCAGTCAGGAGGAGCTGTGAGTCCAGGGAAGCTGAAGCAGCAAGGGTCCACAGGGCAGCCCATCGCAGAGACAGCTGCCTGGAGAGGGCTCTGGAGATGTGGGGAGTCGGCACGCCATTGGTCAACATGTGGGGAAACCTCCCCGAGGCCAGGGGAGAATCACCAGGAAGGGTTACAGGGCAGTAGTTGGCACCCACAAAGGGCTAAGGACAGTTACTGTTCCCCCCAAACTGGGGAGAGTGGAAACTCAAGGGGTCCCCTGCCTCCACTGTGGGAACAGTTAGGCCCAGACTGAGCACTGTTCCAACCCACCTAACATGGCAAATGCAAGACCCGAGTAAACTTCCCACACAATTTAAATCTATCTCAGAATAAAGCTCAAGAAGATTTACAGGAGCACAGAAATGCCTAGCACCCAACATTTCACTATGCCTGGCATCCAATCAAAGATGACCAGGAATGCAAAGAGGCAGCAATACATGATCCATAATGAGGAGCAGAATCAATCAATCAAAAATGACCTGGAACAGACAGGATTTTAGAATTAGCAGAATGACATTAAAAGTCATTATGACGGTATATTCTATGTGCTCAAAAACTTAAGTAGAGACAAAGAAGATCCAAAAAAAGACCCAGATCAGACTTTTAGAGATAACACACTACCACGATGGTGATGAAAGTGCGCAAGATGGGCTGACAGCTCAGACGCTGCAGAGGATGAAATTCACAAGCCTGAAGACACAGCAGTGGAAGTCCACAGAATGCAATGCAGACAGAAAACAATAAAAACACTGAAAGGAGCCTCAGTGAGCCATGTAGAGGACAACCTCAAGCATCCAAACATGCAGGTAATTAGAGTCCCCTTAAGAGAGAAGAAAAAGCAGGGCGCCTGGGTGGCTCAGTCGTTAAGCGTCTGCCTTCGGCTCAGGTCACGGTCCCAGGGTCCTGGGATCGAGCCCCGCTTTGGGCTCCCTGCTCAGCGGGAAGCCTGCTTCTCCCTCTCCCACTCCCCCTGCTTGTGTTCCTGCTCTCGCTAACTCTCTCTCTGTCAAATAAATAAATAAAATCTTTAAAAAAAAAATTTAAAAAAAAAGAGAGAGAGAGAGAGAAGAAAAAGCAGTGGGCAGGACCAGGAAAGATATCTGAAGAAATAATGGCCCCAAATTTCCCAAACTTTAAGAAAACTATTAAGCCAGAGATCTCAGTTCAACAAACCGAAGCACAAGAAACCTAAGCGAAGTTACACTGAGGCACATCAAAATCAAATCACTCAAGACCAGTTAAGCGTCCAGAAGGGAGAAAAAACACAGTAATAACACGGAGAGCTGTAAGGAGTTACATGGAAAATGTGCATCAAGGATTGCCCCAAGAAAACACGAACACCCAAAAACAATAGCACATTTCAATGACATAAAAATGGAGCGTGGAATAAACAAGGTCTAGAAAAGAGGAAAAATCAGAGAATTATTTGAATTATTATTATAATGAAGATTATTTTTCATCCCCAGTGTTAGTATTTAGGAAAACAAAAGAAAACAACTCTATTTTTAATTCTAAGTCTCTCTTTGCCTTCACCTTCTATCATCAGAGAAGCTCACAGAAATCTGAGGAAAAGTTGCTGGTACATTTTGCAGGTTGTATCCCCTCCCCCAAGCTGTGTGTGGCGCTCAGGCCCCCGGTGCCAGAGGCAGCACGTGTCCAGCGCGTGTCCAGTGCACGTCCAGTAAGTGCCCACCACAAAATCACAAGCAGCAGTTTGTGGGTCTACACCCTGATCTTGCCACCTGGGCTCCTGGACACGCTTCCACCCAGCTGGGCAGTGTGTCAGCCGGGGGGGTCCCAGGCCTGCCCGCGCAGTGATCAGCCGAGGAGACCCTGCACACACAGCAAGTGTCCAAGCGCAAAGAAAATCCTGGGGGGGCTTCTACCCCGCACTCCCATCGGAAAGGCCAGGAGCGAAGATTCAGCAGTTAAGCAGAAGAGGCTTCCAGAGCACCGACAAGGGAAAGCCCAAACTGCAGCTGAAACAGGCCTTTGTCATCAAACAGCAAAACAGATCAACTCAGAACCGTAAAGACAAAGGCAAGAGGCTGCAACATCCAGTCAATCCTGCCCCGGATAAAGGATCTTCAGAGATGAAGTTACTGAACACACACCTTTAAAAAAGGAAGAAATGTAAGCATATCCCTGTTTTCAGGAATATCAAGACCCCTAATACAAAACTTCATCAGACTGTGACTTCATTATTTACTTTCATATATTGGGATAAATGCACCAGTGGATAAATTCACTGGCTGCCACTGGAGAACAACTATTTCTGTGTACGTGGCAGTCAAAAAGAAAAAAGGAACCATGCTCCTAGAAAATGAAAAAAATACAAAAACAACAAACTACAAAGTCATCTGGATTCCAAGAAAAAGGAAAATTTTATTATTTTAAAAATTCTATGTAGATGGTTTTTATTTCAGAGTATCTAACATTCAAAGTTAAAATGGGTTATATTTCCCATGTTGCTACAACGTGTTACATGCACACAGACAGCAGGCCACAAGACCTGCTGGTAAAAGCGGGGAAAGCAATGGGTCGCCAGGACTGATGGCCCTATGGGACAGCACCGCTGTGCGCAGAGGCACAGCCTGGGCTGGGGGCCGGCCGGTCTCACCAGCAAGGCCATACTAGGAAGAGCTCTGACCAGTTTCACTCTGAGGGACAACTGAGCGTCAGTTAGAACAGGACACTATGTAGCCAGTAAAAAACAAGTACACGCACTAAACAGACCTGAAAAGAAGCAGAATACCGCAAGTAATCACGAAAACTAGGCACGCTTTCATGTACCAAGAGAAAGATTTAGAAAAACAAAAACAAACGAACTTCACAAGCTACTGTACTTCCCTCAACAGAGATACTTGTTTAAAGGGGGAGCCACCTGCAGCTCCTCTGGGGCCCATCAGAAAGTACGACGCCCAGGAGCCAGCAGGTGGACACACGTGGCCAAGGCCTTGGCGTGTGGACACATGAGACGGTGCTCACCACACAATTCCTTGAACTCTCGTGTGTCTGAGCTCCTCCTTGTACGATGATGGGGAGGGCGATGGGGCTTCTACCCCAACTCTGCTGCTTCCCGTGGCACCAAAGGAGCCGGCCATGCACCCTCACCACGTCTGTTGTCACCCTTTCTGCTCACAAAGGTCAAATAAGAAAACAAAAATAGAGCTATGCTATGACCCAGCAATTGCACTCCTCGGTATTTACCCCAGAGACACAGACGTAGTGAAAAGAAGGGCCACATGCACCCCAGTGTTCACAGCAGCAATGTCCGCAATAGCCAAACTGTGGAAGGAGCCGAGATGCCCTTCAGCAGATGAATGGATAAAGAAGATGTGGTCCATACATACAATGGGATATTACTCAGCCATCAGAAAGGATGAATACCCAACTCTTACATCAACATGGATGGGACTAGAGGGGATTATGCTAATAAGTGAAATAAGTCAAGCAGAGAAAGTCAATTATCATATGGTTTCACTTGTTTGTGGAACATAAGGAATAGCATTGAGGACATTAGGAGAAGGAAGGGAAAATGAAGGGGGGGAAATCAGAGGGGGAGACGAACCATGAGAGATTATGGACTCTGAGAAACAAACTGAGTGTTCTAGAGGGTAGGGGGATGGGGGGATGGGAGAGCCCAGTGATGGGTATTAAGGAGGGCACGTACTGCATGTAGCACTGGGTGTTATACACAAACAATGAATCATGGATCACTACATCAAAAACTAATAACGTACTATATGGTGATTAACATAATAAAATTAAATTAAAAAAAAAAGAAAAAAAAAACAAAGGGACTGTCACCACAATTTAAACCCACTCATATTGTAGAATAAACTGGATCTAAGCTAATATACAGGAAAAAAACTGAAGAGAGGAGAGAGGTAGAACACCCCCAATCTGAGGCTAAGACAAGCATCAGAGTCAGGTGCTGTGATGTGGCAACAGGGGTCGGGGGGACATGCAGAAGTTTCTCAAGCTGCTACCACCTTCTGAACGTGCCCAGATGATGGGGTTGCAGCCCCACAGGCGCTGGTGCCGGCTATTGCTCAATGACAAGAAATGAAACACATACCTTCCCGATGTCCTGCAGCGTCGCCAGCTCTAGGATCTGAGAGAGAACATCCAAGGCAGAGCGCAGAAAGCCCCCAAACTTTTCAGTGCTGTTCTGAAGATCCAAGGTTACCTTGGAAAAGAAAAGAACACAGGATTACTTGCACCGTCCCATCCGTCATCTGTAACAAAGACACACACTGTGTGATGAGAGGTATCCCACTATGCAACCCTACACACACACCATGTGGGCTGTTTCCTGTGAGCACTGGGAAAATGCTTTGGAAAGGAAACTACTCTTCCAGACAGCTTTATAAAACTGCCATCTTTCAGAAGCATCTTCTAACTTACATTGATACAACTGAAAGAAATAATTTCTGAGCTTCTATCATGAAGGAAAAAAATGTAAATTTCCATTACAACCAACATGTGATAAGCACCAAATCAAAAAATATAAAATACACAACCTGTTCTACATACATTAGTTATCCCCAAGGAATCATCATCAAATCCAGAAACTGCCTTTCAGTCTGGCTACAGCAAAACATTAAATTCATGTTAAGAAGAATTAAATTAGGATTCTAACGGGCCCAGCTGAATTAAATTATGCAACTCCCCTATTTAACCGACTGAGAGAAGGGGTTAGGTCCAAAGACATAACATGAAAGAGCAAGGGAGAGGGGGAGAGATCAACTATGAAAATAAAAACTGGCAAAAACCCTGCAAAACGCTGCAACAGAGAAAGGAATCTGCTCCGTGAAATCAAACGTGGCCACCCGTGATGAAAGAGAAAGTGCTTCCTGGGCCAGGGGAGAGGACGGCAGGCGAGACACACACGGAAGACGACCACCAGGCAGGCCCACGTGCCGCAGCTCCTCTGTGCTACCGCCGGCGGCGGGGGGCGGGCTTTCCAACAGGCTGAGGAAGGGCGAGTGGGGCCATGTCCCACAGGGACGGGAGGGAAGGGGCTCCCCTCCAGCAGGCAGGGCAGGACAAGGGACGAGGGCCATGAGCACAGGAAGGCCTATCTTGAAGAAGAACAGAGGTCACAGGTGAGAACCAGGGCCACAGGGCGCGGAGGGAGCTGACCCCAGAGCTAGAGTGGAGGGCCATGCACACGGCCACTCAGGAAGAGAAATGAAGGAGACGGAGAGACGGTGTGACAGATCTCACAGGTGCCGGGCACCCCAAACACGCCAGCCAGGCGGGCATCTGAAGTACTGGGGTCCACGGTGCACGGGGTACAGCGTGAAGCCCAGGATGTCCCGGAGGGGAAATGGTAAGAACAGAGCAGATGCTAGGAGCATCAACAGGGCCCCAGGACCCGAGACAGGAGTTGAGAATAGGCAGAAAAAAATGTCTTCTCTGTGCAGGGTTTCCAACGTGCCCCCTGCTATTTGGGTGGGTGACATGAGAAACATAGGCTAAAAAGAGCCTCTGAATCTGCTGTAAAACATGGTTAAGATTCTTATCTTTCAAAATTATCAGTATCCTTCAGAAAAGAGGCCAGATAAGGTTTATAAATGGTTTTCCAAAAAACTGAGAAATATCTATCAGTAACAAAAAATGATGACCATCTGGGGACATGTTTATCAAGAAATAAACAAGATCTATGTGAAAAAATCTTCAAAAATTCTTAAAATTCTTTAAATTTTATGTACATCTGAGACACATACAAGAAGATTTCAACAGGGGCACCTGGGTGGCTCAGCCGTTAAGCGTCTGCCTTCGGCTCAGGTCATGGTCCCAGGGTCCTGGGATCGAGCCCCACATCAGGCTCCCTGCTCCGCGGGAAGCCTGCTTCTCCCTCTCCCACTCACCCTGCTTGTGTTCCTGCTCTTGTTAACTCTCTCTCTGTCAAATAAATAAAAGAATCTTTAAAAATAATAATAATAAAAAAAAAAGATTTCAACAAACAAAAACGCATCCCACACTCTGGACAGGTGTATTTAACATCCAAGATACCAGTTCTCTAGGAATTAATCTACAAATTTAACATGATCCCAGTGGAAATATTCTCAGGATCCTTTAGATTAGCTTATTCTCGTGTCCACATGCAAAAATAAACGAATATCAGGAAAAAATTCTAAAGCAGAAAGGGGGAACTGACCACCTCAAAAATGTACCATGGAGGGGCACCTGGGTGGCTCAGTTGTTAAGTGTCTGCCTTCGGCTCAGGTCATGATCCCAGGGTCCTGGGATCGAGCCCCGCATCGGGCTCCCTGCTGAGCGGGAAGCCTGCTTCTCCCTCTCCCACCTCCCCCCGGCTTGTGTTCCCTCTCTCACTGTGTCTGTCAAATAAATAAATAAAATCTTCAAAAAAAAAAAAATGTACCATGGAGCCACAGAATGGGCATGTGTGCTTCTAACAGATGAACAGATGGACAGACTAATGTCCCCAAACAGTAAATGAAATACAGACCCATGAGAATTTAGCAGCTGGTAAAGGTTGTATTTCAGATCAATTAGCGCAAGAAAAATGGCTTACTTGGGAAACAGTGCTAGGGGCAATTGGGCAGGTAGCTAACCAATGAAAAGCCCGAAGAGAAACCATGGGACGTTTTTCCTTAATCGTCTCAGCGTGAGAAAGCCCAGTGCAGAAGAGTCGACAGAACAGACTGCTCTCCCTCCAGAAACCTGTTTGTAAGGTCGGCCCTCAGGGGTGTCTGCACACTTGGCCAGTCGACAGTTCCCTACACCACTAGCAGTGCTCCCCGTGCCTGGACTATGTGAATGAACCCCACGTTTTAGGCTGCACACCTGCATTCCTCTGTGAGCCCTGGGTTTTGCTTCGTGTCAGGCAGAGGAGGCCTCCGTGGCTGGAGGACAAGTGTGGGAGAGAGAGAACACAGCAAGGCCTGCACCTGGATCCCTGCAGACCGTGCCTGTGTGTCCTTACCACACGGTGGTAAAAATCCCAGCTCTGAGACTGCATACGCACCGAGGCCCATGAGCCCGGCCAGCATATCTCTGACTGTGGGGGCGGCCCAGGAAGCCCAGACACAGCACCAATAAACCACAGAGCGATCGCTGCTCCGATTTTTATATGATGAGAACTACCATAAACAAAGCTGAAAGACAACCTTGAAGAAACTATTGATTTGCATGTACTTATCCGTATGCCCATCTATGTATGTACACAAGCTATAAATCTTAAGAAAGACACCCACAATCTATTAGAAATCTGTGTGCATATTTTCACAAAAGGAGCCGCACCTTGTAGTTGGCGTGAGTAGCTTTCAGGACGTCATGCAATTTGAGGTACGAAGGCAGGTGACAGAAACTCCCCAGCGAAGAAGACTTATTTGCTGTAACAGGCCCTGGGGCATCAGATTGTCGAGAGGCTTTAAAACACACAAAATACACTTTGAGCTCAAAAGTACACACTTGCCAAGTTTAAGAGATCGCTGGCAGTAACGGTTTTTAAAGGTATTCTAAAAGAATAAAATTGAAATTCTCCCTCTGACTTTTTAGTTAGAAGTAACAAGAAGTTGACTAATAAACATAAACAGAATCTGAGTATCTCCCCCAAAACCATAAAATAGGTGAGAAAGAAGAACAGTGTACTGCTATTGTCTGTCATGGTCTGGTTGCCCGTCTGTGCATCAGAGCAGGGCAGGGGTGGCCTCCAGCCCCCACACAGAGTCCAGGAGCCCGAGGCTCCCAGCGGCACAGTGGGCTGAGCCCGGCCAGTGTGGCCCAGGGGCCCTGTATGCCAGCAACACGCTGAGAGAATGGAAAGGGCCAAGCACGAAATAAAACTATTCTCCTCAAATTTTAAAGATTTTTGACTTGGAGGCTTTTTAGTTTCTTTAAGCCACCAGGAAGACGATCAGGGACATACTGCTAAGTTACATCTGTGAAGTTCAGAAGATTTCAAAGCTGGTAAAGCCTCCTGCAATGCTCCAGTCAGTCCTCAGAAACTAGCAATTTGCAAAGCCTTAACATCGAGTCTCGTGGGAGAGTCGTGACTGCCCGAGGTGCCGTGAGATGTGCCAACGGGTCTGGTGGGGCACGACAGCACGGGTCGCCTCCCACCCTGCCTAGACCCTCCCGTGCCCACCCGTGGCAGCCGGGTCAGCAGAAGCCACAGGCTCCCACGCAAACCCTGGCCCCCCCTAGGTGTGGAAGCCCCTCCACACATCTGAGTTTGTCAGGTTCCTCTCTCTCAGAAGACTGTTCCTCACATTAGCACTTCCGTCTTCTGTCTTCACGTGTCAGAACCAACTCCTTCAGCTGCTAGCTGTTCCCAGCCATCTACACGGCCTCCCTGACTGAAATCAGGGTACTTCCCACCTCTCCTCTGCAGGGAGAAACAGGGTGGGGAGGCCCACGGACTGCCATAGCCATGTATTAGCCAGGGACATGGAGTGACGCTCAAGACCGGGACATGGTCTGCACACATTTAGGAATTAATATTTAGTACCTGAAACCACACCAGGGAAACTCTTTCTCTGGCTTCACTGCTGTGTACTTCATTTCCAAAAACTACAAAGCTATTATATTAACCTGGGCGTGAATGGGATCTCTGGGATCCAGAGGGCACCCCAGCCCCGCCCTTCCCTGCCGTCGCTTCATACCTGGACTGGCTTCACTGCCTTTCTTGGGGCTCAAGGGCACAGAGGCCGGCTCTCCGGGTTCTTTCTCCTTTCCCTTTCGTCGGATGGGACTTAGAGAAGGAGGATTTGTCAGAGACGGCAAGGCTGCCTACAACAAAACGAAGAGTCTATGAAGGACACCGAACCGACGCAGAAATTGAAAATCACGTACATGGTTTCCCGTTTCTTGAGCACAACATGCGCGATCATTTTTTGAGTCCTTGTTTACAGAACTCAGACACGGTCTGTAAATCATCTAGTGTAACCCACACAGCCATCATACTGGCAGGTATTGACCTAGAACTTCCTAACAGGGGTGCTGTGAATGGCCAAGGACGCAAGGACCCTCAGGGAGTCAGGCGGGGCCCATCGCCCCCAGTAGCAAGCAACCAGGGCCCTCTGTGGGAGCCAGGATATGACAAACGGTATGAAGCAAATAAGGAAATGGGCTCAGAGGTGAAGTAACTTATTCAGCATCAAGGCTAATGAGCCACACAGCCAGGAGTCCACAGACCCAGTACACAGGGCAGAGGACCTGCTGTGGGAGGGGCCGGCGTGGGGGCACGTGCTCGGCGGGCCCCAGCTCTGTTCCTCTCTCCAGTCTCAGAGAAGCGGATAGAGTGGGACAAAGAGCTGGCCTCAGGACTGAGTGGACTGAAGGCAGCAGGGAAGGACAGAGAGGCCAGGACAGGGGCTGCTGCATCCGGAGCTCCTGCCAAGTGAGAGGAGCCAGACACAAGGGATCACACGGTTCCTTCCCATGAAATGTCTGGGATGTACAGGTCTGTAGAAACACCAAGGAGCTGGTGGCCGCCTGGAGCTGGGGGGCAGGGGAGGTTTGGGGGTGACACCTAAAGGGCACAGTGTTCCTTTCCAGGCTCTAAATGGATTGTGGTGATGGCCACGTGATTGTGAGCATATGAAAACCCATGGAATCCTACACTCCAAACAGGTGAGCTGTAGGGCACGGGAACCATGCCGCAGTTGGAGGATGTGAACAACGCTGTCTGAAGCAGGAGGAGGGGAAGAGGGGCAGCTGGAAGACTCCATCAGGCCACCAGTTTGCACCAGAACAGTGGCAGCAAACGCACAGAAGTGTGTGTGTATTCAGCTACATGCATGCGTGGGCATACACGTACATGCACGTGCGCATGTGTGTATATGGGTTTCGCAAGATATTTAGTAAGGAAAACACAGGACTTGACAAGTAAAGGTGAGAAGCTGTGAGACCATCACATTCGTAGCTGACAAAGTACAAAGGGATGGGAACATGGCAGGCACAAGCAGGGGAGAGGCTGAGCAGCTGATTTACGCTGTGTCTGAGATCTGCGAGCCATCCAAGTAGACGCATCGCATGTCTCTGCACTGACGCTCCAAAGACAGAGCTGGGGTCTCTGATGTGTGAATGCTGAAGACAAGCACAGACCGGCCCCACCCCATACCTGAGCCACTGTTCACACGTGGCCATTTAAATGTAATGACAATTAAACAAAATTAGCAGCTCAGCACCTCAGCTGCACTGGCCACGTTTCAAGTGCTCATTCGCCACATGTGGTTAGTGGCCACTGTCCCGGCTGGCATGGACACAGAATGTTCCCATTGCTGCAGAGTGGTATGGGATGGCACCGGCCCAGGAGTATCAAGAGAGAGGCCAACCTAGGATGGAGCCTGCAGGCCCTCTGTGCTGGGCAGAGAGGAGAAACCAGGAAGTGCCTGGGAACAGAGGGGTGAGAGAAGAGTAAGAGACAACCCGGAGGCCAGTGGGAGCGCCCGCATCAGGACCGGCGTGGCGGCACCGAGGGTGCGGAGGAGAAGGGAGACAGGACCCAAGAGGTACCCACAAGACACAAAGACCAATCTTGGCGGAAGCGTGGCTCTGGAGAGTGGCCGCCGAAGGCTGAGCAGCCAGGGGTTAAAGAATCGGTGGCTGGATCACCTCACACCAGTCAGAATGGCTAAAATTAACAAGTCAGGAAACGACAGATGTTGGCGGGGATGCGGGGAAAGGGGAACCCTCCTACACTGTTGGTGGGAATGCAAGCTGGTGCAGCCACTCTGGAAAACACTATGGGGGTTCCTCAAAAAGTTGAAAATAGAGCTACCATGCACTACTGGGTATTTACCCCAAAGATACAAATGTAGGGGTCCGAAGGGGTACATGCACCCCGATGTTTATAGCAGCAATGTCCACAATAGCCAAACTGTGGAAAGAGCCAAGATGTCCATCGACAGATGAATGGATAAAGAAGAAGTGGTATATATACACAATGGAATATTATGCAGCCATCAAAAGGAATGAGAGCTTGCCATTTGCAACGACGTGGATGGAACTGGAGGGTGTTATGCTGAGTGAAATAAGTCAATCAGAGAAAGACATGTATCATATGACCTCACTGATATGAGGAATTCTTAATCTCAGGAAACAAACTGAGGGTTGCTGGAGTGGTGGGGGGGTGGGGGGGATAGGGTGGCTGGGTGATAGACATTGGGGAGGGTATGTGCTATGGTGAGCGCTGTGAATGGTGCAAGACTGTTGAATCACAGACCTGTACCTCTGAGGCAAATAATACGTTATATGTTAAAAAAAAAAAAAAAGAAGAAGAAGATAGCAGGAGGGGAAGAATGAAGGGGGGGAAATCGGAGGGGGAGACGAATCATGAGAGACTATGGACTCTGAGAAACAAACTGAGGGTTCTAGAGGGGAGGGGGATGGGAGGATGGGTCAGCCTGGTGATGGGTATTAAAGAGGGCACGGTCTGCGTGGAGCACTGGGTATTATATGCAAACAATGAATCAAGGAACACTACATCAAAAACTAATGATGTAATGTATGGTGATTAACATAAAAAAAAAGAAAAAGAATTGGTGGCTGGAGCTGCAGACAGCGTCCAGGCTAGTGCCAGTGCCAGAGCATGCGGGAGGTACTAGGGTGTGAAGTGGGGAGACACGACTCTTCAGAAAAGTTTGTAGTGACGGGGAGACCAAATGGCCACTAAGGAAGAACGTGAAGTTAGAAGAGCTTTTTCATGATGGAAGTAACTTGAGACGGAAAACACAGGAGGGCAAATAATTGGATATAATTATGAGTGAACTCATCTATCTTAAATTCACTGTGCAAACAGGTTACCATTTGTCCTGAAGCTCATTCGTGGACCTGTACTTCATAGAGAAGCAGAACAACCTGCGAATGTTCCAGGAGACAGCAACTTCAATTCTGAGCTTTCTCGGCTAATGCTTAAAGCCTAAGAATCCAGCTAGTTCTTTCCCTCTCAGAGGCGACAGTAGCAGAACGGTACCAAAAGAGCTACAAATTGGATGACACATTTTGGTATTAAACTTAGTGTCACCCTATGAGCAATTCCGTTCATTTAAAGCAAAAGAGAGTAAGGAAGGGGCAGACAAGTGAGCGAAGGCAGGTCCGGCGCCATGGGGTCACTGAGCTGCCCAAGCCTGAAGTTACCTTCATTGCTGGTCCCGGAGCCACATCGTCCAAGACGTGAGCACAGATATTAATCACCTTCAGCAGGTGGGAGAAGAGCTGTTCCACCATGGGCACCAGGGTCCGGTCACCCAGAGCTGGCCAGACCTCTTCCTGCTTGGCAGCTGTTGGGTTGGCCTCTTCTTCGGAGGTCCAGGAACTTCTCAGAGATTTAGGGGCACTGGCTGTGATGAGGGGAAGAGAAAATCACTAGGGAAGCTAAGTCATTTAGACCCGCCTACTTTGAGTTTGCTGGCCATCTCCACCTGGTGGTCAACTGATCCCTCCAACTCCACAGGAAATGGACTTTCACAAATGTCACCACCGGACATACACCCACCCATACATTGGTGACGTGCCAATCACCCCAGGCCCTCCGGATCTTTACAACCGAAGCTCCACTAGCGGCCATGGCCTGCTGCTCCTGCCCCTGCAGTCTCTTCCAGTCAGAGTCCTCTCCCACGGCCTACAGCCGGGATCTTGTTGAGACTCTCTCTCACCTCGACTGCGACATGAACCTCCCAAGTGGGTTTCCCTACCTTGTTCTCCAAGCCACACTCAAGCCCGTGGAGGGACTCCGTCCCACAGCTAGCCCCACCATGAGGCTCTTCTGTGACCTCCCACAGCAGATACCACAGTCCTCCTTAACGAGGCAGCACCCCACACCCATCAAGTTCAGCAGCCTCCTTCCTCACCAGCCACACCCTCCATCCTCGTGCTCACCTGACATCCCAAACCACTTACAGTCCTCACATGTCACACAATTCTTCATGTCTCCCTGCCTTCAAACAGGCTACGCCCTCCGTCTGGTGTGCCCTTTCCTGCCAGCCCATAAAACCTGTTTCTTGTCCTGGTCCCCCACAGGAGAGTGATCACGGCCCCTCAGCACTGCCATTGTACTATGGTGTGTCACTCACTGAATCCACGGCTGACTTGAGAACAGAGCCCAAATATCATGCTTTCTTACAGCCGTGGTGCCTGCTAAAACGAAACTGGAAATGCGTTTACCTGTAGCTAACTAAGTGACTGCACAGGGAAGGGGCTCCTTTAAACTACTCGGCTCAGAACAGCTGCCCACAGCACACACCCATGCTGGTCACATGGGACACTCTGACTACAGGATCGAACCATCACTGCAGTAATTTCCCTCCGTGTGCTCACCACCCCACTCCCTAGAAGGAAACGAAAGCTATAGACCTGAAGTCCCTGTTTCAGCTCAGTACCAATACCTGCAAGCAAGTTTCCGGCTAAAACCAAAGCATCCTGATGGGCTGAGAGATCCAGTGGGAACCAAGCTGACGAGAGCAAGGTGAGGACCATTGTGGCCATGCCAACAGTACAGCTCTTTCTCGACTCATCAGAGGTGCTCAGCGGGGGCACCCTGGAAGCAGACGTGTGCCAGGTCAAATGACAAAAATTTTAAATCAGACAGTCCTGCCTTCTCTAATGAACCAGGAAGAAGGCATGTCACTACGTTTTATACCAGCTCATAAAGTGATTTTACTATTGTTAACTGACATCCTTCCAATAAGCCACAGCTCCATAAATATCATTGAGAAAGGAAACCAGGTAGGAGATCTGATTAAAACTATTGAAACTGGGGGATGCCGAGGTGGCTCAGATGGTTAAACGTCTGCCTTCAGCTCAGGTCATGATCCCAGGGTCCTGGGTTCCAGCCCCACGTCGGGCTCCCTGCTCAGTGCGGAGCCTGCTTCTCCCTCTCCCTCTGCTGCTCCCCCTGCTTGTGCGCTCTCTCTCTCTGACAAATAAATAAATAAAATATTTAAAAAATAATAAAAACGATTGAAACTCTTTTTTATAACTTTTTAGCTTTGTCTGAATTTTGCCTTAGCATATTTTACTCCAATGCCACAGTTGCTTAGTCAGGTCAGGTGCTGGATCTCTGACCAGAAACTGAGGTTGCTCGATAACTACCTGTGGACAAAAGGAAGCAACCACTCTAGACCAGCAATCCATCCACTCCAAGCAAATGTCAGCTGGCCATATGCTGACACACAAGAAATCTGCAGATTTGCTTCCAAATAGGATGGCGAGTCACCAAAATGTTTCTCAGTTATCAGTACACATAATAAAAGCTTACTCCTTAGTGCTGTAGGAGATTCGAAATTATTTCACAGATGCTATTCGGGCCATCTAGTGGAAGAAACTCATTTTTAAATAGAAACTGCTCATATAAGCTTGCCAGTTCCTTTAGCTCATCATGATTTTATATGACAGGTCACATCTGATTTCAAACAAAAAATGTTTCTAAATTTCTAGTACACAGTGTAGACATTTGGAGAGAATCAAGCCAATTAGAAACGTCTTGCCAACATATGTGAATTGTCCAAAATGAACCTACAAATGACACCCTGAAATCCTCCAAAGCACCTGAGAGTGAGCATTTGACACCATGAGAATCACAGCGAATCCAAATTTTCCGAGAGCTCTATCAGTAATTTCCCACACAGCTAACAGGGCAGAAGCAAGGATTCCTTTGGGTATGTTTCCAAAAGGTCACACTGAGAAAAAATTTAAGAAAGAAAACACAGGAGTCCAATAGCGATGTCTGTATCACATGAGTGTAGATGACCATATGCTGAGAAAAATACATACCCACAATGCCAACCTAAACTCCAAATGCAGACGGGAAAGGTGGTTGAAAGGAGACACAGAGCTTCGCAGCATCCAAACTAAAGGAGAAGAGGATATAGTAAAATCACAGCCACGCACAAAAAGCATTTATTAAATTGAACCTTTCACCTTCATAAAAAGTACGAACAATGAAAACATAATTGAGGGCGCCTGGGGGGCTGAGTCGGTTGGGCAACCGCCTTCGGCTCGGGTCATGATCCTGGAGTCCCAGGATCGAGTCCCGCATTGGGCTCCCTGCTCAGCGGGGAGTCTGCTTCTCCCTCTGACCCTCCCCCCTCTCACGTGCTCTCTATCTCTCATTCTCTCTCATAAATAAAATCTTTAAAAAAAAAAAAGAAAACATAATTGAGGTCTGTGTCTAACGATACTGGTCCTATCATGGCACCCATTCATCCTTCAAAGACAGAGCAAGGCATGGGAAACACAGGCTCTAAGGAGGGCTCATCTTGTGCCTTGAAGACAGGCCAGCAGCTGGAGCAGCCCTTCCGATCAGAATGCCCAGCGATCCCACCTCCCCGCCCCTGCTCTGAGCTCACTGACGTCCATCTCCTGAGCAGACTGCAAGGACAACAAAGGCACGGACCCTTCTCTGTGTTTATATCCCAAGCCTAGAACAGTGCCTGACACATGGAAGCCACAATAAATACAAATAAGTGAAGTTTATGATATTTTAAACAAATCAAGGGAAGACCAAACTAGAGAGGCCAAACAATATTTAGGTTTAAAAGGCACTTATGTTCTTATCAAGACAGCCTAATCCTAATTGTTGGTATTTTCTACAACAGGTAAGCATTTCTTCTGTCACATAAAATAAACAATGAGGTTTAACCTGGCAATCAGCAAATTAACACTACCTTGTATAATATTCTCTATTTCTGATTATGAAAGTTACTCTTGTTCGTTTTAGAAAATTCGTAAATATCTGAAAAATATGAAGAAGGAAACAAAGATCACAGCCCCAAAATTCATTTTGGCCATTTTCTGCCAGTCACTTTCTTGAGTTCGTGAGAAAGGTACTTGTGTGAATAGGACTTCCTAACAGAGATCGGACTACACACTAGCACACCCCCACTCTGCCACTCTGTAGCACTAGACAGTCCCCAAAGCCTATGTCAATGGGTGCATAATAAATACGAGTTTCGTTGGAATCAGAATTTAATCATCGTGCATTCTTGGACATCACAGTCCTTTTCCGATGCCAGCATCACAGAAAACAATACAGATGAGTATGTTATACAAACACCTTGGCTGGCATTTCTGATGTCTTCCCCTTAGCGCCCATCACACATCACGGAGTCAGTTATATTGGAGACATTCTGAACTTCTGACACGTTACCAACTCGATCACGGCAGTTTTTATTCTCATTTTTATGTCTTCCTGTATTGGCTGAGTTTTTTTTACAATGAGCATGTATTATTTTAATAATCAGGAAAAAAAATAGCTGTGTAATCTCCATTTAGAATACACCAAGATTCTGTTCTGGGAAGCACAAGTTCTTAGCCCCACGAATGCAAGCTCTCACACGGCAACTCACCATGAAGAACCGACTGCAGGAACCACCCAGAGTCAATTTCGCCAAGGCCAACCAAGGAGACTTACTGTGAGCGCACGCGTGGTGGACGTGACCAGTTCGCGGGAAACTGCCGCGATGACTCTGGAGAGGTTGTTTTCCACAGTGACGTCCGTCATGCTCGGCAGTAAGTTATAGCCTCTGTATATTCTAACGAGAAAAACACGGAGACTTGAAACCTACTACTAAAGCTTATGACACTTCCAAAATTCAAATGGCATTTCTAAGTTTAAGATTAAGGCCTATGAGAAGTTCTAGCAGTCTTGACTTTGACGTTGACAGACAGACCGGAAGTGAACCCAGCCCAGTCCGCCCCGAGCACCCACGCTGTGGCGCCCGGGCAGCGCTGCCCCGCCACAGCCTCACGGTCCCCTCTCCACCCGTCCAAAGCACTCATCTTTCAAACTTTAAAGTTGAAAGAAATCCTTCTTGAAGCTAGTCCCGACTGCAGGAAAGACGAAAGTGTTGGTTCCACCACGGGGCTGCCGCGGTGCTTCCCGAGACCACACTCACAGCACACACCAATTTCCACCCCTTGCTGAGGTTACAGATCCTGAGTTCCCGGCCCTGTCAGCAGAGCCCAAGCAGGACTAGTGCTGGATTCAGTTCTGAATCGCCCAGTGTCCTCAGAACCCAACAAAACTCAGAAGACTTCTTTTCTTCCCACATCAATTCTCAAACAGCAGGCAGCTAATAAGGTGCCAATGGCGCGGCTCAGCTGGCCACGGAGCTGGCCATGCAAGAACCAAATAACACAGCCAATGTCCAGAGGCCAGGCTGAGTTTGAAACAGGGAAGACTTTCAAAGTAGTAGTGAGTAAACCAATTTTAATGCGATATTATACTCATCTCTGCTGGCATTTTCTGAACTGACGCTCAGAAACAGCAATTTACCCTAAGCTTGTTCAACTCCTGATGAGACCCTCTCACGCTGCTTTCGCTTATCTTTAAGGAATATTTACCCCGAATCTTCTCAGAGAGAAGAAAAGACCACTTCTTAGGTTTACAAAAAGGAAATTCTCTGAGAAAATTATGTCCATGTGTTTTTTTAAAGCAATCTTTACGTGAGATGTTATCTATTAAGGAATAACTTCCAAATCTGACAAGCTGAGTTCCAAATTCGCAACAAAAGCATCAAGCAAGTATCTCAGGCTTGACAGCTAAGCTTTTAAAAAAAACTGCCACTAACAAACAGGAGAGCTACATATAAAACTCATTTTTAAAATAACATTTAAAACACAGAGAGTTAAACTGCATGAGATAGTCTTTTATGATCACCTCTGCAGCCTTCTTTGCAAACTAAAATTCGAAGGAATGATTGCTTCATTAAAGCGTTTCTGCACTAACAACTTCCACAGTCTGTGCTCGTCTGAGGCCCAACAAGAGCAGGCTGTGTGCCGCCAATGGCAACAGCATTTAAAAGCTTCTCACAACCAACGTGAATAGTAGTAAGTGCAAAGCACTGCACCAGCGGACAACCCTAACTAACCCTGCCCAGCCCCCTAACAGTCGGGGGTAGAGCACACAGACAGAGTCATAGAGTGGAAACGTTACCGGACAAGGTTTTAGATAAGACACAGCATAAGCATCACACACAAAACACACTTATGAGTATGTGGCTGGTAGTAAACGGATTAGAAGATTCATGAAGTCCTCGCTGTGACTATGTCCGAGCTTCCTAAAGGAAGATGGGTGGCGAATCCCAGAAAGGACAGACACCCTACCGAAGGAGAGCACCTATGCAAACGCCCTCACCTGAAGCTTCTTCTGTAGAAAGCACGAAGTGTCAGGAAAGTCCCCCTCCCACCCATGACGTCAGGCCGCACACGGCACACGTACCTGGTGATGGTGCTGACGGAGAAGTGAGAGGGAGGCTGCGTCTCATGCATGAGGAGCTTCAGGTAAACACTGCTTTGATCCCTCGCCACAGCCACGACGGGGTCAGCTTGCCCTTGGTCGCACTTATAGAATAGCTTTGGGACAAGCCTACCATAGAAGTAAAGTATATTTACTGACGGAAGTCTCTGAAACTCACCTGTGATGCACCACCCTCCTCTGTTGAGGTGGGGAAGGCTGCAGCACGGTCTACCCACTAACAGCAGCTCCCTCCTTCGGGGGGCCCTCCAGGCCAGCAGAGCGGGGCTGCCCGTCCCAGGACCAATCGCCCACGTACCAGTCACACCAACCCTGATATAACGAGGCGCTGCACTTCCTTTCTGTCCAATGTGGGATTAAGTACCTTTCTCTACATATAATAAAATGCTCTGAGTTAAAGTTCTATTTCCAGTCCTCTTGAGCAAGATGAATAGGTACATGAAGCCACTGCCCACGGAAAGTACTGAGCACAGAGCAGATCTGAATGCCAGGGGCCGGCCCTTACTCCCTTTTGCAGTTCTGCCTGCAAAACCAGCCCACACACTCCCAGATGGCAAAGCTCCAGCGGATGTCCCTCACAAATCTAAACTCCACTCAAAAGCAGAATACAGGCAACATTTCCCAAAAGAACAGAAGGGCTCGTTTCTGCAATGGACAGGGCATGTTCTGCATGAGTGTACTCATACCCTTATGGACAGGGCTCATAACTCTTAGAAACCACCAACTGTTTCATCACATTGCAAACCCCAGGATCCTTAATTAAAATCTCTCTTCTGTGGAGATATGATCACAAGTACAACTTTTTTCTAAGATAAAATAAATGGCTGTCATTTGCAGAAAGTGGGAAAGGTCCAAAATCGTTGATTAGGTAAGTCATACTAACCCAGCTAAGTGCACGAAAAGGAACACCTCACAAGTAAACAAAGAAATATGCAAATGACAACATTGAAAACAGAAAAGATATACATCAGGGGCGCCTGGGTGGCTCTGTCATTAAGCGTCTGCCTTCAGCTCAGGTCATGATCCCAGGGTCCGGGGCTCCAGCCCCACATTGGACTCCCTGCTCAGCAGGAAGCCTGCTCCTCCCTCTCCCACTCCCCCTGCTTGTGTTCCCTCTCTCGCTGTCAAATAAATAAATAAAAAATCTTAAAAAAAAAAAGAAAAGATATACATCAAAATGGAACTTTGGTTTTGAGTAGTTTGATCACAGCGATTTTTATTTCCTATTTTATATTTTCCCTAAATTTTGTTCAGCAAACATGTGTTATTACTTTTAAAAGATAAGTTATTTTAAAAAGAAATGCCAATTTCTGCCTCAACAATTGATAGGTATTTAACTTTTTTTGAAATATTTTTTTGGTGAGAAGAATCGGGCACAATCATATTCTGGTCATTAAGAATTTCTGGACAGCAATTTCACAGGAAGTACCAAAACCCATAAGAAATCCACTTCCAGGTACTGACCCAAAAGAAATGAGAACATATGTCCACACGACGTCTTGTGGGCAAATGTTCAGCCAGCACAATCCATAGTAGCCAAAAAAGTGCAAAGTAATATCAATCATCTGGTGACTGGGTAAAGAAAAGACAGTGTCGCCCCTGTAATGGAGAACTACGTACGAGGCAATAAGAGGAACGCACTCCAGGCACACACGACAGGATGGACAAACCCTGAAAACTAAGGGGAAAAAGCCAGAGGCAAAAGTCCATCTACTGTATGATCCCATTTATATAACACGTCCAGAAAAGGAAGTGGATTCGTGATTGCATGTGGGCACAAGGAAGCTTTCTGGGGTAATAGAAATGTTCTAAAACTGGGATCGTGGTGATGGCTACACAAATCTGTAAGTTTACTACTAATCATTAAATCGTACACTTAAAATGGGTGAATGTTAAGGGATATAAAATCATTACTTCAGTAAAGCTATGAAAAATTAAAAAAAAAAAAAAAGCAACAACAACATCAGAAAGCTTGGCCTAGTAACTCAACTTCCAGGAATTAATTCTAAGGAAAAAAATGTACACAAAAACATTTGTGTATAACAGTATTCATGAGCATTATCATTATCTAAGTCAAAGAAAACTTAGCACCCAACCAAATAATATTTACACGAAAGTTTATCGCAACTACAAGAATAAACTACTGGCCACTAACTACAATTTCTTTTTCTGAAACAGCATGCATAGCCTTCACTGATCTCACTCTGTATGACACGTCACGCACTTCAGTACAAACATATGAACATATCTGCGCACAGGGTGCGGCCCTAGACATCACTGGTGGCCACAGGTTTTTTTACAGCACTTCCTTCACAGCAGAAAGATGTAATAACATATTACGTGGAAATGATCAGATCACAAAATTGCACATACACTTGGTCCCAATTCTGAAGAGACTCGTACACAGGATATACCTCAACATGTTCACAGTGATTATCTCCAGTGACAGAACTGAAGGAGATTTCTATTTTCTTCTTCGTGCTCTTCTCTATATTCCAAACTTCTGACAGTGAAAGCACATCACTTTTACAAGCAGGAGGCTAGCCCTGTTTTCACCCTCACTTTAGACTCCTGGGCGGTAAATAGTATCTTGTCTGATAGTTTCAGAGGAGCTGAAAGTGAGCGCCAGGATCTGGGAATGCTGACCTACTCTCTAGATGACCCAGCTCCCCTCCTCCTACCACTTGGCGCTTCCACCACGAAAGTGAGCAAAGAGAGAAAATGCGTGGTAAATACCTCATCAAAGCTGCTGCAGCAACGTGCCGCACCCTGGGGTCCTCGTCCCCGAGCAGATAGATGACAACATCATGCAACACTCGTTCTTGCAGTTTTAAAAGCTTCAGAGAGAAGGATAAAAAAACTAGATATGACGTCTGTCTTTAACCCAATTTCAGGTAAGATACTCTGGAAGGCCAGTGAGGAAGAACTCACGATCACCAGCCTTAAATTCATACACAACAAGCACGACTGTCAAGACCTGAATCGCACAGTCGATCTAGAAGAGAGCACGCTCAGAGGAGAACCACACCCCTGGGAAAGCGCAACTCCTAGAAATTACGACACAGCCTCACAACAATGAACTGCTTACCCCTGTGTAATGATGGGCCCCTCTGTGCAGGTTTTCTGCTTTTGCCTCCAAAAAGCTCACCAACCTAACAAAAGAACATTTTTAACACGAAACAATTTAGTGAGTCCACAGACACCCACCGTCGGCCTGCACGACCCTGACACACAGGCTACAGAGGCGGCTGCTCCGGAGGGGGCTGGGCCAGCCACCGAGAAGGCCGGAGAGAGAGCACCTCCTCAGACCCACAGAAGGACGAAGGTTTTTAAGTAAGTAGAGTTCATATTCCCATCCTCATTTCAGACTCAGTAAGCCGTTTTCTTCAAAATAAATATCACCATCTATTACTGTGAGAGACTCCAAGTGGCCTCAGAGTGAGCTCAGCCACCAGGGAAGGTGAGTGCGGACTGTGGGGAGCCCCGCATGGCCTCGGGCAGGTTCCTTGCCCCCTCCCCAGGGTCCTTCCCAGCGGGCGGAGCTGAGAGGATCCCCTCATTCACGGAGATGTTCTGAGGTAAAAAGAAACTAACCACTAACCACTCAGGGCACTAGCCCTGAGCCTGGCACATAACGAGCACTTTATAAGGGCGGCTTGAAAAACACCCAAATGCCTGGGTAATAAAAGAAATTTCCCCTTCTAAAAGAAAGCACTGAAAGAAAACATCTTAAACCAAACTTATTCCTAGAAAATGCAGAAGGCATCAAGTTATTTTTAATTGCAACAGTAAAGACGGGCTGTCTGACCGAAGTTCAGTATAAGGAGGACGACGTTCCTTTTGTACACACAAGCAGGGGTGACAGAAGTCTGAGTTCTCTTATTCCCGCCATCCAGGATGCTCAGATGACTGAGACCACCAGAAAGATCTACTCCTCTGCCCGTATTTTAAAATTGCAAGCACAGAGCAAGCTGAGGAGGAAACCAGCATCAGCTCTCCACGCCACCCAGATTCCCAACTCACAGGTTACTCGACGACCATCATGAATCAGTACTAGAAGCAACTGACCCAGGCCTTTCAATTCCTGGCTCGAACTCCCAGCAGCTTTGGTTTACAGACCTAAGGAATCTGATTCATTACTTACCTAAAGTCAATCTCTGCAAGAGTTTCCAAAAGCTCTGTCCTCACCAGCCAGTAGGAACTATCCCTCAAGGTCAGCATGTCGGTGATCAGCTGTAATCCCAATTCACTATAGCTACTGCTGCAGAGACTCATGACACAGTGCTGGAAGACAAGGCCGCCACGGGACGGCGTCGGGGTCAACCCCATGCCATCACTGCCTCCTGACAGTTACGACATCACGCCTCCATATACCCATTTCCTCTTCTTCCAACCACAGCAGGGATGCTGCATTTTCCCACATCTCTCAGAAATGTCATTAACTCAAGTTTAAAACTAAATGTGTCCCTTCCACATCACTTTCTTTCTTCCTCCCACTGCTGTCTTGGGCATGGCCTCTACTCCCAGACACCGATTTCGCGACCATGGATCAGGGGTTAACCACTCCATTCTAAAACAAGTCTCAGACCCGGGGCCGACAGGGGACCCGTGCCCTTTGCTAAGCAGCCGTGTACTCCGCATCCCCCAACAACGGCATAGCCCCCGTGGCCACGCCCTTCCCACCCCTCAGTGCACACGTGGGCACTTCTATACAGCAGATGGGGGCTGACTCGGGGGCAGCAATCTGCTGTGCCGCTGGAGAGACAGACTGACTGAAACCTGGCGAAAATTTGGAACTAAGGAACAATTCTGGCCATGAAATTTTGAAAAGGGAAGGTATCCTATTCATTTAACAACTGTTGGGTTTTTGCTTTGATTTTCATGGGTTAATTTTTGCTGTTGTTGATTGGCCAGTTGTGATCTACTGATCAGCTGATCTATAGAGGTTCACCACGCTGCCGCGTGAAGGCTGGAGGCACTGCAGGGACACAACACAGAGGTCACTAAATAACCTCGAGACTCCCCTTGACTCCGCTCTGTGGGCCCGAGAGCGCCAGTGGTGTTTAATTCAACAGGTTTTACCCTTCGTGTTGGCAAAGTATATTTCTAAATAGACCCTTTAGGAAAAGGAACATTTCAAACAAACACCCTGAGTACTGAAACTTATACCACACTCTATTAAATAAACCTTTACTGGTGATGCTTTCTTTCTGCAGTGGAGTGATGGACACACGCACGTTTACTATTGTTTACAGCTTTAGAACGTCTAGCACTATTTAGTATTAAGCCCAATTTTAGTTATCACAATGGTTAAGATCCCCACTAATCAGAGAACCGATTCCCACAGAAGATCGTGCTTACCCTCACAGCTGTACAAGCCAGCTTGCAAGTCACAGAAGATTCATCCTTCAGAGTTTTCTGCAGCAAAGGAATGCAGTCCGCCAGAGAAAATGTATTTCCTGACCAGAAGAGCAAACAGGAAGTGCCTTTACGTAACCTTGAACTTGGGCATTCTACCTAGAAGATACCCTGAAAACTCTACCGTTACCTGTCAGGGCCCTGATGGTGCTCATCCAGTCTCCCACTTGGAAGCGGGACCTGCTGAGAATGGAGGCGATGAGGGTCCCACAGAGAACGGCCGTGGCTCCTCTGACCTGGGGGTCTCCGTGGTCGATGTAGTTCAGGATGTCTGACACATACTGCTCCTCTGTGGAGAGAAATTGCCCAGCCACTGTACAAGCCCCTACCATCAATTTTTTATCTCAGAATAAAAGCTTCATTCTCAGGGAAGAAAAAAAAAGGGTGAGGAGGCAATCCAAATCCAGAAGAGACTTGAATGTGACAGCCATGAGTGGTAAAAAAATATTGTGGGGTTTAAAGATTCTAGATTCATCATAGCTCTGATATCACTTCAACACAATCAATGTTCTGGATTATAATTCCAGGCTGCCGGCCAATCATCAAAATTCCAAGATTTCACTTCAAAAAAAAAGACTAGAGAAACTCAAACTAGTCCACACTTACCTAATATGAGTTCAAAAGCACAAATGTGTCCCCTCACCCAAAGAAAGGGAGGGAATGGGAGGGTGATTTTAGAAGTGTGGCCCCACCCCCATTTACTCCAACAGGAGAGAGTGTCCCAGCGCATGTGCTACAGGGGCCGGATCTGCTGCTGTTCTGCTCGCCCTCAGGTCCCGCTTGTCTCTGAGTGTGAACATCTGGCCCCACAGAGTGTGACCCAAAGCAATTTTGATTATATGCAATTTGTGCTTTTGGTATAAATCCAATATGTATGTAAAGTGGCTCTTACATTCCCACATATCTATTGTCTCGTCATGTGTGTTTAAAGGAAACACTGCATCGACAGGGAGTCCAAAAAGCAAAAACGTTACTATTTATGTGTTTTATATGGAGCTACAACTCAGTTCAGAAATACCACAAGTTAACTCAAAACACGTACTACTCTAAACTAAAACAGCCAAGACAGTTTGACATAGTTTTTGAAGGATTAAACATGAGGGACAAGCCGTGAACTTGTAACATACCAGGGTACTCCATGGTGTCAAGAGGTACTTTATAAAGTTTGCTGAAGAAAGACTCAGGATGAAGGGCCACGGCTGCCCCCACACAGCTGAGTGCCAGCGCCTTCACGCTGACCCTCACGTCCCTGTCCGGAACCAGCACTGCAAGGAAACCACCGAGGTCACCTTCAAAGCAGCCAACATGTAGACCCACCAACCCTGCTCCCCCATCAGCCCCTCCCTTCTCCCATCAGTCAGCGAAAGCCGCCGCGCGGCCCAGACTCTAGTCCCGCCCTCTGCTACGACAATGAGGCGCGAATCAGTCACCAAGCTGACCCTGAGACCTCGGTATTTCCTTCAGCTCTGTACCTGCCTTTCTTTTTTGTTGTTGCTTTTTTTGTTTGTTTTAATTTTATTATGTTATGTTAGTCACCACACAATACCTCATTAGTTTTTGATGCGGTGATCCACAATCCATTGTTTTCGTACAACACCCAGTGCTCCCTGCAGTACATGCCTCCTTAATGCCCATCACCGGGCTAACCACCCCCCCCTCCCCTCTAGAACCCTCAGTTTGTTTCCCGGAGTCCATCGTCTCTCATGGTTCGCCTCCCCCTCCGATTCCCCTCCTCTATTTTTCCCTTCCTTCTCCTAATGTCCTCCGTGCTATTCCTTACGTTCCACCTGTACCTGCCTTTCTACACTTACCATTTTTTTCCCCAGTCAGCAAAAATGAAGCAGAGAGAAGGCGGACACAATGGACAAGAGGAACAGAATCGTCGTCGGTAGACTGTCCTATGTCACCTTTGATCCGGCAAGGCTACAACAAAGAAAGTGACACTTGTTTGTCTTAGGATCAAGGAACCAATACACTCACTCACTAGTGTGTTCAACAAACAGGTCCAGAGCAGCAATTATGCCAGGTGCTGGGGACACAGAGATGCCCAACTTTGTCACACACAAGCCTGGCCTCACAGACCACGGTGGAGCAGAATCAGAGCGCGGTCAGAGGCAGCTAAGCCACAGGGTCACATGGGCGGTGGCAGGGATGAGCTCAGTGTGCAGGGAGGGCACTCTGGAGAGAAGGCAGCTGGGAGCCAGCACTCCGGAGAGGCTGCTGGGCAAAGGACAGCATGAGCCACCATCTATAGGACAAGGGGAAGCTACTTAGGCACAAGCAAGAGCCCTGGGAATGCCCAGAGCTGAGAGGGAGCAGACCTGGCTGGAGCGGGACCTGGAAGGAAGTGCGGAAGCTACAGGATGACTGAGCATCTACAGAGGAACTAAGTACAAAACTGTTTCCTGCCCTCAAGGAATTTAAAATTAAGGGAAGACAAGACACTTACAGCAGTTCAATGGATAAGTCAACAACAACAAAAAAGCCCAAACCTGATTAAAAACTGAGCAAAGGACTTGAACAGACATTTCTCCAAAGACAACATACGAATCACCAGTAAGCATAGGAAAAGATGTCCCACGTCACTCATCATTAGGAAAATGCAAGTCAAAACCACAGTGATATACAACCTTACTCCCAGTAGGATGGCTACTCTCAAATAAAGCCATTAAATGACAAGCCTTGGAGAGGACGTGGGGAAACTGGAACCCTGTGCATGGCTGGTGGGAACGCAAACTGGTGCAGCCCCTGTGGAAAACGGTGCAGAGGGTCCTCAAAAAAACCTAAAACTAGAACTACCAGAGGACCCTGAAATTCCACTTCTGGGTGTATACCCAAAAGAACTGCGAGCAGGGTCTTGAAGAGATGCCTGTATCCCCATGTTCACAGCAGCCAAAAGACAGAAGTAACCCAACTGTCCATCAACAGATGAACAGAAAACCAAAATGGAGTCCATCTGCACAGTGGGATATTATTCAGTGTCAGAGAGCAAGGGAATCCTGACACCTGCTATAACACAGACGAGCCCTGAGGACATTATACCCAGCGAAATAAGCCAGTCACAAAAGAACACTGCATGGTTCCACCTGTGTGCGCTTCCTGGGGTAGTCACATCCACAGAGACACAAAGTAGGTGGTGGGAGCCAGCAGCTGGGAGGAGGGAGGAATGGGGAGTTAGTGGTTAAGAGGGACAGAGTTTCAATCTGGGAAGAGCAAAAGAGTTCTGGAGATGGAGGGTGGTGATGGCCACTGAGCTATCCATTCCACAACAGTCATAACGGCTAACTTTATATGTACTTTACCACCATAAACAAATAATGCATCATTCAATGAACAAAAACAAGAAATGCTGCAAGACGATGCATGATCATCAAATGAATGGCCCAAGAAATCAGGTGGGGTAGCAATCAGTGTAAGACAGATTTGTCTGGGAAGGACTCTCAAGGAAGCAGAACTTCAGGCAATTCTCAAGGATTTGGGTAGTACCTGGAGAGGCAGAAAAGAAGAGCACACCTAGGAAGGGGTCACTATTTAAGGGGAAATAGCTGAGCAGCTCAGAGATGGGAAAGCTAGAAGCAAGGCACACGGACAGCAGCCAGAGTCGTTTTTTTTTTTTTAAAGATTTTATTTATTTATTTGAGAGAGAGCATGAGAGAGAATGAGATAGAGCATGAGATGGGGGAGGGTCGGAGGGAGAAGCAGACTCCCCGCTGAGCAGGGAGCCCGATGCGGGACTCGATCCCAGGACTCCAGGATCACGACCTGAGCCGAAGGCAGTCGCCCAACCGACTGAGCCACCCAGGCGCCCGGTAGCCAGAGTGATTTTAAACACTCACATGAACTGAGAATGCCGAGTGGTCTCATGCTTAAATGTCTCACCTTGTTTTCTTGATCTCCTGGTTCGGCAGCTTCATCTCTGGAGATAAATTTATCTATACTGCTGTCAGAGGGCTGCCTGCTGTGGCCCATACTTTTCAATAAATGTGCTTGCTGCAGGGCTTCAAAATCAGAGAAATTGAGATGGAGTGACAAGTTTCCAATTAAAAAAAAAACCAATATTCATATTTACACAAAGTCCATATGGAACTACAGGATTTAGATCAAGAACAAGGACAGTCATTCCTCAACTGACCTTCCTCATTTGCTATTTACAACTCAGAAAACAAAGATACCCAAAGATTTCTCCTTGGAAGCTAAGGTAAAATTGAGATGTCAGGGTTGAAAACAAGACCATCCCACAGCGCACTGCTTAAGTCTGCGTACCAACTGAAGAGCTTCGGAAAGCATCCACGTCTTCATCCGGAAGAATGCCCGTGGCTTCCTCATCCTCGTCGGGTGGCTGTCCGATCTGCATCCCCGAATGCTGGCTGTCGGCACCATCTAACACCTGCACGGTTCAAGAGGGGCTGGTGAGGGCTCTGAAGGGACATCACCGAGGGACAGGCTCTCCGACACAGAAAGGCAAAGGCAAAGCCAGAAATCACATGGACCACATCTCACGTACTCTCACGTACTCACACAAAGGTCATTTCGTGAAATGCACGGAGATGCATGCACGTCAATGATCAAGCTTCACTGATCACACATTGCTATTATGTTACAAAGAGCTTTACAACTATAAAAATGCCAAAGAAATTCCAACCTGAAAATTTCTCTTTGTGATATAAAAAAAAAAAAAATCTAAACAAAAATCTTTATCTTCACAAGCAAGTTTTACAGTAAGTCAACAATGAGGAAAATCTTTTAGAAAAACACAACACTACACTAGGTTAGCTTCTAAACTGCTAGAACTAAATCAACTCAGTTTTGGACACAATATATCATATACCTGGCCATAAACTTGGATTATGACTCCATATTGCAAAACTTTTCACATTCACTTGAAATCTCATGTAATTTACTTGAAAAACTGAGTGATGGAACCTCAATACACTACCAGTAACTGAAATAAATTCTGTATCATTTTTAAAAAGTCATTCCAAATCCTTAGAGTTAAATAAAAAACATCAAGCCACATGTTCAAAATCAACCAAGAAAGGAATGATTTCCTCCACTCTCCCAATTAGTTTACCCAAAAAACCTTACCTCAGTTAAAAAATATATATTAAAATGAAAAATTTTACAATAAAAACAATACTTTTTGAATATTTTACTACACCCCAGGCAGAATCAAAAAACACTTTATATGTATCATCCCCCTTACAGTGCAAGTACTGTTACCCTCAATGTGTGGATAAGAAAACTGAGGCAAGAAGAGACACAAGCGCTCCAGGCTACACAGTTGGGAAATGGCCAAGCCAAAATTCTCATCCAGGTGGCTCCCAGCAGCAGTCCCTCAGCCATCACACTGGGCTGTCTCATGAGGAAATTCCCTATCCCCTTCACTTGTTTCTTTTTCTCTATGGCACTCATCACCGTCTGACTATGTATTTGTTTACTTATTGATTGATTACTGGCTTATTATCTGCCCCCACACACATATGCACACACTCTAGAATAGGGGTAGTTAAGCCATGGCCTAATGACCAAACCTGGCTCACCACCTGTTTTTGTAAATAAAGTTTTACTGGAAAGCTAGATCATTTACACATAGTCAATGGCTGCTTTCACACCACAGGGGCGGAGGAGCATGCGCCAGAGGCTGTATGGCTTAGAAAGCCACAGATCTTTGCTGTCCAGCCCAACAGGGAAGGAGTCTCGTGACTCCAACTCTAGAACATTAGCTTCGTGTGAGCAGTTTTGTACGTTGTGCCCTCTACTTCATCCCCAGCTTATGAACAATCCCTGGAACTTAATAGATGCTCAATACACTTGTTCAGCAAATAATTAATGATTACCTAACAGGCATGGAAGCATCCCATAAACCAGAAAAGGACTCCACCAATGTGGGAATTATCAAGGGAAGATGTTCATTCTCTACAGGGCAGAGAGACCTGCAGAGGCCCCATTCCCAGCACTGCTACCCAGTGAACAACGGGGTAATTTCAAAAGACCAAAAAAGTTTTCAGAGTTTCCTATGGCCTTTCATTCCTATTTCTAACAAATCCACCAGAAATCATCCATTGTAAAGAGGCAAGATACCCCATGGAAGCTGGTGCAATAAACACACAGCAGAATCTCCCCCCCACACACTTAAGCCAGCACTTTCCCTAACCTTCTCTTCTCCCTGCATACCGGCTAGAATTTGTTCACGCTTTCCTTACTTAAAATCCCTTTCCCACTATTCCAATTATTTGTCCTACCCTTCTCCAGGTCTTCTAGTTAAAAACCCCAACCGTGAGCCCACTTCTCTACGCGAGGAATTATAAATCCACGTGGCCATCAGAAACGGAATCCACATGACAACCGCTCAATAGGGACATACAAGTGTTTTATCTCATGATTTGTCATTCAATGCTTCTGCATTCATCCACATAAAAAAACGCAAAAACCAAACAAAAACAAAAACGTTCTTAATAAAAAGCTATTCAATAGTAACGGAACACTTAATAGTACGAATTGTTTTTTAAAAAACGGAGTGTTAAATTCTCTATCGCTTTTACCAAACTTGGTGATTAGACCATCCTTAAGGAGCCTCTTGTCCACTAGCTCAGAGACCAGAAATACTTAAATCCATCCTCTGTAAGACGGGATATGTTGTAGGTTTTGAAAAGCCAAAAAAAATGTTAAATACACAATATTAATTTTTTAATTACAATGCATTAAGACCACAGATCTGTTAATAAATAGGCTCCTTACGGATTTTTTAAATGATTTAATCTATGCCCAACAAGTTCTTAAAGAATCTAAAATGCATTCAATTTAGCAAAGTTCATTTCATCAACTAACCTAATTTCTGCCCTCCATGTTCAACACAAATGACACTCGGCCATTGCCTTCAGGGAGGGTCTCAGATGGGGTTGAACTCCCCATTAATGACCTGAGCTGGTGACCTCTGCTCTCTTATTAGTGAGTCAGATGGGAAGAGGGAAATGAGCAGGAGGGTCTAGGTCTGCGCCTGCAGGTGAGAGTCCTCCCCACCCACTTACAATTTCAGAACTGTCTGAAGGGGTCACAGCCGAATCAGGCCCCTCGGTGGTGGTCTGGGAGCTGTCGCTGACTGGGGAGGAGGCCTGGGTGCCATCGTTCAGGTCCATGGCCAGGTCGGACGGGACGGCACTGATCTGGCTGGAGCTGTGGCTCAGGATGTCCTCCTCATCCCCATCGGTGGCAGCGCTCGCCAGGTCACAGCCGGTCAGATCCACCGAGTCTGGCTGCAGCGTGTGCTGTGACCGGGGCTGCTCGGTGATGATGTCGTGGCCCACAGAGTCGGTGGCTGAACTGGCAGAGCCAGGAGTGGAGACCCCGGAAGAGGCAGCCAGCTCGCCACCAATCTCACCCTTGACTGAGGCTGAAGACAAAGAAACACTCATTCCTCAAAGGGCCAGGAAAACGTTCAACAGGGGTCAAATGCTTAAAAGATACCCCAAAATTCACTGTCACCAAATGTTTTAACTGCAAAAAAATCATGAAATACAGTGAAAATATGAACTACTAAATTTCAAAAGCAAGACAAGCGTGCATCCTTCAAATATTACTAAAATTGCTTTTTACTGTATTCTTGACTTACCTTTTATCTATTACCATGTCATAGTCATAAAATAAGGATTATCAGTAGATATTTTTTAAATGCTATATATATGAATATTCTCAAATGGTATTCCACTGTAAAAATTGAAGTATGCTCGGTAACAATACCACTTCAAGTCCTTGAGCAACAGCTCCAGCTTCAGCTTGGAGCAGCACAGAAAGATTCTGCGATCCAAAGGCAGCCTGGTCAGGCACAAGCCCGGTCGGGCGCACTCGCTCAGGAGGCCGTGCTCAGAAACAACAGAAAGTCACCATCTCTCTGATGTGGGCTTTCCTTCTCCCCAGACCCTGTTCAAGACCTCTAAGCAGCCAGTCCTACCCTCCTGTCGAGCAAATTTGCAGCATGTTTTCCTAGTTTGGCTTTTAAATTCTCATTAAAAAAAGCCACACACTGCATAAAAATCACTACAAGAAGATCTACACCAAGGTGTTAGCAGTCTCGCCTAGAGACCACTGGGTCAGTGAGCACTTGAGCTTTATAATGTTGTTGAGAGCTGTAATTTTTTTTTTTTACTTCTGTAATTTAAAAAAAAAATTTTTGTTTTATAAAAGTGAATAAATAATCACCACCAGAATTATTCAGATTCTCCTTCCCAAATACTTTAATCTTATTTTCAGTTGTCTAAAAATATTCTTTTGGATAGGATTATACAGTCCAAACCACTCTCATTTAATCCAATTATTAGCATATTAATCAATACTTCTCTCTCATAAAGTGAATAAAGAATCCGTAAAGAAATGTAAATTTCTGGGGCGCCTGAGTGGCTCAGTCGGTGAAGCGCCTGCCTCAGCTCAGGTCATGATCCCAGGGTCCTGGGATCGAGCCCCACATCGGGCTCTCTGCTCAGTGGGGAATCTACTTCTCCCTCTCCCTGCTGCTCCCCCTGCTTGTATTCTCTCTCTCTGTCAAATAAATAAATAAAATCTTAAAAAAAGAAAAGAAAAGAAATGTAAATTTCTTTCAAGTTAAGCTATCCACAGACAATTTTTAACCCCATTTTCCCCTCACAACCCATGTAATTCATGAGACACTTATCTACCACCCCCTACTACATAAGAAGACTTATGCTCAGGGAGCATAAACCTAATTTTAAAAGAGCCTAAGTCAAGGAAAAGAGCAAATATTTGATGCAAGAAAACACACACACACACACACACACACATTTCAAAGTAAATGTTCTAAAAAGAGTGAGAATTAGCCACCATTTGAGCAAGCTGGCTTCACCACTGTCCCCAGGAGCACAGTCCCTCATAAGGGGCAGGAGAGGGGCAGGGAAGGGGCCAGAAAAAAGGCAGGAGGGGGCACCACTGCCCCTCCCTGAAGCTACCTGTGAAGGCGGGGCTGCTGCCCTCCGACCTGGACTCAGAGTCATCCTCCAAGGCCGCTGCTTCTCCGAAGAGCACTTTCCCTAGGAAATGATGTAGCAAGAATCCTTAAGCTTGCTATAGGAAGGACTTCAAAAATCAAACAGATGCACATTCTAAGTGGAAAATCATAAGCACATTTAATTCACTCTCTCATACGGTAAATATAAAGTATTTTTATACCCCTAGTGTGCTAGTGTGCAAAGAATGCCAAGATATTATATTTAGATATTATTAAAATCAATAAACCCATACAGCACAAAGTTAAAAGCAATGATTCTCAAACTATAACACCAAGTATTTTAATAATTAATAAGTATTTACTGACTTAGATCTGTATTAATGTTGGATAATTTATATTACTATTTGATCTTAAAGATTGTAAGCTATGGCTAGAGCCAATTCTATTAGCCCTTAGGCTATACATCGTATTTTCAATGGCAATCAGAGTGTACACCTAACTGCTGGGCACCTGAAACTAATGTAATGCTGCATGCTAGCCAACCAGAATCAAAATAAAAACTTAAAAAGAGAAAGAGTTCATACACAGAACTGTCACTGTACAGGTCACTTCTACTCTGTTCTCCTTTAAGCTGCCAGACTCTATGGCAATAATCAGAACTGAGCGCTGTAAGATCTGGGAAGATGGAGTAATAGTTCATCTTTTACAAAGTTGTAAAAATATATTTTACAGTTCTTGGTTTCCAAATTATATCAATTTATGTTATATTGATAAGAAAAAAGGAAAAGTCTTAACATGATTTAATTGGACTAATTATATCATGATGGTTATCATTATGGTTACATTACACGTAAAGGTCACTAAATGACACTCTAGAAATAATTATTGGCCATTTCCAATGTCTAACTTCACTACTTTCCGAGGAATAGGTCATAGGTGTGACAACTTCCAGAAATCTATGCTGATGTGACATTAAAGGGGGAAAAAAGGCAAAGAAAAAGCAAAGGAAACCCAAAATCTAGATAAAGTTGGCTTATCTAAGAAACAGGGTCGTCCCTTACAGAACAAGTGGCTGACTCTGAGAAAGCAAGTAAAATCCACCCTGCGCGTGAGGGGTTAATGAGAACAGTCTCTGTCCTCAGAATCAGGATTTGCCCCCCCGCCCCGTTCCAAGGAGCCCCCTCAAGGGGTGCAAGGTCCCAGCTGCCACCAGAAGGGCCACCAGGCCACCACACCAGTCCCTGCCCTCATCCCACATCAACTCTGCTGTTCTCTCTCACAGATCTGCAAGATCTCACGTGGAGAAAAAAAAGGACTTTTGCAACTATAACAAAAAAAGCTTAAAAGTGCAGCTCTCGATGAAAAAGGAAAACAAAACAAAAAAACACTAAAAACACAAAAAAGATATTGAGGACATACCAGCTTCCTACCCAGAAGGAACAGCTCATCTCAACGGTGGACTGCCCAGGAAGGCGGCTAAGCAACAAGGCACCTCAGTCATGGTCCCTTCCTGCTCCAGGAACAGAAAGACCGACTTTGCCTGGAAGCCAGTGGCCTTCAAACAACCTCAGTACTTCACCAAAATCTCACACTTGATTAAAATTCTACACTATGAAGGCTCAAATATGATGGATTCTAGGTTCTAGGAAATGTTTACTTAACCCAGTCAAGGCCAGAATGTTAGTCCTGTTAAGGTTCCATTCAATACTGCGAGTAATACTAGGCATTAGGCTCCCAAACCCTCAACTCATGACACAAAAAAATATTCTTATGTTGTATATAGATTATACCTCAATAAATTCTTAAAAAAGATTCATCTTTTAAGATTTCAAAATAGAAAATGGCAGCAATTCTTTCCTATGGAAATCCAGACCGGAAAAGAAAACAATTGGTGGGGTGAAAAAGCGTTCATGTATACTAAAACTATCCGATTAGAAATCAGAAACCCTTTAATAAAAATAAATTGTTATCAGAATGTTCTGGCATGTGCATAGCTAAATATGGCTGAAAAATTATCATCATCCCAAATTAACCAAATAATTAACCAAACATCATTCCTGACTGATGTTACACAGAATTCATAGGAAAGGTTAAGTTACCTTTACAAAACATAACACAGTCTCTAAGGCAAGGAGCAGGCAAACTAGGGCAGGCCTATTTCTGGAAATGCAGTTTCAGGGGAAGGAAGCCACAGCCGTGAGCTGAGCATCACCCGTGGCTGCCTTCTGCCACAAAACAGAGCCGAATAGAGAGGAGGCAGGAAGGCCCACAAGGCTAAAACAGGCCCTTTACAGAAAAAGTTTGCTGACCCCTGACCTAAAGCATTAGAAATTTCTGTCAAAGTCATTTTGATTCACAAGCAATTTTTAAAAACCGCCCTACAGAACCATTCCGGCCCCCAGTTACATTTATACATACAATCGCTCCGTGGAGAAGAGGTATAGGCACAGTCGACAGCATTACAGAAATACAGAAAAAGCAGTGAGACTCAACATGAGACTCTGATTTCTGAAATAATCACCTTTTTGTTTTCTTGAAAGGACAGGGCTGCATGAAGAACCCCCTCCAGCTGCAAATCACAGAAAATGACAGATGAAAGTAAGGTAACAAGCAGCTAAAATGCAGAAGACATTTGCAAATCTTCAAAAAGCGTGATTCAACTTTAAAACTACAGAGTGTGTGAACAAACGTATTTCCACAGGTGGTGCTTAAACACCACACTGCAACACCTGAATCCTGACACACGAAAATCACACCAACACCCCTATACACAGTTCTAAAGATACGACCTAAAATGTCAAAGAAGCTCAAATAACGGGCATTTAAAAAGTCAAACTAAAAAACATTAGAAATCTCAAATTGCTTGGTCAACTACTAATCAAATATAAATTTTCGTTGTAAACAATCATTAGTCATTAGTATTTCCAGCAAGTATTTGTATGGCATGCATTCCACAGAGAAAAGGATTCTGGAGTACACAGGACGTGGACAGGTACACCCTCATTTTCTGCTCGTGGCTCAGGCGAACATTTATGTTCAAACGAGGCAGCAATGACATCTCTAGGTCGCCAACGCCGCTGAGTGAAGGCCATGCTGTACTAAATCAGCTCAGGTGAGGCCTGCAGTCCACAGAGGCCCCAGAAGCCTCCTCTGTGCCAAAGCCAGCTCTAAAGGCCATGCTTCAGGGATCCCACCTACTCCAGCTCTCAAGGGACTGGAGGAAAACCAGTGGTCAGGCTGCAGGGCAGCACCCTGTGGAGGGATGAGGGCCCAATCCCCAAAAGCATAAAGAAGAGCAGTGGCGGGGTAGAGGAGGGGGTGTCCTAGAGTCAGTGAGGACAGCAAAAAAGGGCCTCAAGGGCAGAAAGGAACTCTAAAATCCCCAGAGGACCTGAAGATCCCATCTCTGGCCCAGCGGCACGAGGGTCCTGCAAATACTTTCCCTCAAATTTTCGTTTCACGATGGACGAGATACCACGGGGAGGTGGCCGGGTCAGAGTGGAGAAGCCAGCTTCAGAGGCAGGCCTCATGTTGTCACCTAACCTTGCCACCCTCCCGTCCTCCCGCCTACAGACTGGATGTCAGAGGAGCTGAGCCGCGCCCTGCCCGGCGCAGTGGCGGCCCTGGGTTCCACGAGGGAGCCAGCGTGGCACAGGTCCCGCAGCAGGGAACGCACCTAGCAGCTCCACGATGCTGCCGCTACGGCTCCGGCAGCCGGGCTGGCGGTGTGCGGCGGTGAGCGGCCCGCCGCCCGGCGTGCTCAGGGCCTGCAGGAGCTCGGGTGGCGGCGTCCTGAACAGCTGCTGCAGGAGCTCCAGCGCACCGGTCACAGCATTGTGGTCTTGGTGCTGAGTGTAGTGCAAGGTCAGCTCATAAACCTGGAAGCAGAGGTACAAGCGTTATCGCCATGGTTTTTAAAACGTGTCCAAGGATTCACAGTTTTCGTGTTTGAGTCTTATGTTAGCAAAATCTGTGCCTCAATTTCTGCCTCTAGAAATGTCTCCATCATGACTTCTGTGATGTTTTCCAAGTGCCTGCGACTTTGTCCGCTGTGAGGTGAAGTCCTTACAAATAAGGACAGCACTCCCACAAGCGCAGCAGCATGCTAATCAAGACCATCGTCTGCCTAACTGGTGATGAGGAAACGGAGAATAAGGCTCCCATACCCGGTGAGTACAGCTGGTCTCCTACACAGTGTGCAAGAAACACTGCCCTGAGCACCACGGGAAAAGTTTCCCAACATAGCAAAGGCATTATGTCAAATTTTACTGGTGCTTGTAATACTATATTACGTTGTATGAACACACTGGATGCACTCTTTTTCCTTGTATTTTTTTTATTTTTATTTTATTTTTTTAAAGATTCTATTTACTTATTTGAGAGAGAGAGAGAGGGAGGGAGGGAGAGTGGGCAGGAGGGGCAGAAAGAACGGGAGAAGCAGAATCCCTGCTGAGCAGGAAGCCCAACACAGGGCTCGATCCCAGGACCCCAGGATCATAACCTAAGCTGAAGGCAGACGCTTAACTGATTGAGCCACCCAGGTGCCCCCTTTTTTTTTTCGTAATCTCTACACCCAGCATGGGCTGGAACTCATGACTCCGAGATCAAGAGTCGCGTGCTCTTCAGACAGACTGAGCCAGCGGGGCGCCCCTCTTTTTCCATTTCGGTAGCAATGCCCAATAAAGTACTAAGCACCCAGTTAGATCTGAATTTCAGATAAATAATTTTGCGGCCTAACTATATCCTGTGCAATTTCAGGCATACCTGCACCACAAAATTACTCATGATTTCTCTGCAATTCAAATTTAACTGACACCCTGTATGTTTATTTGGTAAGTTGGGCAGCCCTACCTTTAATATCATAAAAGTAACAGATGTGTTTAAAAAAAAAAAAAAGACAGTCTAGAAGGGTATAAAAAAAAGTGAAAGTCTCTGAGGCAGCTTCTTTGAATCGTTGACGCCTCGTTCTTCTGAGGGTAGTCCCTATCACCACAGGAGCTGCAGGTCTGCAAACCACAGTCCATGGCCAAATCTGGCCCAACACCTTTTCTGTACAGTTTTCTTGGAGCGCAACCACCTCTGGATCGTCTGTGGCTGCTTTTCTGCTCTGCTGGTGCAGCTCAACAGTTGGCCCACTACAGAAACAAGGCTGCTGCGCCCTGCTCTGGTCTTGCACCAGCACGCCTGCTAACCTACGAGAAGCCCCGAGCCTTTCATAGGACCCACACCAGTGCCCGTCTGCACACATGTGCTCACATGCTGCATGCGCCCTCATGCTCACTCCTGAGATTGGGTAAAGGCTGTAGTCTGTCTGTAAAACTTCCCCCAACTCCCTGTGTCTGGTCAAATCCCACTCACCCATCAGCATCAGCTCGTACTTCTCCAGTATGCCTCCCTGACCTTGATCAGACAGGGGATCCCCGCTTTGTGCCCCTACAGCACCCCCCACCCACCACCTTACCACACCATCTAGTGATTGCTTGCTTGCTTATCCCAATAGACCAATGGTCTCCAAAATTTCTTGACTAAGCAGGCTTTTTCTTAAAACATCAGAAGAAAATTCTGAGTATGTAATCCTAATACTTATGTATTTATTTTAAAATATTATAGGGGTGCCTGGATGGCTTAGTCGGTTAGGCATCTGCCTTCAGCTGAGGTCGTGATCCTGGGGTCCTGGGATCGAGTCCTGAGTCAGGCTCCCTGCTCAGCGAGGAGCCTGCTTCTCCCTCTGCCCCTCCTCCACCCCTGTGCGTGTTCTCTCTCTCTCTCACTCACACTCTCTCTCAAATAAAATCTTTTTAAAAAACGTTATGTAAGTACTACAGAACTCAGATATCATGTACATTATAAAATGTACACTAAATCTGACAAGACTCTAGCTTGTTACCAATTTATAGGAAATATAGAGACAAAGAAATATGTTAATTTACACAATGGGATGGCAAGTAATACATCCGACAGCCAGGAATTCCACAGGACAACCTGTTTCTCCAACAAATGAACTCCAAGGGCCCCTGGGTGGCTCAGATGGTTAAGCGTCTGCCTTCGGCTCAGGTCATGATCCCAGGGTCCTGGAATCGAGCCCCACATGGGGCTTCTCACTCAGCAGGGAGCCTGCTTCTCCCTCTGCCTCTACCCCTAACTCATGCTCTCTCTCTCTATCTCTGTGTCATAAATAAATAAATAAAATCTTTAAAAAAAAATGAACTCCAATCTTATTTGCATACTGATTCCAAAAGAGGAAACACCTGACAGAGGGTGAGAGGGTATTCGATGTGCAGAAACTGTTCCTTTTTTTTAGATGTGACAATGGGTGCCTGGGTGGCTCAGTGGGTTAAGCATCTGCCCTTGGCTTGGGTCATGATCTCAGGGTCCTGGCCTGCTTCTCCCTCTGCCTCTGCCTCTCTCTCTGTTTCTCATGAATAAATAAATAAAATCTCTAAAAAAAAAAAAAAAAAAAGATGGTGCTCGTAAATGCTAAAAAGCCAGCTCTCCAGGAAAAAATATGTTTATAAAAAAAAAAAGATGTGACAATGCCATTGTCATCAAGTTTTAAAAACAAAGATGAGTTCTCACCTATAGGGATACATAGCAGAATGCTTACAGATAACTTAATATGATTGGGATTTGCTTCAAAATAATGCAAAAAGAGAGAAGTGGGATTATAAGTGAACCATAATTGGCCCTGAGTTGACAATTATTAACACAGGTGATAATTACTGAAGGCAGCTTACAATGCTATTCTGTCTACTGCTGTATGTCTGGAAATCTCCATAATAAAAAGTAAAACAAACAGACAAGGTAAGGATGAAATAACCTATTTTTTCAATGTATTATTACCACTAGAACACCTGTCTTACTCACTAAAACATCCAGTAATGTTTTTTGTGAGGGCACTATCATTCAGTGCCCTATCTCATGAGAATGCTATTGCTTGTATTCCAGGGGACAGCTGAAGGGCACCTGGTTGGAGCAGAGAACGGTCACCCCCAGAGATTCTTAGAGCCCACTCCTGCTTGGTTACCCCCCATCCACCCATAATCCCAGGGCCTCACCACGCACCAGGAAGGATTCTAAGCACTTTGCAAGTATTACCTGACTCAATGCTTAAATAATTAAATCATCTTCATGATTTCTATGTAAGAATTATTTTAAGCCACTTACAATCTTGTACCCTACAAAATTTAGGCAAAGGACACAACTCCTAAGTCCACTTGACTGAAATACCTATGAACTACAATGTCGCCCATATAGAAAACAGAGCCAAGGCAGCCCTCTCAGGACCCCAGATTGTTGTCTCAACTCCTGTATGTGCCAAGTGGCATCTGACTTATAGAAAGGGTAAGGGCTTTGGCAGCATCCAGTACATTCAATATGGTAAAACCCTAACATTTTAAGCCAAGTTCACAAAATCCAATTGCTTAAAATGTAGCTGTACTGTTTCAAGGTTGAGAAAGTAATGTGGACGAGCAAGCTGCAAAGAAATGAAGTCCATCACTGAAGTCAGATGCAGATCACACTGTATGAGAATGTACACGGGGTTTCTCTGGATTGGAAAGAGAAGCTTTGACATACCGTTCCTATACTCCAACGGACTGTGCCCCTAACTCCCTGGTGTATACCCTAGTGTACCAGACCACAGGTTCCAGGGGCAGAGACCATACCCAAAATGATCACCAACGTATCCCCAGCACCTGTCCTGGTGCCCAGCACACAATGGGTGCTCAATAAATACTTACTGAATAGAGGAACCCATCTCTTGAGTCCTGGTTTTGCAAACAGGGTAAGAGCATTCTCTGTGCCAGGCAGGAGCCTAAGGGGCATATGTAACATTCTCGGTAACCTTACGAGAGATTACCTTCATTGTACTCTGATGTCACTGCCATCCAGAGGTCACGTGGCTAGGGGTCATGACCCAGGATCTGAACCAGGTGGTCCAGCTGCAAAGACCAAGCTCTTAGCCCTTGGTTCTGCCATTTCTCTTCCATGTGTTTTGATTCTTCGAATGTCCATCATTTATGTACAGGCACCAGGGCAAAGCATGTGGCTCCTACCTGGATAAGCTGCTCTGTCGAGGGGGAGACTTCCAGTTCTTTCCGTGTCACCCCAAAGCTGCCTTTCAGGCTCGTGTCCTTGACCTGCTGCTGCAGCAAGGGCACCAGGTATCTCAGTGTGAGCAGCACTCCAAGAATCAGGAGGGTAGAATGTTCACCCTCAACAGGGACCAGCAAACCTGTAAGGGAGCAATGAGATCTCTTAACATCATCATCTGCTGGGGGATTCAGGGCTTAATTTGTTTAAAAGAAGAGACCCAGAGTAGAACAGTGTTATGAGGCTGGCGGTGAGGGATAAAGACGGCACAAACATTACTGTGGGAAAATACACAGGTATCTCATCTTTAGGCCAAAATCTAAGAAAGGCTTTAATAACCTTCACATCCTTAGCTGAGCAAGCCCGTTAGAGGGAGTTCGAGTGCAGATGAGTGTCAGGCAGTTCTTTCATATCAAATATCCACATGCTCCCCTCCGCCCTTGCTAGCGCTGATTTCCATAAACAACTCCACGGATAGGAGAAACCGTCAGCAGAGAACCTGCAAGGACCCCAGGCTCCGCTTCGGGCCTCAGAGCCTCACTACACTCAGAGCCCACACACAGCTGTGCAGTCTGCTGCACGGGGGCCAGCTGTCCTCGGGCAAGGGGTGCCCACCCTTCTGCACAGAGGAGGCCCCTTGTCCTAATCGTCACAACATCCAACATGGGCTCGTGGCAGCCTCAACACAGTTCCCATTCACTAGTGGGCCAGCACCAAAGGGCCTGGGCTGGGAGCTAAGGCATTGCCTGATTTTAAAAGAATTTAAAAGATGTGTCTCAGGTAAATGCTAGAGACTCCAGCACACCGTGGGGAAAATCACTCATACAACTACCTCTTACCTAAGAGCACATTTAGTAGCCAGCTATAAAAATACTGCGTCCTTCTTGAGTGCTGGCAGATGCTCACCGCTGAGCCAGCCGCCGTCCGCCGAATGGTCGGGGAGCTTGACTTCAGATTTGCTATGAAAGCCTTTAATAGAACCTAGGGCAACAAAAATCCAAGTAGATAAAAGACAAAACTCCTATGAAGCTTATCATGTTATTTCATAAAATTACTCCAAATTCTTACAGAGTATAGGTTATGACCAATTGGACTTTCCTACAGCTAAATAAAAGCACCCCAAATTTGGGATATTCCAAAGCAGTTTGCAGAAGGAGTCTATTTACTTCCTTACTCTAAGTAAGGACTTGCTCAGTATCTATGTCCTCTACCCAAGAGTGAAAACCTGAGCTTCTAGAAAAGGTGCACCCACACCTTTGGGTATGCGGTCAGTAAAGGACGCCATGTAAAATAAAGACAGTAAAAAAAAAAAAAAAAAAAATCAAACCCAAATAATGAAGTCAAGGAGAAAAGCGTAGTAGCCGAGTGCAGCCACATCCCAGCCTGAGATGGCTTGCGGATGTGCTGTTAATACCATTAAGAGATGCTCTCTGGTCTGTAAGGTGCTAATGAGCTGAACCGCAGCAGCGGAGCGCCCACGAGTATTTTCCTAAGGAGAGAAGATTTTGTCACAGAACCTCCAGGATAACCCAAAGTAGATCATGCTAGAATTCCAACGATGGCCATTTAAATCTTAACAAAAATATCCAAAGAATGAAAAGGCGTGGGGCGCCTGGATGGCTCGGTTGAGCGCCCAACTCTTGGTTTTGGCTTAGGTCATGATCTCCTGGTCGGGAGACTGAGCCCCTGCATTGGGCTCCCTGCCAGTGGGGAGTCTGCTTCTCTCTCTCTCTCTCTCTCTCCCCCTCTGCTTGCCACCCCCGCCCATCTCATGCACTCTCTCTCATAAATAAATCTTAAAAAAAAAGAAAAAAGAAAAGGCATGACCATCTAGCTTCCTGAGTTTGGGAACTAGCTTATATAAGAACACCCATTTCCATCACTCTAGACCCCACTCTGAGCAACAATTTGGTCCCCGTTACTGTTCGGCATTCACTGAGCAAAGCTATCTGGGCTGGGGATACCGTCAGGGCACCACCACTGAGCCCTGAACCCAGGCAAACGAGCAGCACGTTAACAGGCTGGCATCTGACTTATGAAGAAGCTCCTTCTTAACAGTATGGTTAGCACCAACTGGTTCTCGGAGGCTCATCCATTCTTGGTGAACTTACAGACTAGATCTCCGGAACCAGAAAGGCAGAGGACCAGACCCTCAGCCCCAGGATGTCCCCCATGGTTTGTGGCCTCCAGTTCCTCCTGCAGACACCACCAGGAGAACCCCAGTCAACTTACCTCAGACAAACCTTCTTAACTCTGAGAAAAGATACTGGCACCTTAAAGTAACTCGTCTAAGTGAAAACACACATACATACATCATTGAACTAGCACGAATCATTCCGTATCAGTCCACACTTACAAGCACAGTGAAAGCTGAGCATTATTATAAAGAGTGAGCCCACGGTGAACTTCAACAGTTTGGAATAATAAAACCGAATCTCAGAGTCTGAGGGGGCCTTCTCAGATCCAAATCCCACAGTGCTAAGAACGCAGCTGGCAGGAGGTACCCAGACCACAAGTAGGCTCTTCTCATAACGGGGAGGAAGTGTGCTAGATTTTAGGGCAGACATCTTCACTTTTCAATAAATGTGTAGGACATATTTTTAAGAGTATTTCAAAAGGGAAAAGATGCAAAATCATGCAACTTTAGAGTCAAGAGTACTATAGGGGATGGAAACGGAAATTAAAATCAAAATAGGACACCAGGGCACAGTCATGAGAATGGCTAAACTTGAAGGGGCCCGCAGCAGTGAGGTCCAGGAGGAGGCAGAGCCATGGGGCTCTCGCACGTCATGGACACAGGTGTGAGCAGGGGCGGACACTCGGCAGCATCTACCGAAGATGAAACACATGTCCCTGCGACGCAGCAAGGCCCGGTCTAGGATCCACAACAGCGGGTTGTACCTGTGCTCCAAACGACACACACAAGAGCGGGCGCAGCAGCAGCGTTCGCAATGGCCACTAAGTAGAAACGGCCAGACGCTCAGCTACAATAAATGATAAACCATGGTGTGTTCGCAGAGTGGCGTGCCCCGCAAGTATAAAATCTGCATCAATTAACACACCGATGACATGAGACTCTCACTGACTTAATGTGCAGCAACAAAGAAAATGAGACAAAAAGAATGCATACTGCACACCTCTACATCTGTCAAATTTAACCACAGTCCCCATGGCTTCAGAAGCCAGGTCAGCGGTCACTCCGGGGAAGAGGAGAAGCAGTGACGGGGGTGGGCAGAAGGGGCTCCCGGGGGCTGGTAACGCTCTACTCCGCTTCGTGACGGTTCACCAAGGGGCACAGCAGTACTCTCTGTGCTGCCTACACGTGAGTAAAATAAGCCTCAGGAGGAGTCTCAGTCTCTGACAGGTCATCCTGAGAATGAAAATACACCTGAGGTGAGGAGACTTCGGAGCAAACGTGTTGTGTTAGATGTGTGAATGAACCTCTGCCACCCAGACACTCTCCGAAAATCATGTGCGCAAGTTTTAAAAAGCATCGACTTCCAAGGACAAAAAGAACAGGACAGGGGCAAGAGCAGACAAGAGGCGTGCACAAATTCTGCAAGCTAGAAAGTAAACAAGCGCCGACTGCCTACCTTGCCGCCCACAGGAAGATGCTCGCAGGTGAGTTTTGGGAGCTGGGGGTGGGGTTCTGAGGGCCACTAACGAAAGGCAAGCTCACTCAAGCCACAGAACTGCAAGAACAGCTCGGACTTGGGAGGCCCCAGAAACATCTGAAAGCAGCCTGTCTGCCCCTGTGCACACTGCCGGCCACTCAGCCCTGGGTCTTCTCTCATCCGGGGCAGCCCAGGACATTGCCTTAGCGTCCCACCTCCCACAAAGACTAGGGGATAATCTCCAGAGATGTTGGCATAGCCGAGGTCAGACATGAGGCACGGACAGAAAACAGACAAATGAAGAAAGAGTGTGCGTTCTGACCAGTGAGACCGCTCGCGCCCTCTATCCCAGGATCCCAGGACAAACGCAGCAGGCTTACCCCTCCAAGCGGGAGAATGAGGAACCTTCCTCTAGGGATACTGACCACCTCAAGAGGAAAAGACTTACTGAGACTGACACTTATGCAGTGTCAGTGGAAAAGGAGGCTCACCATCCATCACACCTCATGAAGGCCACCATGGGACAGACCCTGCCACACACTTGCTTCCAATAAGCTTTTTAGAGTCTCATTCAAATCTAAATGGAAAACTGCCAACATAAAAGTGAAAGACCAGAACAGAGAGTACAGAGGAAGTCAGAAGAAACAGACAATGAAGAAGTCAAAGAAAGTTGTCAAGAAAACTGTAATCAATATCCTCAGAAGATAAGGAGTGTATTCACGAAGCAAGGAGAGGATGCCAGAAAACATAAACATTCTGAACACAAGAAGGAGCTCTTAGAAATTAAAAATAAAATAGCAGGAACAAAAACTCAACATACAGATGGACATCTATAAAGTACAGAAAAAAGAAAAGGAAAATAGAAATAAAACATAACAAAATTCCATCACAATAAGGGAGTATGCCTAGAAAGGTAAAGATATGGCATCTAGAAATCAGGCATCCAACAGGAGAGCAGCAAAAACAATTCCTAGGAGGACAGCAAAGTCCTCAGACCTAAAGAGCATCTGGATCAGACTGGGGCAAACAGCTGGAGAATTCTAGGACAGAGGACTCTGGTGGAGAAAACGGACCCAATAAATTGTCTGTCATGTGGAGAATTGCATTGAGACACATTTTACAAAGCTGTTTGAAGGTATGAGAAGACATAAATGGCCAAAGAATAACAAGCAAAATAAAAAAGAGGCAATTATTAAATCCCAAAAAACCAAAAAGTTCAATAAAGAAATAGAATACAAGGACAGATCATAACTAGTTGTGACTATTACTTGGACATGATAACGTCACACTGAATCCTGATATAACTAGAGTAAGAAGCTGGGAGCCAGGTTAGGGTTAAATTTATCTTTCATAGTAAAAAAAATTAAAACAAAAAAACAAAAACTAGCAGTACATTGCTATAATATACGTGCTATATAGCTTGCTATCTAGAAATGTGGAGGGCAATACCAAAAGAAACACTAACAAAGCACTGACCCACAAAAAGGAGGAAGTCAAGAATCTATTATCTTCAGACAATATGGCAGGGTCACAATTTCTGGACATTAAAAACAAAACACAAACGTGGGTGGGGAGGTTGTTTTGCTTGTTGAGGCACAGAACAAACAGGAAGGCAAGTGGTCCCCATCGGCTACAAGGCCATCATCACTGAGCTTTCTCCTGCCTGCACTCCTGGGACAGTTACCTCTCCCAAGCTAGGTTAAAGAGTCAGTCTAATACACCAAAAATCAATCTGTTCTGGAAAATCACCTTTTGAATTTGCATCTATATACCCTCTCCCTACTTAACTCCTCACCGCATGATAAGAAAGCGGAAGTAGAAAGAAGCTCTTAGTGTGCCTCAAAATAAAAAGATTTTCATCTAAATCATGAAGCACAGTATAACTCAAGAGGCACTCCCAAATGACCGCCTGTCCAAAAGCCCTAACTGCCCACAAGACTCATTCATGTTTGTGACTTGAGGTAATAATCATACCTTAATTTCATTGTCATTTGCAAAATTGCCAAAAGAAGCCATAATTTTGGGTACAGCTGCAGCCAAGGTCTCCTGAACAGATTCCTCAGGTCTCTTGCTTATTCGAGTCAGGCAAGGCAAAAGGTTTACCAAGTAAGGCCTGCACATGTGAAAGGAACAGGAGTTATTCTTCCAGGTCTACTTTAGTGAGAAACATAAGCAATTATTCAGTACCTGTTAGGGAAGAGCCAGTTTTTATATGCATAACAGTCCTTAACAGAAAGTAGACAAATTTTGGCAAAAAGAACCAGAGGGCTAAAATGCAGACCAACTTCAAATGTGGGAGACACTTATCTTTCATTTCTCCTATGATCACAGAGGACTCTCAAAAGCTTGTTTTAAAAACTGTTTGTAGTAAATTATAATAGTAAAATATTCATATTTTAAATTAGAAAACAATAGATAAGAAAACAGTTAAAAAAAGAAATGAAAAAGTTTTCTTGAAAAAGGAGTGTTACAAGGAAATATTTTTAAGTGTACAAACTAAATAAGGCCTTAGAGATAAGACCGGGCCCTCCAGGGAGGAAGTGCAGACAGTGCAGGATGCAGGAGAAGCCAGTCACTGGGCAGAAGGCTGAAACCACATAAGTCCCCTCAACAAACACGGGACTAACATGACAGGCGCCTTCTCTTGGCGGAGACAAGCAAGTCCCTACACCTGGGACTATAGCAGGAAAGCTAGGCTGGCTTAAGGAGATGACTATTTTGCCGGAAAAAAAATAAACCAGGCATGACAAACAAGAGAAACCTGCCTGACTTTTTGAAGAAGCAAAATCAGGCCAATGAGTCAACTGAGAGTGTCTGAGATGATGGTGGCCACTGGAGGCAAGATCTCCCTGGGTAAGGAATCTGGATTTTATCTGAACAGCTCTGGGAAATGAGTAAAAAGTTTAAGTAAGGGAATGACATGACCCAATCACATATTTTAAGGTCACTCTGGCTGCTATGTGGAGAACTTGGGATGTGCTGTTTCAGAAGTATAACAAAATTTTCAAAATAAGGATAGTAAAAGAAAAAGGTTATATAAAAAGAAGTTTCCTTAGTGATGTATCTCTATGGCAGCCACTTAAGATTCTTATTAAACTCAAACTCAGTGTGATAAATCACTGTTTCTTTTTAACAGTGAGAGTTTCAGCCCCTCCACCTATACGTTTAGTATGTGTTCCTCAGGGACACAGCCAAGGGTCTATGGACATCAGGTTTGCCGGTGAAGGAGAAGGAAGGTACAGATGAAAACTGGGGTCTTCTTCTGATTCTCAATCCATTGAGGACAGACTGTTCCCACCAGTCAAACTTTATTCACAGTTTAATAGTCATAGTTTTAACTCATGTGAGAGACAAAGGCATACTGTTCTATAAGCAACGATGAGTCTGGTTCTCAACTTTCGACCATGTGACAAGTATCTTTTCAGCAACCAGCACGTGCAGACACGGCTCTCAGGGCCGGGCTGCAGCAGAGAGGACAGACAGGGAAGACCCCCGCTGTCGTGGGGCACACACCTCTGTCTCTTGGGGAGGGGGGCCAACAGAAAATGAACAAAAACACTGACAGCATCCCCGAGTATTTCTGAGAGCGAGAAGTGCTACGAAAGGAAGACAAGCCAAGAAACCCCGACCGCGACTTGGGGGGCAGACGCAAACAGCATTAGACAGAGCTCAGGGAAGACCTCTGAGCCAGTGACACCAGAGCCGGGAAAGAAGGGAAAGAAGGGAAAGAAGGGAAAGAAGGGAAAGAAGGGAAAGAAGGGAAAGAAGCCACAGGAGCTGGCTCCCCACCAACAGACAGTAATAATAATCCAGAGCGCACAACTTACCTGCACTTCTGAGGCCGGACCAGGTGAGCCAGTTCAGCAAACCTCCACAAGGCGGCGCGCAGGCTCCGGGGAGCACCGTTCTGAGTGGGTTGAGAGTGGTGAGTTACATTTAAGAGTCACGGACGCTACTCCAAAAGGACTTCATAGAAACAAGAGCATTTATGGGATCGTTTATTTCTATGTTTAGACACAAGGCCACGTAAATGTGTAACTGCTGCAGAAGCATCATGGTCTCAGGGCTTCAATTACAAAGACAGAAAACTTAATTCTCATCCCATCTCATAAATAATGAAGAGGAACCTTGTGAAGGAAAATAAAGCAGTGAAGTCTACTTTACCAACAGCATTTCCGTCTAACATTCCCACTTAGTAAATAAAAGACAAGATTTCACATACACTGCTCAATCCAGGGAAGCAGTACCATTTGCTCAATAACAGAAAATCCAAGCCTACCTTTTTGATTTCCTTATAGAGTTCTAACTGTAGCCTCGGAAGATTGGAGTCCATCAGGGCCTGCAACAAAACACAAGAGAGCCGTTCACGTAAGACTCACTCCACCAGCCTGGGAGAAACTAAAAGGCAACTAAAATTTCAACTTGGGGGCAAAGTGGAATGTAGCAGCAACTAAACTAAGAACCTGCTCATTAAGAAAGAAGCACATACATACAGGAAGTCACTGAATAAACTAGACACAGGTCACTCACTTGAATAAAAAAATAGAAGGGAAAGAATTTAACTTGATGTACAATCAAATACCACATGATACTTAAATCCAATGGTAGATGGTTCAAATTCATTCTAATGCTCTTATATTAAAACTTTAATATGCAATGAGAGGAGAAAACACCTGAAAGGTTTCCTTCTTCATTAAAGTGCACGCTGCTGGATGGCCCAACACTAACAATGGCCTGAAGTCTGTGACGCCAGCAAGGCAGTGAGCATACTTTTAAGACCAGAGACCCTCGCTCCGGCGGGCAGAACCCCTGTCCTTTCTGAAGGTTTTCCCTCAACGCACAGATGCTCCCAGCCCCGTGGCTCAGAACCCGAAGGAGGGTGAGGAGTCTCGTGCTCCTCACAACACCTTCCTTGCCCCCATCCCCGCTCACTTATGGACCAAACCAAAACTAACGGCCACCAGGCCAACTTCAACCCAGTAAGAACAGCCAGAGGCAACCACCACCAGAGGCAGAGTCCATGTTAGAGAGGGCTTCTCAAGATGGAAGGAAGGGAGAGGAAAGATTCCTGGCCCCCACTCTCACCCATGGGAACCCTCTCCTCTGAAATGGTACTGCCAATGGCCTGTCCACCAAGAAGAGAGGAAAGACGTAACCAAGCCTCAAACCAAGCTTCTTTCATGTGATATAGAGCTTATGATGTCTACAACCTGAGCTGCTCTTAGTAACTCACATGGGTTCACCTACTGGTTCAGTGAGCTTGCAAATCAAAAGCAGAGTCATATTTGGGGGGCTTCTGAAGTATAACAGTATCTCAGAAATTTGTAAATCCTAACTCCTCCATTTCAGTTTGTACTAAATCTGTAAGCGAGCATACCAAAATGAACATATAGTAAGATGCTACTTTGCAAATAAAACCAGAAGCACACACCGGAGCTACCCTCCTCTGTGAGTCTTCAGAGGCTTCCTAGAGCCCCAGAGAGGCAGGGTGCTGCATTGTTTAAGAGGGCCCCTAATCTCCTCACTCACCTACTAGCCACCACCTCCAGGCAGCCTTTTCTGCCTTCCCAGACAGAAGATATCTCAGTCTCCAGAGTGCCATGATGACTTGTCAGCGTCTCTCAGAACTTAAGAGTTTGTGCCATGTATTGAATGATTTCTGTACAAACACGCTTCCCCACCTGAGACCATAAATTACATGAGGCAGGAGCACACTGTCAGGCTGAATCAGATCCCCACTGCATTTTCCTATATAAATGAAAAGCAACATGTCCCATTTGCTTGGGCCATGAGTCTGGTCTCATCAGAAGCATATAACAACACTCAACAGAAGACAAAAGTCTAGGACCTGACTCCCAAGTGACCATGTCTGCATTCCTGCCCCTCCCTGACATCCGAGCCAAGGGCCATCCACACTCTCCCAAGCCTGTCCTTCCTCTGCCACAATGAAAGCAAATCTAGCCAGACCCTGATCTGGCTCCAGCCTCCTGAACCTGAAGACTAGAGCATCTGAGGAAGCACAGATCTAAGTATAGCGAAACCCCACCATGCCCACCTTCAAGCAGGAAAAAGAGGTCGAGAATGACCTCATCTTCATGTCCGGGACCATAACAGGAGAAACTAGAATCTCTGCACTGGGAGGCCTGACACAGGGGAAATAGGACAGGAGATGGCCAGAAAGACAACCCAGGTCTTAGGTTACGACCCAGGGTCACGGCCGACAACCACCACACATACACCAAGCTATTCAGGCCAGCAGTTCTTGGAAATAGGTCACTAAAGAAGACAGGCTTAGGGGCGCCTGGGTGGCTCAGTCGTTAAGCATCTGCCTTCAGCTCAGGTCATGATCTCAGGGTCCTGGGATGGAGCCCCACGTCAGGCTCCCTGCTCGGCGGGAAGCCTGCGTCTCCCTCTCCCTCTGCCACTCCCACTGCTTGTGCTCTCCTGCTCTCTCTCTGTCAAATAAATAAGTAAAATCTTTAAAAAAGAAGAAGAAGAAGACAGGCTGAAAAACAGAGCAAAGCCTACATGTCCAATGGCCAACATCAGAGCAATTTGGGGTCAAACTGTTCCCTCTGCCCTTCTGAATCCCCCTCTCACCACGAAGCAAGGCGTAGTGCCCTCTTTAGGTACTCTGAGTCTAAGCATCAAGTTCAAGAACTGAAAAGTCAGAAATTCTAAGCCCAGCCCGGTCCTGCAATCGGAATAAATAAAGCAAGCAAGGATATTTAGGCCTGGAGAGAAGTAAACACAACTGAAAAAGGCCATCTGTAAATATGCTGTGGGACCCCACACGCAGGTGAGTATCACCAACCGGTCACCTGGCATGGAGTGGAAGGTTAACCGGCCACTGGCCATATGTTGCTGTTGAAGGTGGGGTGCAAGCAAAAGCAGGAAGTGCAGGCAGAAGGAGAGGACCAGGAGGCTACCTACAGATTAAGGCTGCTCCTGACTGAGCGGGCCAGGACGCCATGGCTAGAGGAGCCTGGAAAGCGTGGTTAGCCAAGTAACAACACGCTGCCAGAAGGGAAGGGTTCCTAGACGACAGGAGACTGTGGAGTCTCCGTGACAGAAGAGGGAGCGCAGCTGGTGTTCTCCCATGCCCCTCAATCTCTTTGGGTGAGAATGTAAGAATCTCATTATTGGGGCGCCCGGGGGGCTCAGTTGGTTAAGCGTCTGCCTTCAGCTCAGGTCATGATCCCAGGGTCCTGGGATGGAGCCCCGCATCAGGCTCCCTGCTCAGCGGGGAGTCTGCTTCTCCGTCTGCCTCTATCTGCTGCTCCCCCTGCTTGTGCTGTCAAATAAATAAATAAAATCTTTAAAAATTAATTAATTAATTAGTTAAATCTCATTATTAATAATACTTGTTACCACTTGGAGGACCAGTGAGTGACCAGGATGGTGCTGAGCACATCACCGCCTTTGATCCTCACACTCACGCTCACACACACCACCAAACTTTGTCTGACTCCCTTTGTAGGTAAGGAAACTTAGGCTCACAGAATTAAATACATTTCCCAAAGTTGTTCGGTTAGTAGGGGACAGAGGCAAGATTCAAACACAGGTCCCCTTGACTCCAAAATCCATGTATGCTCTATCTGCCCGGCAGAGGGCCTCAACCTCCTTGAACGTAGCAGGGGGGGTGATCCTCTTTCCGAAGAAGGCTGGGCCCATGAAGGAGAAAGGAAAGGAAGCTGCTTGGCCAGTGTAAAATGTGACCACTGTCCAGAGAAAGTCCTGAGAAGGACTCCAAAGGACAGTTTTCTTCATCGAGATCCTAATGAGAAGGGAAATATGCAACCGATCTACATTAGCTTGTAGTCCTTGGTGTATCCGGCCAAATGAGGAAGAAGCCTGCAAGGGAAATGAAGAGATGTAGGCTCTTCTCCAAGACTTATCTAAATTTCAGGGGTGGAATTGGAAGCCGCAGGGGAAAAATAAGAAAACTAGAAAGGTCCAATAAACAAGGATCCCTGCAGAGAAAGAAACAAGGAGAAAAACATCTGGAGAGACTTACGGTGCTAACCACAGAGTCGGCACACCGACAGTGGGAGTGCTGAGTCTGCACACACAACCCAAAAGGCCCAGTCACAAACACAAAGGTGGCCTAGAAGGTGACCAGGATGCGCTGGGGACACAAAGTAGGAGAAGGGCAGAATGAGAAAAACAAGGACAGTTTTCCAATACAGTAAGAATTATGGAAGAAGGCCTTCATCTTCAAGGGCAGCAGAAAACAGGAGCTTAAAGCTCTGGCGGTCTTGGCCACAAAGTCAGTCTCTCCCAGCAGAGCCCTCTCTCCACCCCCAGCTCGCCCGTGGCCCAAGCGCTTGGGCTTTCTGACGCTGCCGTCCTTCCCTGGGAACTCCTTCCGCCCAGCCCCACCACATCAGCCCCAGCTAGCCCGTTACAGAAGCCCCGTCTCCTGACCAGGTCTCCGCAAGGGCAGGGAAAGCAGACAGAGGCAGAGAGGCTAGAGACACCGCGGAGAAACCACAGATGGATTCCATTTACCCGTCCCCTGCCGCCCCAGGGCCTCGTGGCTGCTCTAGGCTCTGCCCAAACAAAAGTTGGTGCCTTAGTGACATCTTCCCCAAGAACACCCAGGGCCACCAGCAGTGCCCACGTGACCTATGCATTGCACAGGCCTCCGGGGAACGCACTGCCTTCTGATTGAGCAGGGGTCGCAAGCACGCAGGCAGATACGAGAGACCCGCCAAAGCCCCCACCAAATGCAGCAAGCACAAACATCCGGACGGACTGTGCTACTCAAAACAGAAGGAAGTTACGTTACAGCCTCTTCTCTCAGCCACAAGTCCTGCTCGGAGAGCACGGCTCACAGGGTCTTACCTTTATGACTCTGTTGAGGCACTCGTCAGCCACCATCCGGACATCTGACTCTGCATCATCACTGCACAGCAGAAAAAGTTCCATAGCGATGCCCAGAAGTTTCTGAAATTCTGGAGAATTTCTAAGTAAAAAAAAGAGAGAGAGAGAGGGAGAGACTGTCACAGCCAAGAGGAAGCTATGAAGACATGACACCGAAATGCAATGAGGTATCTGGCATCCTATATGGGATTCTGGAACAGAAAAGCAACATTACATAAAAATGAAGGTTAATAAGTATATTAATACTGATTCATTAATTGTGAAAAACACACCACAGTAACATAAGATGCTAATACTTGAGGTAACTGGATGTGGGGTACAGAGGAACTCTCTCTATTCCGTCTTCACAATTTTTCTGTAAATCTAAAACTATTCTAAAATGTAAAAGTTTATTTTAAAAAAGAGAATGTACTTGCAACACAATTTCATTTTTTTAAAGGTTTCATTAAAAAAATCTTAAAAAGAACTGTTTTGGGGCACCTGGGTGGCTCAGATGGTTAAGTGTCTGCCTTTGGCTCAGGTCATGATCCCAGGGTCCTGAGATCGAGTCCCGCATCGGGCTCCCTGCTAAGCGGGGAGCCTGCTTCTCCCTCTGCCTCTGCCTCTCTCTCTCTCTCTCTCTCTGACTCTCATGAATAAAAAATCTTTAAAAAAAAAAAAAAAGAAGTTTTATATGTAATGATACTCAATAAAAAAAAAAAAGAGGGGAAAAAAGACACTGCTTCCCTCCCAGATAGCCATCTGCTCTCTGCCAACAGGTTACTTTTACTCTTACTTACAATATGCTTGGACTCCTGAACACAGTATACCAATATAACTTTTTCACTCCTTTTAAATCTTGCTTTCAATGCGTTCCAAAGCATAACCATATCGCACTGCAGACTACACACGATCACAGCCAGGCTGTGGTTTTGTTCCTCTAGCTCAGTCCTACAAAGACTAGAGTCTATGTAATGCTTGCAAGTGACTTTACCATGTGTGACTGAGAGAGCCTGTCTGGGCTGTCACGATCCATGTGGTTGAACACTGTCGAGACAGAGACAGGCTGGTGGGCCATGTTCGAGGAACTGATTTCACAGCACCGTGAAGAACTGCAAGTCAGTAACACGGCCCCTGTATAATGCTGTTATTTTTGAAACCTCAAAATCCAACTGCTGTTTCATGATCTCAACCTGGAATACTCTGAAATGGGGGTCCTCCCCCTTTCCCACTACATTCTAATTCCTACCAATGGTCAGAACAGCCACAAGCCTAAGAGAAACAAAGGACCACCTTAGCAATGATCGACAAATACAAGCAAGAAACAAAACGCCCAGCGGCATGTCAGACCTCCCACTAGCAGGAAAGGCCTCTCAGATGCGGGTACAGCATTCAAATGCCGCCCCAAGCAGCGCTTGGCTACAGAACCACAGCGTGAGCTACATGTCTGATCTTATGCTTTCTAATGGATACATCAAAAATAAAAAGAAACAGGTAAAATTAATTTTAATAATATATTTCATTTAGGGACACCTGGGTGGCTCAGTGGTTAAGCATCTGCCTTCGGCTCAGATCATGATCCCAGGGTCCTGGGGTCGAGTCCGGCACTGGGCCCCCTGCTCCGCGGGGAGCCTGCTGCTCCCTCTGCCTGCAGCTTTCCCTGCTTGTGCGCATGCTCTCTCTCTGACAAATAAATAAATAAGTTCTTTAAAAAATAATATTTCATTTAATCCAATATAGCCAAAATATGGTATTTCAACATTTAATCAATATGAAGAAATTATTGATATACATAACAATCTTTTTTACAGTACATCTCAATTCAAACACAAAATTTTCATCAGCAGTATGTTATCTGTGTTTAGACTTGATAAAACCCACAGATAAAAGTAGGTTCACTTGCAAGTAATAAATAAGTTCTGAAGATCTAATGCACAACATAGTGACTATAATCAATAATACGGTATTATGAACTTCAAAGTTGCTAAGAGACCGGATCTTAACTGCTGTCAACACAGAACAGAAACAGTAACTATGTGACTTGATAAAGGGGTCAGCTAAGACTACTGTGGCAATCAGACTGCAGTGTGTACAGGCGTCAAACCAACATGCTGTATATGCAAATTTAGTGTCATAGGTCAGTCATGTCTCAATTAAAAGAAAAAAGTAGGTTCATATACCATTTCTAACCATGCTTAAAAGTTCTCCAATAACTAGATTGAATATTGATTTTTAAATTTTAATTTTATTAATAAAACTGATACAGGACTAATGAGGTGACAGATTTCTTCCTGAGAGAGCTTTAGAAATGTCTTTCATGTCTGTCCATGTCACCTAAACTGTCAAATTTACTGCACAAAGTTGTTCCTAATTCTCCCTTATAATCCTGTTAATATCTACAGAACCCATACTAAACTCATCTCCCTCACTCCAGACACTTGTAATGTGTGACTTCACTCTTTCTTGCCTGGTCAGTCTGATGAATCTTACGGACGCTCTCAAAGAACTCACTTCCGGCTTTATTGAGCTTCTATAGACTTCTCTGTTTTCTATAACTTCTGCTCTTATCTTTATGTCCATTCTTCTGCTAAATCTGGGTTTCATCTGCTCTTATTTATCAAGTTTCCTGAGATGGAAGCGGAGGTCACTGCTTTGAGACCTTTCTTTTTTTTTCTATGACAGGCACCGAGTGCTATAACCCTCCCCTGGACACGCTGCAGTGGCGTACCTCAACTTTCGACGTCCTTGGTTTTTATTTTCGGTCGATTCAGAATACTTTCAGATTTTGACTTTCTCTGTGACCCATGGCTCATTTGGAAATGTGTTACTTGTGTTCCAGACTATCTTTCTGGAACAGATTCCAATTCAATGCCATCGAGGTCAGAAAGCATACTTGTATGAATCCTTTTACATTTAGAGACCTGTTGTATGGCCCAGCGTGTGGTCTCTCTTGGCAAGTGTGCTGTGAGCATCTGAGAAGAGCGTGTCTTCTGTTGTTCTGGGTGGAGTGTCTATAAATGCCAACCAGGCCACAGGGATGGGTACTGTTGTTCAAATCTTCCAGATCCAGATTTTATGTCTGCTGCTCTAAGAATGTTTGAGAGAGGCTGCTGAAATCGGACTATAATTGTGGATTTGTCTGTTTCTCCTTGCAGTTCAATCAAGTTTTGCTTCACGTATTTTTGAAGCTCTGTGCTTAGCTACTTAAACATTTAGGGCTGCTATGCCCCCTTGATGAACTGATGCCTTTATCATTATAAAAGTGACCATCCTATTTCTGGTAATAGCTTTTGTTTAAAATCCACCGTCTGATATTAACACAAGCACCCTGGCTTCCCTCTGATCAGTGCTAGCATGGTCAGCCTCTTTTTATTTTTCACTTTTAAGCTATTTGCACCTTTATACTGAAAATGGGTTTACTATAGGCAGAATATATGAGGTCTTGGTTTTTCATCAGATCTGAAGAAACCTGTCTCTTATGTTTAATGTCATTATTGACGTTAAGTGGATTTAAAGCTACCATCACACCATTTCTTTCCTTCTGACCCCAGGTGCTCTTTGCCTTTTTCCCTATTTCTGCTTTCTTTTGGGTTGAGTATTTTTATGACCCCATTTTATCTCCTTTTTTGGTTTATTAGCTATAACTCTTTTTTTTTTTTTTTAAAGATTTTATTTATTTGAGAGAGAGAGAGACACAGCGAGAGAGGGAACACAAGCAGGGGGAGTGGGAGAGGGAGAAGCAGGCTTCCCGCTGAACAGGGAGCCTGATGCGGGGCTCGATCCCAGGACCCTGTGATCATGACCTGAACCGAAGGCAGACGCTTAACGACTGAGCCACCCAGGTGCCCCAACTCTTTGTTGTGCTTTCAACTGTTGCCTTGTTTATAGGATACATCTTTAACTTATCCCAGTCTGCCTTAATGGCGTCACAGCACTTCACATACAACATGAGAAACTAACAACAGTACTGGGTTCATTTCCTGGGGCTGCTGTAACCGACTACTAGAAACTGGGTGGATGAAAACCACACGTGTTCACCCTCTCGCTGTTCTGGAGGCCAGAAGGCCGAAATCAGTATCACTGGGCCAAACATCAAGGTACCTCCCTCGAGAGATTGCAAAGGAGAAGGGCTCCTTGCCTCTTCCAGTGTGGTGGTGGCCACCACCCCCTGGCCTGTGGCCTGATCTCCAAGCCTGTCTCTGCTCCATCTTCACATTGCCGCACACACGCTTCTGTGTATGTGCATGTGTGTATGTGCATGTGTGTGTATGTGTCTGTGGGTGGTGTATGTGGTGTGTGTGGTATGCACCTGTGTGATGTGGGGGGGGTGTGTGTGTCTGTGTGATGTGGTGTGTGTATATGTGGTGTGTGTTATGTGTGTGGTGTGTGTATATGTGGGGTGTGTTGTGTGTGTGTGGTGTGGGGGGTGTGTGGTGTGTACTGTATGTGTGTGTGCGTGTGTGTGGTGTGTTTGTGTGTGCATGTGTGTGTGTGTGTGTGAGACCTCCCTGTGCCTCCTTCTCATAAGGACACACATGTGGCTACATCTAGGGTCCCCCGGACAACTCAGGATAATCTCTCCACCTCACGATCCTTAACTTAATCACATCTGGGAAGACCCTTTCCCTTCGAGGTACATTTACACAGGATTCCAGGGATCAGGACCTGCTGTCTCTGGGCACAGGGGCACTATTCGGCCGAATACAAGCTACTGCCAGCCCTTATGCTAGTGTTGTCACACATTCTACTTCCACATATCATAAAGCCCCAAAATACGTGGTTATTAATTTCGCTGCAAGCAATCCATTAACTTTTAAAGAGATGGAAAATGAGGAGGCAGGTCTTCTAGTCACATGGCGCCACGTTACCATGTCCCTGCTCTCCGATCCTCTGCGTGGGTCCAGATTCCTCTCTCATCTTACTCTCCTTCTACTGTAAACACTCTGTACTATTTCTTAGAGTGGCTGCCCGCTGGACATAAATTATTTCAGCTTTTGCGTGTCTACTTCACCTCTGTTTTTGAGAGACAGACTGACTGGCTATGCGGCGCAGGGTGTTTTCAAGACTTTACAAATGACACCCCATTGACTGCTGGCGCGTATGGTCTTTCCAGCAAGAAATCTGCAGCCACTCTCACCGTTGTTCAGCGCAGCTCTTTTTAATGTCTTGTCTCTCTATGTAACACATTCCATCTTTTCTCTAGCTTCCCAAATACATAAAGTAACTGTTTTCATGGTTTTTTATTTTTTTTTAACCATCTGTGCAATTTCTGAGTCAGTTTCAACTGACCACTACGAATTTTATTTTCCTGTTTATTTACTGGACACCGGATCTTCTAATTTTTACCTCGTTGGGCCCTATATACTTCTGAATTCCTATAAACACTCTTGAACTTTGCTCTGAGATGCAATAATGTTACTATGAAAGAGTATGATCTTGGGTTTTGCCTGTAAGCTTTATCAGGCAGGACCAGAATAACATCTTAGTTTAGAGCTAAGTTAGCCCCCATCGTGAGGGCAAACCCTTCTGCATCCTCCAGCCAAGGCCCAGGAAGGATACTTGTCCACTGCGGCTGGTGTGAACAGGAGCTCTTCCACCAAGTGTTCCAGCAAGTGTTCCTCCTCATCCTTCTAGGTGATCCTACCCCAGCCCTAAGTTTTATCCTTATAAGCACCTGCACTTCCATAGAAGCTAAAGACTCAAGAATCCCTCCCTCCGCAGGCTCCAGGGATCATTCTGTGCAGCGCTCTCTTCTTCGGGATTCTCCCCAGTTGGCTCTAGCTGGCAGCTCTGTCTGTCTCTTCAACCATGCACCCCACGGCTCTGCCTGGGTTTCCCCTCCCACATAACTCCCTCCACACAGTAACGGGGGGGGAGTCATATGGCTCTCACACTTTTCCATTTTTCGAGGACTGCTGTTGCTCTTTGCCTGATGTCTTGAAAACCATTATCACATATATTTTGTCCATTATCAACTGTCTTAGACAGGAAAGTAAATCTCTCTTTGGTATTTATCTTACCAGAGCAAATATCTTTCTTGATATTTTAAATTTAAGTTGTTAACATAGTGTTAATAAATTTTCTGGTCACAAATACACATTTCTAACAATCATCTTTTATAAAGTTAACTAACATTCCCTTCTATAAATGTACCTTACTTTTTCAATTCCCCACTGGTAAGTTGATTAAATTAAAATTAAGATTATTTTTAATTTTCTAATGGGATGAACAGCACTGCGCTGACACTGTCGCACACTTTCCCGAGGATAACGTCCTCAGATGAGACTGCCACAAAGACGACAATCTGAAGCTTGATATTTTTGCCAAACTGCCTTTTTTAAGAAGGTTTTATCACTTCTGACAAAAATCCTTAGTATTTCTTAATGTTTGTCAATTTGACAGATAGAAGCTATTCTTGTTTTTGCTTTGGTCTCTTTCCCCTGATGACTAGTAAATGTGAATATTTTCCCACAGGAAACAAAAACTACGTATCAGCTGTCAGGTTTACTGGCCCACACATACTTCTTACTTCCTGAACCACCTGGTCATGTTCTTTGCCTATCTCCCTATTAGGCTGACAGTCTTTTCCTTAATGATTTATAATTGCTCTTTATACAGCTATTAAACCTTCGATATATATGCTGTCAATACCATCCCCAAGTTGAATTTACTTTCAAGTTTGATTAAGGTGGAGTCTGACACACTGAACTATATTCCAGTCAAAACAATGTTTTCCTTTATATTATTAGTCTTCCTCCGCCTAAGATCAAACATCCTATTTTTAATAATAATTTCATTTTTTTACATTTAAGTAATTAACCTGACATTTATGTCTGTTTGCAATATGAGGCACAGACATAATTTTCCTCGAGTCATTTGGTTCAATAACCTATTGCTTCCCTATTGATACAAAATGTTATCTTTACCATAAATTCACACACACAGATGCACACACACACTCTCCTAACTTTCTATCCCAAACCTTTAATGTCTAACAACTAATCTAACATTGTGTACTCACCTCTCACCACACTGCTGACGTTTCCGATTTTCTTTGCAACATTCATGTATTTATTCTTGCAGGTGAACAAGTTCAAAAATACCCCTACTAGAATTCTGATCAAGGCTATTTAAATTTATGGATTAATTTAGAGAAAACTCAGCTTTATAATAAAAAGTCTTCCATTTAGGAAGGAAAGTAGTCATCTATACCTTTCAGGAGAGCCAACAGCAGTCCACGTTTTCTGCGTATTTCTTGTCAGTTCCTTGAAATTCTATATGTTGGTGCCACTGTGAACTGGATCTTGAACCCTGATACTTTCTGAGTAACCTACGCTAATATGTGGGAAACCTATGGATTTCTGTATATTTATTTTTACCCAACCACTTTATCAAGGTGCACACGCTTAGATAAGGGTTCCCAAGGTATTCCTAAGTGGAGACTTGTTAAAAACAAATCCCCAGACTACACCTGAACAGAAAATATAAGTGTGTTTGGGAAAGAGGACAGTGAGGTATCTTCATTACTGTATTTTTGACAAATTTTCTGGATGATCTTGACTCTCATCCATATTTAGGAACTAGTAGGTTAGACCACCAAATTGGGAGCTGAAGTACACTAATAGTCACAATATCCATGAAGTTTTAGATGACTTCCCACATTAAAAACTCCAGAAGCTACCACTGAAATAACCCCACTGGAGACAAAGTTAGTATATCACAGAAGCTACAGAAATGTACCGAAGCTTTAGTTATATTCAAGGAGAGATCACAGGAAATACCAGCTATAAGAAAGATTTGATAAAACACTATATACATATATAAAATATATAAAATACCTACTTGAGCTCTACACTCTGAAATTCCTGCAAAGTATGGAAAGTATCTTAAAACTAAATTACTCTTTGGTCTGATGACACCAAAGATGACCTCTCTGGATCAATAAAATATCCCATCAACATGTCCCTCTGTAGAACAAGAAGCATGACTATCAGCATTACTCCATAAAAACGAAGAAATACACTACTGTGAAAACCACTAACAGCTACTATTTTGATTTAAGATGGCAAACCGAGCCGCAAACCAATCCTAAGATATCCCAACATACTTTACAAATATGAAAATCTAAGCTGACATTCCATCAATTCCACTGAGAATGAGCAAAAGAAACGGAGTAAGTACAGAGCAGGAAGCATTCCAAGTGGAAGACAGCTCGTTTTTTTTTGGGTCCGTAAGCTTTCACAGTGAAATGTTCCTGGACTCCTGGATGCTGGAGGTCAGATGGGCAAAACTCTGCTAGGGCAGCAGGAGAGCAAATGTTTGTCAGGGATCTAAGTCACTTCACATGAAAGCAGTGACACCTGGTAGCTCTGGACAAGACCCGTCACAACCCTATAGAGCTCTCGCTCCCACGTGGCTAACAAACAGGAATGCAGTGTCACCCAATCTCACAAGAACCCTAAAAATCAGGACTTACAGTTCACAAATGCAGACTGAAAGAAGTTAAATTTATCCAAAATCAGCTGGCTTATAAGGAGTAGAGATGGAATTCAAACCTTTTTTTCCCTACTTTTATCACAGTGTTGTTATCTACAATAGCATGCTAACTTATAATTTTTATTTTCAGCACATACTCTCATTTGTTATTTCATTTGCTTCCCACATTTCTAAAGATTAGAAACAGAAATCATCTACCACATTTCCCAAACGAAACAAGTTCAGCTAAAATGAACTATTATATGCGAAATCACTTTGAAAATATAAAATACAAATGCAAGGTGCCATTAAAAATAAGTGAGTCACTAAGTTTCTGTCAGTACTAAAATCAAGATTATTATTCTAACAGCTTATAGAGAGCTCTTTCCAGCTTCCAAGCAGGGACAATAACGTGAATTGTTCCAAGAGAAAGAAAAGCAAGGAGAGAAGTGTTTCACCACATCCAACCAGGTAACAGAATTCAGAAACCTCAGGCACATCTGTCTCCTACTCAGGCCCTAGAAACAGGCCTGAAATATTTACCCTCCACAGCCACTAGGAACAGTGGTTAGAAAGACAACCGAAAGCAAAGAGAATGAGGAGACTTAGCAAAGACACAAAAGAAGATGCCACGAGTTCACCACAAAAGAACGAGGTAGCAAGGGAGACTGGCCTACGGTCCGCCGCCCAGGACCCCGCAGACCCTCAAGCGCAGGTGAGCAGGCGCCGGCCACTGCTGGGCGCACCCAAACAGCAGCAGGGTGCCAATGAGAAGCAAACACAAGACATGTCACTGGACAGTCTCCTGTCTGTTCCGATTACTGCCACAGTGTAAAAATATCAAACAGATGATTTTTCAGTGATCACAGTTACCAAGAGTGCTAACTAAATATAAACACCCTGTTCAATTATCATAATGGTTACAACTATTGCTCATTAAGCTACAAAAAGGAAGTATGACTCCATATAGCTATAGCCAGAAATACGAGAAAATGGGCCTCTAAATGTCTTAAGAGAACTGGGGAGACAAAGAATATTCCAGCCCATTAGGAACAAAAATATAGTCTTAATTTTTACTAGAAAGTTCAAAGTGCAATTACCTGAGTGACTGTGCCACTATGTTTTCACATATTGTCAGACAATGGTTCACGCGGTCTTTCTTGGTGGCTGAGAGTTCTTTCTTTCTAAAAGAAAAAACAAGGAAAAGTGAACATGTATTGAATTATCCACTCCACCGATTTCCACATATCATTCATTCATTCCATAGCACTTCCGGACCACCAGGAAGAAACCGCATACTCCATGCTGGGGGGCAGAATGGGGTCAGCTGGGGGAGGCAGAGATGAGCTCAACCAAAGGCTTCCTAAACTACACTGCTCCATAGAAAAGTTGGGTGATGTCACTGATGCACCTATTTTTCCCATTTTAGAGGAGAAACTGCAGTGCAAACAGTGACTCGCCCAAGATCACACCGACGGAGGGGGCACATGATTCAATGAAACACAGCATCATCCCTACCCTTCATCCCAAGCTGCCTCTACTGCTCAAAATCACATTGTAACTGACGGCAGACCTCATGCTCTTGGTGGAGAGACTGACCACTTCTACACCCCCAGACAGCTTGGAAGAAGCCTCCCGTAAGGACTTCTGGGGAAACACAAGGAGACAAACACCCCGCTCAAGATCAGAGTAAAGGTGCTTGCTTCCCACCCAAACATGCAGCTTCAGACACCTTCAAGGTATGCACCTTCAAAACAAGGGACAGAGGGATGATCCAAAGAGGAAGCCAAAAATTAAACCAGGCTGAAGAACTACATTCAGAGAAGAATTTCAGTGTGGTTACCAGTACATCATACTAACTAGAAACAACTAAACTACTAGTTTTTGAGGGAATTATATTACCAAAGGGGTAGGGGTCTAATCTGCGAACACCTGTGACTGTTAAGTCCCCAATGCAACCCTCAGGTTCCAAAAAGTGCATCTGAAGGAACAGGCTATTACAAACTGTACAATCCAACAAAGGCAACGCCTCCAAAAGGCACTTCAGACATGGCTGGAGAAGAAAAGGGGCAGGGACAAACCTCCAAAGGGGGAAGCCAGGAGCCAAAAAGAACAGGCAGGGGTTTCGAACAAGAAAAGAATCAGGGCCTGAGCGAGAAGCCTCCTTCATGGCAAGTAGAGAGGAGGCTTCCCAATGACTGGCCAATTATTAGAGACCATCATTACAGGGACTGGTGAGTATGTCTTTCCCACTGGTCTCTTTCCTAAAGAGGACTTTTACTAGTAAGTTAATACTGTAGACTGCCTCCTAGTCATCCACCCAAACACCAATCTTTCTTTCTTGGACACATGCCCCCCAGTTAGAAGTTCCATTGCTTAGCCTCCCTGTAGGTAGGGAGAGACACACGCCTTCATTCTCACAGATAAAATGGGAATGGAAGTGATATATGGAGTATCTGCCTCACCAGCTTATCCTGGGTATCTCTCCTTCTAGTCCCTCGAACTAGAGCAAACGTGCCTAACACCCAGTTTTTGATTGTACAGATAAAGGCAAGAAGATTGCAGAACCAACAGGATGGGAGGAGCCTGAGTCCCTAAGTGACCACAAGAAGCAGAGGGTTCTCACCTCCCATCCTCAGGAGCCACCCACCTCAAAAGCACTATAATGGAAACAACCTAAATATCCTTCACCGGGTAGACGGACAAACAAACCCCGACAACCAGACAACAGAATACTGCTTGGCAGTAAAAAGGAGCAAACCACTACTACACACAAGGTGAATCTCAATATACCAGATTCAAGACTACAGAGTGGTGGATTCCATCTATATAATGTTCTGGAAGAGACAAACTACAGGAACAGAAAGTGATCAGTAATTTACAGGGGCTGGAGAGAGGAGTGGCGGCAAAGAGGTAGGGGAAGCTTGAGGGGGTGAGGAAACTGAGCTAAACCCCTACTGTGTAGTAGTTACATGCATTTGTCAAAGCTTACAGAACTGTACACTAAACAGGGTACACTGTGCTCTTTGTAAATTGCACCTCGATTTTAAGAAGAAAGTGCTCTGAGAATTAAAATGTTCTCTTCTTTAAACCACCAGATTAATTTCTCCATTACAAAAGCTTAGAATTAATTTGCCCAGTGTAAGACCACCATCAAGAAAATTAAAGAACATTGACCATTTTAAGCATTTAGGAAGCAAACTAACTTACCTATCCATTACCTTTTGATTTCCAAAGTGAAAATCTGCCCAAGGCCTTAAACGAACTGAATTCACATACCAGGGTACCAGAAAAAGTTACCAGCTTCACAGTAATTACACACATGCCTGATGGAGAACGGCCAGGCCAATGGAACATTTACCTTTCCAGAGTGATAGATACAAATACCAGTCTTAACAGGAACTTTGCCTCCCTCTTCATGTATGGGATAAACCAAAAGAATACAGTGAGCAGCAAACAGCACAGCTGTCAGGCCTGCACCTGATTTCAAGAAGACCAGCCTTGCCAGAACCTGAGTAAATGTGCATGAAACGAGCAAAAAGTCAAACACGGAATATGAATCTCACCCAAGAAAATAAAAATACATTCTTCTGTCGTCTATTTCCCTCTCGCTCCTCCTCCCTGTGGCGCTCCCGGTGGGGAAAGCCTGCCCTATTCCCCTGGGGCTCCGTCCCCCACCCCGCAAGCCAGCCTCCAGGCCACTCTGGTAATGACTGCTCCAGGAGTCGCCCTCCCAGGATGACAGACTGAGAGCAAGGGCCACAGCACGTCTGTTACTAGCACTCAGCACAACACCTGCACTTCACAGATGTTCATAAAAAGCCGATAAGGAAATGGATAAATCAACATTTTCTGTAGAAGAATAAGTAAAATACACATTAAAATGGGCTCAAAAGTTGAGTCAGTCTTTCAGATAGGATTCAGAAGATAAATGATAATTACTTTGAACGAGTTTCTGGAACCAAGAGATGGAAAAAAAAAAAAAAAAGTAGAAACAGCAAAGCTACTAAAAAAAAAAAAAGGCAGCCTTGGAGTGATCCCTACTGGAGATCAAAGGCTGTGGGAACCGGAGCCTGTGCAATCCCGCCCGCCACACTCTAGACAACCAATCACAGGTCTCTTAGCAGCACCTTCCATGATTCTTATTATGAAAAGAGGACAGTATACTTTCTATCTTACAGCTAAGAAGAAAGCACACATATTTCAAGTTTCTCTTCTTACCTGATTCACAATCACTTCCTAGCAATGATGAAATTTGAACCTTTTCCACACAAAAATCGATAGCCCAAGAATCACAAAATTCTGCAGGCAGTTTTCAGTGGTGCTAAACAAGCCATTGAAATTCAAACAATAATTAGTAAGTACTTGCTTTGTGTGAGAAGCATAAACACAAACCATCTGATTGCTACCAAATACTTTAATTTTGCTCTATTTTTCTCAAATCCATTGTCATTGCCGACATGGCTAAACGTGTGAAATGGACACATCATTAAAGAACTACACAATTTTACTACATCAGAATCAAACTCTGAAAAATGCCTGCTTAAAAAGGCAGACAAGTGTAACTAAATCCTGTAAAAAGCACCCCCTCTTTTATCACACTGAAGAATACCCATATTTTAAAGTGTGGGATCAAACTTTACCCTCAGACACCCCAACGAAGAGACATTAACAAAAACTATCAGAAAAGGGGAAAAACAATCATCCCAGTATTACCCACTGAAAGCGACAAGCACACCAACACAATGCACACAGCACACGCTACCGCCCCGTGGTGCCCGCTTCCAAACGCAGTCTAACCAGGCCCATTAGAACACGGCCTCAGGCTACTTTCCAGTCGTCCACATTCCCCAACCTTCAGGCAACTCTGGCCACTCGGAACAACTCAGTGGTTTAGGTCACGCATCTTCAAACTCAATTCCTGTATAGTCTATGGTCCCTGCTTGAAATACCTCCTTGCTATCTTATTTTGTCCAATAAGCAAACTTGGAAACTTAAGAAAACCACAACCACTTCATTCCCCCATGGAATTTAACTCCGACTGATGAACTGATATGTCAAACTGGCTTGTTCTACATGAAAAGTAAGTATGGAAATTAAGGAAAAAAGGGAACTGCCTTTTCTGAGCAGGAACTCGATCAACAGGGTAAGCAGTCCTGACTCTTCCAACTTGGGTAAATGCAATCATGTTAACTTCACCCTCAAAACGCAAACTTCAGTCGGCCCCTCTTCTGTGCTGAAGCAATGTGCACAGAAACACACATTTGCAAGGAGGCACCTAAAAAAGGCCAGGCCACAAAAGCATGCTAGAACCACGTTAATTACCGAAGAATGAATTCTAAGAATGGGAATTCAAGCTCTCATCTAAATTCTTATTGTTAATATCATGTTATTTTTAAGACCCGGCTTGAAAAATGTAGTTCCAGGTGGAGGGCTGGCAGGGGAAAGGCCTGGACTCCGCAGGAACTTGGAAAACACTGCCTGCCTTGCGCTTTCCGGGCTCTGCACACTCACCTTCCGGTGGAGCCTGCATGGCCCAGCCAGCGAGCAGGACCGAGGCCTCCCCACTGCCCCGCCTCCGGCCACTTCACTTGCAGCAAGTGCCGTGCTAATGTGAGTGCTCCTAAAACATTAGGGCTCCTTCAGACAGATTGTAAGAAGGAATGGGACACCAAAAATCATTCTGGAATTATGTATCATGCCTAATTTAAAAATAAAAGTGCTGTTTGATTAGGAGGACCAAGGACTAAGATTTCCCCCATCTGCAGTCTGTGTCACAGAAAAGACCAGTAAGACAAAATCTTTCTTGAGCGCCTGGGTGGCTCAGTCAGGTAAGTGTCCAGACTCCTGGTTTTGGCTCGGGTCATGGTCTCAGGGTAGTGAGACCAACCTCCCACTGGGCTCTGCGCTCAGCATGGAGTCTGCTTGTCCCTCTACTTCCCCCTCCCTGCCCCACTTGCTCTCTCTTTCTCTCTCAAATAAATATTTTTAAAAAGTAAAAAATTAAAAAATAGTCTTTCTTACTGGTGATCTAACCAAATACAGTAATAACCACTACCCAAAAAAGGTGCATTTCAAAGAACCAATCTGTTAAGCTAAATGAAAAAAGTCTTTTCTTCATTATGTGTATGTGTTTAGTTCTACAAAATTTTATCAGCTGTGTAAGTTTATGGATCCACCACAG